TTTCAAAAGATACATTGGCTTCATATAGATGGCTAAAATTTTCCACATAAAATTATCGATAATTTTCCAGACTGTGCAATATACAGTGAGGATAATTGGCGCAAGTTACAACGGTCGCGTTACGACGAACTGATAATGACAACGAAACAGTGCAAGATAGAGACAGGTCTGCATATAACAAGAATTGGTGGGATAAATGTGCTAAGAGCTGTTTGATATTCTTCAGATACTAAGTTTACAGGCTCCAGCGAATATCCGGACTAATATTTAAGGATCGGAATAAGGTGCCTAAAAAGAGAAAGGGTCGAAGAGAAGAACAGAAAATATTCTTGTTTAAAGCGGAACAATGACTCAGCAGATAGTTTTTTGGACTAGAACACTAACTGTACACCTGCACTTTTATGTAGTCTAATAGAGGCAAGTCACTAGTAAGATAACGAATGAACAACTAATCATATGAATAGAGGAAATTCAGAAAAACCAAATTGTTAGCAATAATGTTGATTTACAGAATAAAATAATAACGCACAGTGATCTGATTATTATGTGATATTTTTTTTATTCTTTTACTTTTTAACCCTGTAGTTCAAGAAGTAATGTGTGAACTCTTTTTCAGTATAATTATCTGAATATCCTTCTAATAGGGTTTCATGGTAGGAAGTTAAAACCAGTGCAATCATACAAACATGAGCCGTAGACGAGTTTACCGAGGAAAAGTAACATCGATATCACTGACTCGTTACGTCCTGCTATATCTTAAGGAGCCCTAAGTAAACAAAATGTTCTGTCCCACAGATATAGGTAGATGGAGGTTATAGCCTCGCCGTCATGAATGCTGGTTAATAAGGGATTGTGACCAGTCAAATGGAATTACATCCACTTCCCAAACTCTACCTAGGATCTCCATCAATCTGACTTGACCACCATCCTTAAAAATCACAGGGGTCAATCTATCAGGTCCTGATGCTCTTCCTCGCTTCAGATTTCCTATAGCTTTCTCAGCTTCATAAAGGCTGGGGGGACTTACGTCGACTTGCCATTCAGGATTACTGGAGATCGTGGGTAACCGAAGTGTGGCTGAAGGTCAGTTGAACTGATCCTTGTAGAGTTATGCCCATCGATCCGGTCTCCTGGATTGAGGATGAATGATAAGACCATCCTTCTCCGAGATAGTTTCACTCACATTCAGGTTCCTAATACTAGTTTCATTGATGAGTCTGAATAGTTGCCTTTTACATCTCCCTTGCTTTCGCTACTCACCACTGCTCATGATTATCCGGTAGGAGACATAAAAACTCAAAAATGCACCAAAAAATAGGAACTACTAAAATACAAATAATAAAATCCCGAAATGGCATTAAACATATTACCAAAATGTAGAACTGGAAGAATCGACAAGTACATACTAAAAATGTACACATGGAGCGATTTTCCCTAACAAAGCCTTCCAAAAATGATTCTACAGTCGTAAGCATACAAAATGTTCTGCCCTACAGGCATTGGTAGATAGAAGATATCGCCCCATCGTCATGAATGCTGGTCAGATACACCACTCTTCCTCCTTAGATATTAAGGCTTTCACCTGAAAGATCTGATAACCTCAAGAAATTTTGTACTAGTAGTCAGCTTTGAAATATCTATTCCATATTTCATTCTCATGCCGTGCCATGTATGACGAGGCTTCTTTCATTGTTGGAGGACGTTTTAATGGTCCTGTACGAATCTGAATCGTCTACTTAAAGTATCTCAGAAACTAAGAATCCTAATCTATATATTAGGTTCCTACCAAAATTTCGTCTAAGACGGTGGTGGTGAGGATATATTTTGTACCAGCTCATCTTACTAATCACAATGCTGCGTAGCGAGTGAACATTTTATTTTTGAAATAGAGACTACTTGATAAGAAAGATCCACTTTAAAGTAATTTTTACAACCACGACAGTACTTGTTAGAATATAATCTGCAGTGCATATTATATATATATATATATATATATATATATATATATATATATATATATAACTACACTATGAAAGAGTTTCGTTGGTGAAGAACCTTCTAGTTCCACATGTGAGGCGTTCTAAAGAAGCGTTGAGTAATCACGAAATATTACTCAGAAAAGTACAACCAGTCAACACTGAACAGAACAGCCGCCGAAATATCTGAGAAGAGCAGAACCGCGTACCACAGTTCTGATTAAATAGATATTCTTACTGCTACTACTTCGGTATCCGAACGTTTTGAAAGCTCAACGTCACTAATGACCCTATAAATCCGATTTTTGGTACATAAACTAACCTTGTAAATCGCTCGTATCTCGCACCTTCTTTCTTTGGTCAGGTTTTTGGAAGCGGTTCGGAATCAGATCTCGTATGCGTTATGTAGACTTATCAGTTGCGACTGGAAAAACTATAGGCTTACATGGAGCGTCAGGATAAAATGTTTGAGCATTCGCAAATGAGAATTATGGTGAATTTGTGTCTGCTTCAGCAAATCTCTGCATCTTGTCAACTAGCAACACGTACGGATACAATAATGCCACTCATTAGGATATGCTCCATGTTCATCCCTTCAGACTGGGTGACTAATGCGCGCAATTATCCCCTTGAAAACATCTATCGAAAACTTCTGAATTCTAGACCATTAAATAAATTCCGCAGGTCACGATTGCCTTCAGTTTGTAAATGGTCGCAAGTCATGAGAAGAGTAGGAAATTCTACTTATATGATTCGGTGGTGGAGATAAATCTCGAAACGCGCGGTTTAGCTCGCAAAACGTGGTCGAAATTCCGTGTAGATACACACCTATTTATATAAATGTTCATATAATCGGCAGCAATATTGAACACGTCACGCCACATTCATTCACTTGATGTACATAATGAGCACATATCAACAGCTGCGCCTATAACCAGATAACATTCTTCAGTTTTCACGGTATTTATTGGACATAGTTGTTTATGAATAAATTCTACTAGTGTTAACTAAATATCAAGTCATGTAAGCTGACATTGACTGCATCTGTTCAGTTAGAATGTTCAGATTGTATTGGGTTTGTTGGTGTATTTTCCGGAATATGGGAAATATTGAGGAATCTTGCAAACATATATCCAAATAACACCGTAATATCAAGTTGTATCATTTCATAAATCAAAAATGATGAGATGTAAACATTGATGTTTCCGGTGATAAATCATTGTTACTCTCAATCATTTAAGCTAAGCCGGGCATTTGTTTTATATATGTCCAGTCGACTCTCGGTCGAACTGTATTAAAATGACAGACTTAAATATATTTGCAACTCTTTGCAATCATCCATTATGATGATGATATATGTTAGGCAAATGTTCTCAGGTAGCAATCATAATATCATCATATGAAGTCTTATATAAAGCCACAAGTACAAGACGTAAAACCATCACACTTTGTAGGAACTATCGGAAGAGTGACTGGACCAACTTCCAAAATTGCCTCAGAAGCATTGACCGGACCAACCTCTTTACCATAAACACTTCCAACAAACGAACAAACTTATCTTATCATAACACCAGTAATATCTTCAGTAAAATCTCACCCTTAGGACTCTGGAAACCCAGAATCTCCAAGGATTTCATAACCAGGTTTCATAACCATGACTTTTCCCTCTTAGTTAAGAAGACACGGATGTTTAGGATACAGAGGTAAAGCATCCAAAAACGTTAAACGGACAGGAAAAACGTTCTGTCCAGCTGAACAATAAATTCTCTTTACTTATGAGTATCCTTCTAAATAAAATGGAATGCTTTGAAGTGAAAGAGGTAGCGTAATTATTAAGGGCATCCAGGTTTATGAAGACCTTAACTGTATCACAGAGATATTTAGCAAAACTTTTTGTGCATCATTAACAAACGGAAACCGACTAATATGATCAAAGCCGACTCCAATACCTTCCTGTGAAATCTCCGGTGTAGAATTCAGTGTACAAACTATTTTTAAGGCGATTAGTACACCGAGACACTCATACATTTATGGACCAGATGGAATTCCATATAGAAAGCTGAAAAATGAAGCAATGATATGTGTGTTATAATTCCTAATCTATCCACCATATTTCTCTATACACAGAGTGTTACCTTTAAACCTGAAAGATTATACATATCATCTACACATTTAAATCTGGGCCTACATCAAATGTTGAAAAGTACCGACCAATAAACAATAGTAGTGAGAGCGGCGGTGATATATGGCTCTCGTTTGTAACATCCAGCCTGACTGTAAACCACGACCTCGCTAACCGTCTCAGAGATAACTCATTTACACAGGTAACAGCACTGCGTTGCAACACGATTCAGTTTATTGTTGAACAGACTGTCGATTTCTCTCCGTCTCTGTGTCACAATCGCGATGTTCAAAAAACTAGTGACGCTCTAGTTAGTGTCTAAAAAGATTTATCAACTGTTTCCAGAACCCGCATCGAATCCCGGGGCACTTTTTTATGGTTTGCAAGCATCACGAAATGATAAGCACATGGTTATCTTACTTCTTATGACAATAGTAGGTCATGCCATATGCTCCGACCCTTAACGCCTGGAATTTCCTTAACAGTGAAAATCACATAATTATCTTATCTCTCACAGTACCATCGTTTTGTTTTTAGTAGACAGACAAATTGAAAAGCCTGTAGTAACTGCCCAACTTTAACATGATCCTTCAGGGTGTTTCATCGTCTCTTCTTGGTCCTATTCACAGAAGTTCATTGACCTACATTACTGTTTCTGCAGACCGCAGTTGTATGTAGAGCTGCGAAACGGGTTATCAGTTTATAATATCGATATCATGACGGAACTGAGTTTCACCATATCCTTAAAGATATCGCCGATCATATACTTAGCAGTTTGATCTATCAATTAATTCGCAGTTTGTCATTAGCCGTCCAGTGCTTCCAGGTTTCTAATGGTGGTCTAAAATCGATCGATACATGAATTCAATGAAACTCAACAATCTCCACAACGTTATAAAATTGTTTAACCTTAGAGAGCTGATTGTCGTTTGGCGGTAACTTGTACTATCTCTTTACCCTGCTACCGGTTCGGACTATAGTCGGACCCTTCTAGCATCTATACGAACGTCAGTATTTAATTTTATATCATTTCAATTTTGGTTTTACTTCATTTCTGTTCATGAAGAGTGATATAAGTGGCAAATTAAGTAGCCATATCATCAGCTGGTATCATTCGGCTCATTATGTTATAAATGTAGGTCTTGATAAAATTTCACGCTTTCTCGGTTTAAGCCCTTTGAAAATGCGGTTTGTACGTTTTCTGTGTACTTCTCCTTTCTCAAAATGGGTATCGGTTTTCTCCTTACCGACCATTTTTCTAATTTTACTCGTGATGTAGACTGCTTAAGTGACTGCTTATTCGAAACTAACATCAGTGCACAAGTTATGCTGCCTATCGAACTCATCGTTAGGCACTAGAATAAAGGTACTATACATGACTAATTCGAAGTAAGCTGTATGTCTACTTTCAGACTAGTGCTACTAGAGCAACTTTCATGTTTCCTTACTCATGCTCACTAATTTACTACTCATTTAAGTTCCCTTATATTTATCACAAATATGTATTTTCCACTTATGCTTTCCCGTCGATTGAAATAGTCCTTATTCAAAGAACAGGATTGGTGCTACTTTTGTTTAAAAATCTTGTGTATTCAAGTAAACTTTATTTTGTGACGTGTTATGCATCCCTTTTGTTTCAAGTTGAAAAGAGTTTGGTATCACTGTTTTGCTTATTTATGAAAACTTCACGCCTTCCAGATCTGTAATTGCTGTCTTTACACTACCAGGTTACGATTTTAAGGTCTCAAAAATGGGACGTCAACTAATCTTTGTAAATCCGGTTTATTTTAATATTAACTGAGTAAACCTATTACAAAACAGGTAGAGCATGGCCCAACTTTTACCGTCACCATGATTGTAGACTTTTACACTCATCCTTATCTCTAGTCAATATCTTTATATGTACCACACCGTAATTCATCATAGTAAAACATATACGGTTTTCAAATATTGATCTAGTGCAGTGCTTATTCAGCACTTCTTAGTTTCATTACTATAATTTATCATTTGTCCTAAAATCCCTTAATAAATCCAACACTTAAAGTAACAAGATCTATTGCGAAATTCATAATCATTTACAACTTATAAACTATCTTATTTCAGTTTGGCCGACATCCAGCCAATGGAAACTACTAGTCTCTCTTCAACTTTGGAACTCCTGTGTGCACCCAAAAAGCTTGATCGTGAGCGAGGTGAGGATCAGCTGAATAATATCGTATTAACATTTGACGAAGTCAAGTTTGTGTCAAGTTGGATAGAAGAAAAGTTGGAAGGGCTTTCAAATTGGGAAGATGTAAGTAGTTGTTATCCCTAATTCTTGTCAGGTGTTTGGTGGGATCACTGCAGCTATCATTCTACTTCGTAATGTCGACTACAAGTCGCTTGTGGATGTTGGTATTGTAAATAAGTTAGAAGAGCAAGCGGTAGAATGTCATGATAACATTGAATTCCGAGTTCGAATAGCTGCAGGTCAGCTTATGGGTTCCCTCTGTCGACATGCTGGACTACCTTTATTTCTTCGTTACTTACCCACTGTTATCCAAGGTGTCATCACTAATTTGGAGAGAAATACCGAGGCACCTGTGTCAGAAGCCGAATTATCTCTTCGAGAACTTGATTTAGCTAAGGTTAGTAAACTGCATCTGTCTTCTACAGTGGCTGGTGTTTTTACAGGAACACAATACTAATTTGAGTAGCAGTTCTCTGTCTATTTTTCATGATACAGCTGGTTGGAAAAACTTGGAAACATGGATGAAGAGTTTACAGGAAATGGTGTCAAATCTCCCGGCCAAGGATTTTGCTAAAGTGGATAAAACTGTTATTTTGGAACTTATTTTTAAAGCTGTTCAACATGTCAATCGTTTCGTACGTGAGACGGGTTATGATGTTTTATCAACAATGATTTCACGTCATTTATGTTATTCAGAGTCAGAAGCGAAGGAAACAACTTATATCAACGTTGCAAACCAACTTGTCTTGGGTTTATCAGACAATTGGAGTCAAGTATGTATTTATATTCGCCAACTTTTAGTGTGTAGCTTTCTAAGATTGTGGTTTTCAATGCCAGAATATTCATACATAGAGGTTTATTTTCTAATAATTTCAGAGGTCTGAACTGTAGCTGTAGGGTTTAAAAAACATATGTTCAAAGCCGAGCTGTACATATACTGACTTGAGAAACTAAATTTTTGTATCACTGTCTACACTAGCTGATACATCATCCGTCAACTAATCTTTACGCGGATGGATCTCGTTCCCCAGAAGTTTGAATATCAGCTACCCGACCTGTTTCAAACTGTTTTCAGCATTTAATAACTAGTTTAATACTGTTTCTGGTTTTCAAAGGAAATACCAAAAGATCAGTTTTTAACCGCGTTAAAAAATTGATTTAGATCACTACTTGATGCAAATATATTTGACGTAAATCTGCAAAGCCATGAAGTAATTCCGTTTGGTTGGTACGAAGTATTTGGTTATTGCCCATACAATCCCACATTAGTTTGCAAATTAAATTAAGATAACTGACCCTCATCCTATCAGTTATTGCTACTTCGCTTCGCCATCTCATTAAATACATTTAGAAAATGAATGATTTTAGTTACTCCAAATACAAAATTTGCCAGCTTTACCATTATTAACCAAAATCGTATTTCTCTGAGTTTTTAAAAGAATAAAATATATTACAATTGTAGGTACGTATGGCGGCTTCTAGAGCAGTACGAACTCTTTTTGAGGTTGATCCTCCGCCTGGATATACGAGAAACGATATTTACCCTATTCTTCTACCAGCTATGTGCTTGAACAGATATTATATTGCTGAAGGTGTCAAGATCTATAGTCAAGATACCTGGTGCCGTGTTACTCAAGGAGAAGGCCGAAAGTTACTTGGTCAGTATTTAATTCCAGCTGTCGATTATTACATTAAACAAAGTGATGCTGATAATCACGCTGTAAGTTTCTGATCATTCTTGGTAACCTACTTTTCAATGATATATTTTAGTGAAAAGATTGAGTTTATTTTGTAGTGTCGTTCAAAATGAGAGGTTGATTGTGAAAGCATTTCATGTACATAAGCCGAAAATTCTCTGTTACTCCTTAACTTGATGGCTTTCTAAAAGGATGTATAGTAGGCTAAAGCTAAGCCTATTACTCGAGCCTTTGTTCGTTGTGAACTGATTAACCCACAATGTCCACCTGTTGTCTATGGCGACTGGACACTATGTATATTAGCGTGAAACTTAACTTAGAGAAAAGCTATTTCGATTAGCTTTTTTGGATATTTATTTGAGAGTTTTCATCATTTGTTCGGTCCTATGCACATCATACTGTTATACGTCTTGTATCAGTCAGTATTCCGTTCGTTCGTCTTATCAAACCGAAAATATCGTTAATATGTTAATAAAGACTGGTCAAATTATCAACAGCGGGATAATCCAAACCATTTCAAATCGAGTTTTCTATTCTGTTTCGTGAGCAAGTCCACAATCATGAAGTTTCGCAGCTTTTACTAAAGATTGCTGATACCGTCATTTTCTTTGTTTTATATTCAGGTTCGTGAGGCCGCTTGTGCTTCCATGGCTGAAATTGTAACTAAGTTAGATTCAAAGTTACTGCTGCCGTGCGTCAACAAACTGCTTGATGCTCTGACAGTATGCTTTGGAGATGAAAGTTGGCCGGTAAGAGATGCTGCTTGTGTCGCACTTGGTTCATTAATCTCTATCTTTCCGAATGAAACACGCGCAGCTGGATATGATAATTTAATGGCTGTACAATTCTTACGAAATCTTAGCGATAGCATTCCATCTGTGCGTGATGGTGCAGCTAGATCTATTGCTGCAATTTTAAAGTCGGTTGATGATCAGGATTTATTCCAAGTAACCTTTTCAGTTTTATTTAATTTTATGTCCATGTATTAATATTGGATTTTTTCTGCTGTCTGCTGAATGCTTAACTTCTTTATGCTTGTGTTGGAACTCCATATCCGATGACAAATAGTGAGAACACAAAGACTGAGGATGAAAATTTATTTGACTCCCCAAAATAACAAACTGTTATCTGACTACACTACTTTTCAGATGATTTGTTTGCTGTAGAATTAACACTTCAATTTGTACAGTTTTAACTGAATAGTTTTTAATATTAGCTAATTAGTGGATTACTATGTGCACTCATTCTACCGATTGGTTTGATTCGCACTTCTCACCTTTTCAAGTGAAGTAGTCGCAATCGGTGCACATAATTTTCCTTCAGTATTTCCAGCTTCTAAAGGTGTCGAGGTCTGTCGTTTGTTCGACTTGTTCGCATCAATTTTATTAAATTATCTATTTGAAGTAACAAATATTTCTATCTTGAGACAAGAGATTGGTTAGTTCTTACTTAGCTTCCATCATGAACTTACATTGACCGAAGTACTATTAAATACCAAGACACATCTAATCAGTTTCGTCTTATTTGAACTCAGAAACCTACATGAGATCAAACTCAAAATCTTTCGGTTTCTCAATTAGCACTACACCGCACACCAAGTTGGAACACTGGTTCCCATTTTCAACCTCATTCAGTTAGTGATATAGCGCAATGATCACCTAGTCCTATTAGTGATGGCTGTATGACTCTCGATATGTTAAGACTCCAGAAATCATGGTTTCCGATTTTATGAAAAGAGTATTATTTTTATTTGATATGCTATTCATTTTTTCCTATATTTCATCTTGATTCATTCTGATGAATATCCCATTTCTTTTCGGTATACAAATGCATCTAAAAAGTTGAATAATAAACAACCTGATTGTACTATAAAGCGTAGCTTTATTTACTAATTTATTCATGATTCATTTCATTAAGTTCTTGTGGGGAAGTAGTGTAATCAAACACGTCAGTAGAGAGTAACTTATTGATTTCGTTGACGCTACCACAAATAAAGTTCGCTTGAAGATACGTACCATTAAATTCTAACACAGGTTATATTTAGAACCTTTGATATATCCTTATATAGAATTGGAAACATGGACGAAAGAAATATCCAGTTTCATCAGTGTATTCAGTTGGTGTCAGTTGCCGACGAAAATGAGCCTTATTGTCACCCAAGTGTGTTTCTTCTGTAAATGTTACAGCATTTGGTTAGCCATCGATTAAGGCTGCATTCATTCAGTGAAGGCTAAGTAAGATATCGATATTTCTTTAAAACGTTTCGGATATTAAAAGCAGTGTTGAAATCAAACAGAAGCATTATAGCCCGACGTAAAGGATTTGATATCTGGTGATTGAATGAACGCAAACATCTGTTGTATTCTTTGTTCATCTTGATATGGGGATTAACATAATTACAGGAGGCTTAGCAAAATGTTTGAGCTTTGAATCCGAACATGATATAATATCAAGTTGCCAGTAGCTAGTATGAGCCTTATTTTGAAGTTTGCTATCTAAATACGTTTATGTGGTGATTAAAAGTAGATTTGACTTTTTGTTTCTGAAAAGCTTAGTAACATATTATAATATACAACATATATTGTTGTTAAGTTTATTTGTTTTCACAGCTTGAATTGTCCGCCATATTTTCACTAACAATGGTCTAAATTCAGAAACTAGAATAATTATTAATCTACATATTTCATTGTCACACCAATGGATGTATATGCGGTTATTTTTGTTTTAATCAATTTTCCTAAGTATTATATCAATCATATCGTTGAAAAGATTAATGGCTTGAGCAAACAGCCTAAAGAATCTCATGGTGCAGAATCTAGTCGTGTGTCTGGGAAGGGTCCAGGAGCCTCTCATGTCACTGTCCACAGTGGAGATGCTGCTCATGACCGTCGTCATACCGATCAGGTTATGTACTCCTGTGGATCATTGGCTCCGAAGTTGCAGAAAGGTACGTGAACTATTCAGCACTCTTTGAAGTGAATGAGTTCAATTTTGTCGATAGTCAGTGTTTTGATACGATACCCAGAAATAGGCTTATCAACCAGGTCTTAATTCGTTGATACTTTATGATAATTATTGTGTTCGTATTCTGTATATGAGCGTGTTAATTTATTGCATAAAACCATGTACACATGGCTAGCAATGTATTTTATGTCAAATCATTTAAGAGAGTCAATCATTCATTTTCACAAGCAGCCATTAGTACCGACTCATACCTTTGCGATCAAATATTTCATCTGTCCAATCGATAATATCCTCTACTATAGTTTTAGTAATTTTTTATATTTTTCGTGTATTTATAATTGATAACTGCTGAAACGTTTGTTTTGTTGTCGCATTACTTTACAGAACCTACTGATCTACACTTTTGTCCATCTAAGTATTCCGAACTGTAAATAGTACTTTTGTTACTTTTTATTTTTGGTGTAGGAAGTATCTTCTCACTTTTCTAGTTTCATTAAAGATGGTAAAACGTCTGTCATTGATGTAAGTTAAAGCTCGAACAGCAATAGATTCATAAGAATGAGATTTTATCGACCTCACCTTCCTATCCTAATGAATCTAGTCTTGTAGTGTAGGTTGATTATTCACTCATTGTTAATAAACAACAGCATAAATTTTAATCCGCTATAACGCTTAGTTTCTGTATCCTGTGATGTCGTTTTACAACACAATCTATTTTCAAAGTTAAAGTACATAAGTAAGGACAATGTTTTTCGAATAATAATAACTGAATTTGAATTTTCATGACATTCGCTATTGAACTGAATTGTGTAGATGTATATGGATTTTCTAGTTTCAATCAGCATAATAATCGCAATGTATGATTGAAGATTCTAATTTTCATGTCCTGAAATCGATGACAGCGGTACAGATGTACTCATTATTCATCTTTCTATTAATTATGCTTCATCATCGTTAAACTTTTTGTATTATAAGTTGTCCATCAAGATTTGCTTTTTTAGCTTTCTATCCTTCTGATTTTATCAGTGTTATTTTTAAATTCGGCATTTTAAATTGACGTACATTTGTGTTAAATTATAGATTTTTATGGCTAGCTAACTACCATACTTCACCTGCGGTAACTCAACAATTCAGCAATAGTATTACTACTATTATTAACGGGGTTGACCTTAACGCTTTTTACTACTTTGTATCTAATAACTGACTATTATTGTGGTTGTGTGGATCACACGGGAATAGATATTTCGATTCTAATCTTCCATATACATTATTGTCTTTTATGCCTATATCAGTTTAGTCACCTATCTAAGGTTTCTAAATAAATAAATTGTCGGAGTCAGTCTTACCGTGTTGATGTTCTCTGGTTATTTATACTGATGTCAATATTTTAGGTCGAAAAGGTGGTGGTTGTCACGATGGTCTCCACCAACGGTCCAGTGAACCTTGGGAAGAGGCTGATGGCGCGATTCGTCTGATTGGTCAAATAGCAGAGACGTTTCCAGATCGAATCACGGATAATTTAATTTCTCAACTACTGAAGGGTTGTGAATATCGAAACTATACTCATTATCCTTATTTTTTGGAAACTGGTTAGTATAATCTTCGAAATTATAATCTCAGTTTACTAGTATGCGACCAAACAACGGTTATTCGGGTGTTCTTGTACAGCGAGTAACGTTTACACCTACAGTTTATTGTTTATAATGAATTGTTTTTTCTATTGATAAATTCATCAGAATCCTATAAATATTAAGGCTTTGAAGAAAGACAGAATTCTGATTGCATTCAATCAGGTAGCTAGTTTAATTGTGCATTCAGTGTCGTTTTAGATAACGGTAAAGTTCGCTTCGTATGAAAAGGGAACTACTTCATGAGATTTGAATCAGCCTATTCTAGTGACTTTGTCTCAGGAAAGTAAATCATCTAGCTTAGAACACAATAAATCAAAAGCATGCATTCCAGATAAATATTTTCTTAAGGATAAAATTCCAGAAAAGGGATATTGGTTTGCTGTTGTAGTTCACGATAGCTTTACTCATTTTGTGTAATTATTACACCTAAATTTTTCCAGCTTAAGCAAATACGAAAATTAAGTTTAATTTGTAAACAGACGTGTCACGGTGACTAAGCTTTTCCGTTTGTTAAGCTTGCAACTAGATACGGCTTATACATGAAACAGCCTTTGGTACTAGGATTGGTAGGACTGCCCGCAGGCCTCAAATCAAGAAATCGGGAGAGAAACAGTAAGAACCTTTATTCCACTAGGTGTCAAAATATACGGAGAAAACACGTGTATTTATAGTTTTTCGCATAGTGTAAAAACATCATTAAAATCATTCAAGCCACAATTAGCAATGTTCAACCATCATCCAGTCACTGTATGCCGCATCGACATTCTAGAGGTTCTATCAAGCCATAATTGAATGTAAGCGCTCCGGCTTCTTGAGAGCCATCCCGACACCTATCATTTTTGCTCAAACAGTTTATGTGCAGTAAATATCTGTAATATTTAGTCGTGGAGAGAGATCCCTATCTTCGTTCTAAAGATTGGCTTTGTTTTTTTCAGCTTGTGATGTAATTATACAACTTTGTAAACATCTCGAAAAACCTCTATTTAAGAAGCATATGGATGCATTTTTGGAAGTACTAGCAGCTGCGGTAGAAAGTAAATTACCACTGGCTGTCGGTGCCGCAACGGAATGCCTTACGTCTATAGGGAGTCGTTTTGGTCCAAATGTGCTACGTGGTCGAATTGAAAGTCATATTAATGCATTTGTTTCTGAAAACTTGGTTCAATTATTACCTGTATAGTTTTTTTACTGTTGTGACCGGCATAGCCAATAACTAGTATCGATGACTATTTTATTTGGTGCTTAATCATTTTTATAATTCAAGTTCCTGGTTCTTTATGACAGGAAATTAAAAAAATAAAAACTGTACTTGATGTAATTTTGAATATTTTTTTAAAGACATGCAATCTTTGCTGTATATTAGTAATTTGTGGTTTCGTGTGCTATTAAATACCAGTCTCCTGTATTCGGTAAAAATTTTTAGTACTCTAAATATGGGCTTACGATTTTGTATTCGTATCATGGTAGTCTAGTGGGGCTGTGACTCATCAACAACTGGACTAAAAGTTAAAATACTCTAATATTCGGTTAAGTTTAACCAGACAAGTATTACCACTCCTCAGTTAATATTATAAGGATTTATATGTGCTTGCTGAATTTTGTCTGCTTAATTAGTATTTACTAATAAGATTGATGAGTAAACGTTCAGAAGTTTATGGTTCTTTCAGATGAATAACAAGCTAGAACTAACGGCTCCTAAGTAAAAAACATCATGACTGGACTTAGGTGATCATTTAAATTACTTAGATAAAATAATAACAGTTTCACAGGAAGATCCTGAGGGATGACTTAAGAGGGATGTGACAGCAGTAAGGTATTTCCCTTGGACAGCCAGCATCAACAGTGATGCTGCCTTCTCACTAGGAAGAAAGCGGTTAGAAAAAGTCGACCTTAAAAAATACGTCACACCCCAACCTTACCCCATGGATTTCCGTCTCCGGCGGTAAGGCCTTCTAAAAAGGATGGGAGCTAACACTAACAACTCATAAAAATGCCGTATGTGACCGGCCTCAAGCAGTTATCCCTTGCGCTCTGCGATCACGCTGCTAGGTCGCTCAGACCAATGTTAACCCGATGTAGTTTTCAGGTTCTTCAGGGCGTACCCTACCACGGTGTGGGCGACCGGTTAGTGACATCCGCCCTCATACACATAACGCACGAGGCCAAATCGGTCACGATCAAATCCTTCCTACACCTAATAACCCGTCTATCTCCACGAACAACCCTTCTCACATTCCTTTATCACCCAACCGCCAATGCAAGTGATTCGAGTTCACGAAACGTTATTCCTAGTAGCCTGAAACCCCGTTCTAAACTATATGTTGGAACTTTAAATGTTCGAACCTTGTGTCAAATAAGGCAACCGACTTCATTAGTTAAGAGTCTGGACTCGTCGTTGCCTGTTTGTTGTCTCTGCCTACGCTCCCACTGACTGTAAGCGGGACTACTTCGGAAGATGATTTGAGTATTATTGATTCTCAATCCAGGAAACGAGCGATGGGCAGAATACTTCAGGGATACAAAAGGCTCAGTTGGCTTATAAAAACTTGCGTCACTTATGGGGAAGGAGTGATATCCGTTTGCTCGCCTAAGGACGAGTCTACTGTGCAGCAGTTCGCCCCGTCCTACTACATGGGTGTGAAACATGGCCAGTAAGAGTAGAGGACATTCGTAGGTTATTAGTATTCGAAGCATTGCTCGTATATCCCGGGACAACCGAGTAAAGAATTATGGTACTGGGAAACGGTTTCTAGTTAAAGTTGCTAGATCAATACATACAGTAGTGAGTGTTCGTCAGTTGAGATGGTTGGGACGTGTGCTACATATGCTAAATCGCCGACTGCCTCGGCGAGCGATGTTTTTTGGTGTAGGTTCGAATAACACTAGCAGTGGCCAAACCAAAACACGGCACAAATCCATGATGTCACTGACAAAGGGAAGTGATCTATGTTGGCAGATGTAGACAAGCAGGTTGGTGTCCGCGAGATAACAGTACTCGATGGTTAGAGACCTTGAATGACATGGCTCGAACTCGCCAGTAGTGGCGCAGGCGCATCCACTATTTGCGTTCTCTCAAATTTTAATCTGAATCCCTCATGACCATCTTCCTCTTCTCAAATTTTTTTCCACTGAATTGTACTCCTAATCTTTCTGATATCTGCTTATATTTCTATTACCTCTTCCACTATGGGATTTGTATTGACAGTTGCACCTCTGTGCTAATGTAGTGCGGTGACTTGAACTGATGTACGCACGTACGAACTTCTACGTTGTAGCTGACTGAATAATTTATTTAGATTGAACATCTTTTTGGGACTTACTCCGCTCATCATGCTTAAGAATCGACCGAGCTAATTCAGATTTCGTTGTCGAGAGATATGTCATGTTTATTTTTTTCGATAAACTATATTTTAGTCATTAGCTTGTTTTGATCCTAAACAAATTAGTTCCTAAAAGCTTCTGCGAGATATCGGAATTAGCATGTTGATTCATCTAATAATCCATTATCTGGGATATTTCGTTCCTGCTTAGCGTAATTACAACATATGCAAAAGTTTGTGTTCAATAACTGCTCAAGCAAGTCATAGTGTGCAAAACGATTAAATAACTAAACAACTCATTATATAGATATGGAGATCATTGTTTTTCATTTGAAATAATGAATTGATCATTGTTAGACCATTATTAGAAACTAAACGACGTTGAGAAGTTTTTCTTGTTTCACTCTAAGATGTTCATGGCATTTACATATTCCCAGATAATTAACTCGTTATTATGATGAGAAAGCTCCTAGATAATCATGAAACAGGATTCATTATAAGTTTGGTGGTGTTAATCTAAATATAATAAACGATAGATTGAACATCCTTTTATGACAGAATTTCAAATTGCTCTTAAAATATGCAAGCATCATCTAACTAAAGATTAACCAATGGGTGTTGCTCACTACACTCGACGTGTGATAGGTACAAGATAAGTACAGCCATTCGTCATATGGGTAGCTTTTTCATTTTACTTCCGAGTCGGCAAGGTGTAAACTAGTTTCACGTTATGCATGATATTTCACCGATGCTAATCCCTCATCAAAATAACCAGTTTCAGAAGTTCGCCTACTGTGAGCTAATGTGCGATTGTTCGAAGTTAAACAGAGCCAGCAAGGATACCGTTCTTAATAATGATCAGCCATAACCACTTTAGTGTTCGAACCCGAGACTCAAACGCCTAAACTATCGACGCCACGAGTTACTGAATAAAACGTACCACCACCTTTACCACTATATTCGACTACGATACACATTCAACAGCCTGCCTCAATATATTAGTCAAGCTTTAGTTGAATCGTAAGTATCTGGAATAGAGCAACGGTTAACCGTAGAACGCGAGTTTTGGTGATACCTGAAGTCTGTATCTGCTAACCTCTGCGAGGAGCGAGAAGTCACACTCGCTATAAATGCTAAATATCTGAGATAAACATCCTTTAAGTATCGTAATCATATCCTATCAGCGGCATGACCTCATTTCCAAAGTGTCTAAATGTTTATCTCATACAAAAGCTTTCAATTAGATCACTCCAGCCAACCATGATGACAGAAAAACGGACTACCGACTGAGGGTGATTGTTATTAGTTGAGTTATCCTCTAGTAACGTGCAAGTCTGCATGATGGGAATTCAGTTTAACATTTAGTAGCTCAAAGATAACATTTCTGACTTCACGCGATCGTCCCGCTGAAGTTTATAGTCAGACTTTTATCATCAGCATGAACCAGTGAGAGATACTTGCCAATAATAGGATCTTGGTGAATTCTAATTACTACTTCAGTGTTCCATGTAATATTTGAGTTCAGAATGTAAAACAGGTGGTCAACTATCAGTATGATAAGACAAACAAGTATCTATTTACAATTCTCTTTCCAATATATGGTCAGAATACAACTATCATTAATATAATAAATTGTTTGGAACAAGATGGATATTTATATATTTACTGAGGATTTTCGGCGCAAATTTAAACGGGAATAGACCCATTAGAATACAGGGGTAATGTATTTGTAGAGTCTGTGACTTGAAAAGCATTCCTCAGGGACTGTAAACACTTTAATTTTTCGATAGATTCAATATCTTGTTGCGGGGTTTTTAAAATGGATTTTTCTAATGTGTTTAACATTGGTTCTAGTAAGTTTCGTTGTTCCGTAACACAATTTGTGAATTCTTCATCTTGTTTCACCAAACATTCTATAACGTTCCACATAAAATCCCTGAATCGAAACATAAAAATAAGAAAATCTCAGTATACAATCAGGATACTAGTGATAAAAAGACGAAAAAATCATGATTGAAAAGGGTTACCATTGTTCCGACCCGTTCTTTTAACTTGTCAAAATTCAAATGAATTCTATTTTAGAAATTCTGTCAGTCAGTCAGTTACGATGCAGAACTTCGTACGTATGTACATCAGTTCAGGCTGCCATACCGCATTAGCACAGAGACGCAATCGTCAGTTCAAAACTCATAGTGGTAGAGAAAGTAGAAGCACTAGCAGTAATGGAGAAGATTAGGGATCGAAGATATGATTCGAAAAGTATAATTCAGTGAGATAACTTTAGATAGAGAAAGACAGAGGCGGTGAGGAATTCAGAAGATTAGAATTTGAGAGAAGAATGAGTGGATGCACCTACGCCATTGCAAACGATTTTCAGCCATGTCGTTCAAGGTCTCTAACCATTGGTGACTTGAATCTCGCGGACCCCAACCAGATAGCCTACATCTGCCAACATGACTCAGTCCACTTCTTAGTGAATTCATGGATTTGAACCATGTTTTGGTTGGCCCGCGCTGCTCCTACACCACAAAACATTGCTGTTGAGGCAATCGGTGAGTAAACATACGTCACATATGTCCGAACCATCTCAACTGATGAAGTTTCAATACTCCATGTATCGATCCATCATCCCTACCTAGTACTCGTTTCCTACCTACAGCATTGCTTACTCGGTCGTCACAGGATAAACGAGCAATGCTTCGAATACTAATAACCTACGAATGTCCTCTACTCTTACTGGCCACGTTTCACACCCATATGGTAGGATGGGGCGAACTGCTGCACAGTACACTCGCCCTTTGTTTAGCAAATGGATATCTCGCCTACGCTATAAGCGACGCAAGTTGGCACTAGCCACTCGAGACTTCTGTATTTGTGCTAAGATTTCCTCAGTCACCAGGCCATCAGTGCTGATGAGACTCTCGAGATAAGTGGAGCGGTCTACACGTTTGACTACTTCACTCCCTATCACTAGTTCAGGTGCCGATGCAACCCAATCTTGAAGTAACATTTTGCATTTCGACGGGGAGAACGGCATACCGAACATGCTTGCATAGTTGCCCAGGGTAATCAGAAGACTGCATTTTGTCAACGTCTTCACCGTATAGAACTGTCATCGGGATATTGTAAGTCAGGAAGCGTGTCTCCTGGTAGAAGGTTCGCTCCTGAGAAGTCAGATGAAGATAATGTTAACTCTAAAAACATGTCTACAACAAAGTTAAACAAGAATGGAGAGAGTGGACAGCCCTGACGTTGAATTTTTTATCAAGACAATGTCAAAAAATGAACACAAAATGAAACAGAATAGTGAACATACACTTGTATAAAATCATCTTCTCTCCATAAAATGTATAATCCTTTCAGTGCCCATTCCCACGTTATCGAATTATGCTTTTCAGCATAACGAAACCAATCATATAGTGTATTAATTAGTTTTGTTTTCCAAGTTAAATATTCTTCACGGCTATTTTTATTATTGTTGTTATAATCAACAGATAATTCTTCAAAAATTGGAAAACATAATTTAGTACATTTGTTTACCATAAATGCAACAAATTGTTTATACTTTTCCACAAAAGATTGATCGATTTTCACTCCACTATCGTCATAATGGAATCCAGTCGTAGAAGTATTGCTAATTGGCCTTATTAAATCATTATCTAACTTCTTTAAAATATTTGTTATTTTCATAGACAAATCTAATGCATCTTTTGGGTTAATAGTAGCGCGTTCGCATACCATAAGTGTTAACTGTTCAATTGTGCTTGGATTGATTTGTAAATAGTAAATGAATTCAATGTTCAGTAAATCATTCAACAATCTACATAAGTGATTGTATATGGACAATTTCATTGAACTGATATTTTGTTCACAAAATATTATTGTTGAAGGTATGTTTAGTTTCTTTATAGCATAACTATCGCATAAATTTAATATACGTTTATAATTTTTCATTAGACTATCCAGTAAGCCTTTTGACGATAAAACCACATCAGGATAATGACAATAAGTGTTATGATAACGTTCAATTAGTTGTTCACATTCATTTACATTAGATTCATTAAATTGAAACATTAATTTACAATAATTATGTAAATAATCACGTTTTATATGATTATTAGATAATAAAAATGTTCTGTCTTCATAATGAGTTAATAAATTATGAATTCGTTGACCTAATTTTACATTAGTTTCATTTAATGCACATTTCATTGCTATGGGAAAAAATGTATAATCATCCATAGTCCATGCATCAAAACGTTGAGGTGATCCACCTGTTCCATTAATATTATTGTTATTAAAATAGATTTCTACTTCGTTTAATAAGTTATCTATTAGATCCGAACACTTATATGTGGAATAATCCGTATTATTATTGATCAAATTTTTACTTAACATAGATCTATTTGTTGTTGAAGTAGACGATCGATTTACAGGTGCCGGTGTTCTATAGATTAACAACAATAAATTAGCTAATGTACCAAGTTCAGGTTTTAAATTTAATCGTTTTAATTCACTTAGTAAGCCTAAACCTATTGAAACATAATTTTTATCAGATAAATGTGATGTTGATTTCACTTGAACACTTGCTTGTGCTAATGTATAAAGAATATTAGTAAAAATTGAAATGTTTATTGGATCTCCACATATTTTTACATGTTCTAAAATATTCACAATAATATCCCAAATATTTTCTTCATCATTCTTTACAATTGTTAATTGATGTAAACAACGAATTAATTGATTATAAGTGGCTAGATCAAGACATTTATCACCATGTTTTGATTCCCATGCAAGTTTAGTCAATTCAAAAGCACGATCAGCATTACCAAATCTAGCTGCACCACGAATCATACTACGATAACCTGCTGGAGTGTTAAGAATGTTAAATTCTTTGTGAAACAATTTCTCTGCTTGTGTATCTAAACTCCAATTATTCACTTCACCGGATGATACATTGTTGTCTGTAAATTCATCATTAATTTCAGCATTTGTGGTATTTTCTAATTCATTTCGTTTAGCTATTATTTGTCTATCATTATAAGGTGTAATATTGAAATGATGCGTTAGATAAATTTCATCTGGATCTGGAAGATTACTCCAATCATAATTATTTAATAATACATGAGGATGAGCTCCACCTCGACCACTATTTGTAACACATAAAAGATCGAGCAAACGATGCAAAGTATTCGCTGTCCATTTGTAATCCTGATTTATACATATAAAATATACATAATAAGTAAACACTATAACAAAAAAAAGCAGACTACTTTATAGTGCATTATTGATTTAGAGGAATATTTAATTGAAACTTACTGTTTAAGTTGTTGATTAGCTTATTTTTATAATATACACGAAATTTTCTAAAATAGCATAACTGTTCAACTTGTACTAGATAAACAATCGAAATTTGTGGTTAGCATAATCTTGCTCTAATAATTTACTTTATAATCTATTACTGAAGAGAGCAAAAACAAAAATTTGTATAGATAAACATGAATTCTTTTTATTACCTTTGGCTCTTGTCGGCTGCTTACAACCTTTAATATTTTAAAGTTATATTACAAGATGATAAAGGGAACTATGTACATGAAAAATCTTCTGTTATTCCAATAACAAATGGCCATTGGTTGGTGTCTAGATACACAGCTGACCACTTTATGTTTAAAATGATAACTTATTAACAGTTTGATAAAACGAATAAGCAGGCTCGTGTATATATATATATATATATATATATATATATTAAATTAGAATAATGGAGTGCAGTTCAGTATACAACAGACAATTACCGACAATTGTATGAGGTCGCGCAATTCCGTGAATTTGATCAAGTTAGACATTAACACCGTTAGATACCGGCTCAGTGGTCTTACGGTTGGGGCGTTCGCGCACAATACCGAAGGTCCTGGGTTCGAATCCTGCGAGGAGCAGGAGTCGTGGATGCGCACTGCTGATGAGTCCCATACCAGGACGAAACGGCCGTCCAGTGCTTCCAGGTTTCTAATGGTGGTCTAACATTGATCGATTCATGGTTACAAATAAAACTTAACAATCTTCACAACAACCCCGCAAGACAATTGTAATGTGAATGATAATAAGGGATGAATTAAAAAACACACCAAAAGTGATTTTCACCTATTTCAAATCTCATAAAATATTTCACTCACTCACACTCTATTTGGTAAACAAAAAACAGTATCGTAGATAGTTGTATCTCTACTTCATTAGCTAGGTTATAAAAAATATTATAAAACTAACTGAGTGAACAAACGCAATAATGGGTATCGTAAAGACAAGTTGGACTTTCGCATTACTCAATTCAGTTTGGACAGTTGGCTAATGTCAATAGCCCTTAAAAAAACAATGCAAATGGAAACTCAATAAGTAAATTTATTAAATGAGCTGCATTCACGAGTAAATCATATAAATATGTATATTTTTATCAGAAGTGATGAATAGTAAGTGGAAGTGGCATTCAGGAGACCCTTTCAGCCCATTTTAGACTTGTCACCTGGATGCATTCACATTTTTAGTGTTTGCGTCCACACCGGGGCTTAAACACAATACCACCTGTTTTAAACGTCCGACGCGTTATGTACTGAATTATTGAGTCGAACTAGTCACGGGTTTGTACAACAGGTGTAAGTTTTGCTATTTATTTGTAACTGCTTAGATCATTTCATTGTTCAGTTTTCACAAGCAACAACAAGAAAATCTAAACTTAGAAATAGATGATGTATAACAGTTTTATTGTTATGATATATACACTTACAGGAGCTATTTCATTATATAACTTCCACGAATGTCTAGGAGCAAGAAGTAAAATCAACCGTTCCATAGCTTCATCATTACTTAATGATCCTTCCATAGCACGTTTCACTATACTATCTGGAGTTTGTATAGGTATCCATCGATCAATTAATGGAATCTGAAAATGAAAAGAACATAAATTCGAAAATGAATTATTACAGCTTGTGATGTAGTGCAAATTAATTTTTGTAAAAATTACGAACAGCAAAACTAGTAAATATTTTTCTAACAAGAAAACAGATAACAAATTGAAATTTTTACTTGTACTCAATACTACAGCCAAAGCTATCAACAGTTTTATTCGCACCATGATGATTAACAACACTAAGAAAAGTTCAAAATAAATGAATAAGTGAGCCTATAACCTGAGTGACGAAATAAATGAAAATTTACCATAGACTGAATACGCTGAAGGAGTCACTGTTCAAGCATACACCAGACTTTAACTAAGATTCACTGTTGATGCTAGTTTTAATAAATAATTGATAAATTCTATAAAATATAAAAATTTATTAAGTTTATCTTTTTATAAAACTACTGAAAAATCATTGTAACTTACTTCTTTACTCAAAGCTGTAATATCATTTGGAAAAAAATCTCTGGCAGATACTCTTGCAGCTAAACGACCTTTAGCTTTTGCTAACATACAAAGACGTGTTTTCGTTTTTGATAAATGACTAAAATCTGGACCTAAATAGAAATTTGGAGCTTCTGGAACAGGTTGAACGCATGAAATTAATGCACGTATAATGGAGGTAGAATTTCTGTAACGTTTTAAAGGTGGATCCACATCAAGTGAGTTTTCTTCTTTCTTCAATTTTACATATGATAACTTGGAAAAATAGATTTTATATGAGAAGAAATGTCTTCTAAGTGGTGATGATGTATTGATTATACATGAGTAATGCAACATAACTGTTTACCTGTAGATAAACAAATAATACAATAGAATGATGTTAAATAAATGATCTAATATGTTAGTGAATGAATCAATCATCTGTCAACTAAGATACTTTGTTCTCACTTACTTGACTACATAAGAGCAACTCAAAAGTTACACAATCCAGTGGTTTAACCAATTGACTATTATTGGTGAATGATCAAGTTGACAATTCAAACTCCTGATACTTACTTTATTCTGAACAGTAAAACAATGTTGCACTATTATCTTTTGATATTAAACTAATTTGTATTATTTTATTTGATGAATAGGTGAACTGTAGTCATCTAATTAATTTATGTTTGTGCTTATAACAATTTATAGGATCATGACATTATAATAGGAAATTCAACGAGATAAACCACTCTACATAATCAATGGCTATTACACACCGGTATCAAGAATGCTTACACAATACAACACATCATTATTGTTGGTATGTGCTGTGAAGATTAGTTTGAGTTTCAAATTTAGTTCATCATGGAATGACAGTTTGATTCTCATATGGTATTACTCATAATTGTGCGCTTAAGGTTTTCAAAGCAAAAAATTATTTTACAAACTGCCCAGCTGAGAAGAGTCAAATTAACAAGTTATTGTTATTATGTATTCTAAGATCTCGACTGATTATTTGGATCACTGATCGTTTCGTATTGAGAAAATCGACCTCCAAATTAACCATAAATTTAGAAGTGTAAACTTGCTTACAGGAATTTATTTACAAAACATTTAAACAAGTGCCTGACAGAAGAATTCCTAAAATCTTTATAACAATCAAACTGATAAACAGTTATTTTATTAATGACAGAGAAAATATCTAGAAGAAGGATATTACAAGAAGTATATTGAATAAAGGAAAAAGAATAAGAATATTCATTTCAGCAGTATACACATTGAAACACACAAAAAGGAGAATATTATTATTGTTATTTGTATTCATTATTTCCCTCTTAATGAATGAGAACGTAAATTAGGACCAGAATTCATTTTGTTTAGGCGCATAGCAATGGACCGCGTCATACGAACAGTTTGGTCAAGACTACTTTGTGTAGTGTTAACAGTATTACTAGTTATTGTATTTGCTGTTGTTGTGGTGTGATAGTCAATTTTCAATTTTCCACTCATTCTATTTTCATTAATTAATGAAACAGATCGAGGAGTTTGTTTAACTTGTGACTGAGACATTACATTTGACGATGGAGAATCAACAGAGTTATGTTTTGATTTTGTTTCGGTTATTACTGTTGAAGGAGAGGTTGAAGTCATGATTACTGAAGGTGTTGTTGTGATAGTGCTTGTCAATGATACATTCATGTTAGAATCTTTCTTCATATCTTTTAGATCAACACTAATTATTGATTGGGAATTTGATGTTACTGTAGGTGATACATTTGATGAATAGGATGATTTATTTATTGATGAAGATAATTCTGACAAATCAGATTTCATATTTAATTGATATTTGGAAGTATTTCGTGTTGTACGCCGTAATGTTTTATCATGAGATATAATTGTTAACGGTTCTGTATCACTGGAAGATTCAGATATTGTAGTATTAACAGATGATTGCTTTAATTTACTTGACGCTATAGTAAAAAAAAAACACATATACATAAACAAACGGACACAAAATGAAATAAAATAAAATAGAACAAATGAAAATATGTCTTATAATATTGACAATTGCGCATCGAAAATTTATACTATAGGAAATCACTTTTTTAAGTGATTAGAAAAAAGGTAGACAGTAGTAATTAATAATATGAAAGAACTAGAAAGTAGCTAATAAAACCACTTGAACCTTAAACGGCTATTATCAATTAGATTTTGGCGACCATTCTATCCCTAGAAGCATAGTTTCATGGAAGGCTAAAATCAGAGCATCTAAAATCTTGTGAAAAATGTTATAGTTTAATAGCTTAATAGCAATTCATTTCATTTATTGATAATCGCGGTAACTAGTACAGCACAGTCCTCAAATGTTTTTTATTTTCTTGAAAATTATAGATTTCTGCAGCTCTCGTAAGTTTGAATTAGGTTAATGATATAGAACTGGATATATAATTCTGTCCCTGCATCATTTGTAATGTGGAAACAGTTTCGGCTTTTTTTTCTCCCTTTGTCCTATCAGTCTGTCAATTACAACGTAGAACTTCGAACGAAAGTACGTAAGTTCATGTTGCCATTCCACATTAGCACAGAGATGCAATTATCAATTCACATTCTTGTGGTAGAGATAGTAGAAGTATTAGCGGTTATGGATAAAAAAAGGGATCGAAGATATTATTCAAGAAGTATAATTGAGATAACTTTAGAAAGAGAAGGATAGAGATGATGAGGAATACTGAGGATTAGAATTTCAGAAAACACAAAGAGTGGATGCACCTACGCCATTGCAAACGATTTTCAGCCATATCGTTCAAGGTCTTGACCATCGGTGACTTGCATCTCGCGGACCCCAACCAGATAGCCTCCATCTACCAACATGACTCAGTTCACTTGTTAGTGACTTCAAGGACTTCAGCCATGTTTTGGTTTGGTCGCTCCTAGCTTTCTTCTAACCTACTCTTACACCACAAAACCATTGTCCCATGAGTAGTATTACGAAACAACTTATACAATATTTTAGTCATTAATACTGAGCACAAATAAATGATACCATAAAATATAACGATTTAATAAGTAAACAATAAAATTATTACTTAGTTTCTATAATGATGGTTCGGCTATTTATAACCATTAGTGCGTAGATAAAATTGTGTAGAGGAAAATAACTATTTAGATAAGTGTAAATATCCAGCTAATGGTATTTCATGACGAAAATTACCTTCCAATGATACAAAATCTTCGCAAGATAACCTGGATTTTTACTAAAGGTTACATGCGAGATAACCCTAATTGCTAATAAGAAACAAATAATTTTGAGATGGTGGAGAAAATTTTTAGCTCAGGTGGTTGATTGTGATGGTGTTTCGTTCTCTGAGCTGGATGTTTTGGTTATGGAGCTTTCATTGTTCTTCTGAACAACATAATCAGCACAAACTTCAAACTTCTATCTGAAGAACAATGAAAGCTCCACAACCAAAACATCCAGCTCAGAGAACGAAATACCATCACAAGAAACTAATAACTTGAGAGTTAATAAAGTCATGAGTGATGTATTTATCCTAACCGGTAGGATCATTTTATAACTGTTCAGTAACTTTTAAATGCTGTGTTTACCCAAAAATCTGAATGTTCTTAGTCACGACTGAGTACAGTTGGTGAATCTCAAACTCAAATAAAACAACTAATGTTTCCGGTCCTTAACGGTTTGGCAACTAATAGCTCTTCTCAGTGGAACTTATATTCAAAAAAACGAAATTATTATACCAATCATTTATTCAGAAAATACAATTCAGATGATCTGTTCACTAGAGCGAAAACATCTAGTTAGATCAAATAGCTTTGTAAACTTCATTAAATGATGAAATAATATAAACTAGCGTCGACGACTTTATTTAGCTTTTTTCCAATTACATCAAACTGAACACCAAACAAACTGAGGAGTTGTTTAGTGCTTCAAGGACTTCAAGTTCAATCGTAACTCTTTAGACTCAAACTATGATCCCTCTAATTCGATTTGAGCAGCCGCCATACATATGCATCGTAAAGTGTAGCCCGAAATATAATAAACAAACCTATACTTGGTCAATGAGTGAGAAAAATTAATTTACTAATATTAATGAATAGATATTCATTGATGTGGTGATTTAACCAATTCAACATATGAACATAAAATTTCACAATAAAATGTAATTACAGAACATATGATAATTTGATCTTCACATAATTTCCGTTACAATATCTTATCGAATAAAATATGATTACCTGAAGCTATATCCTTCTCATGTGGCCAGTATTTACTGAACCAAAAATTGGAAGTATGATCAAGATAATGAATAAACATATACAAATGTCGGTGGATTATAGCACGTCTACAAGATGTTAACTGCATACCATCCAATAATGTGGGAAGAATAGCTACAAAATAATGTTTCAGTTATAAATAATAAAACTTTGCCAATTAAATTAACAATGTTCTGATTACAAAACATAAGGTACACTACTGGAAAACATATAGATTCATTTTGTTAGGATATTCACCAAATATCCTATTGGTCGATTTCTATCGGTCAAAATTATGGTCGTTTTAACTGTCAAAGTCAAATACTTCAATGTTGTCTTTTATTGGTCATCCGGACTGTCAATATCATTTCAAGTGTTCTTTCCTATTGGCCGTCCTAAACTGTCAATGTCACAAACTTTGATGCGCTTCCCTATTCGACCTTAATGTATAAATACGCACTATCTATAAGCCTTCATGATTCCGATTCCGTTTCTCCTGCCTACCTCTCTTCTGTACTCGACCCAATAAACAACTCCACCCCACGGTGTTGCGTTCTGATATATAGGAGATTTGAAAATAGCATTTTGGGTCGTATTGGGATATTTGAAGTGGACGCCATTAGGACTGAATAGCTATACGTAGCAGAGTTACAACACATTTACAGTACACAGAATTCAATAGCTGAGATTGCTAATTAACATTTTAGTTTGAATGAAAAGATTGAGTATAAGAGTGAAGAAGTTTACTTATGATAGATAAAGATTTGTTTTATGGTTTAAATGTAGTTGACACAGATAATGATTAATTTTATCCGTATAAATAAGAATATTAATGTAATTCAATAATCTAGTACAAATAAGTATATTCTTTTTTGAGTCAAACATGATGTACAAAGGTTAGTGATGTTACTCAGTTGCATAAAAAGTAGTGGGATAGAGTTAAAAAAATTAAGGCTAAATAGATGAGCCTCAAATTACTTTAACTGCCTGAACATCACTTTGATTCGCATGAATATACAGATATTCCAACTGTAAACATCTTGAAAACAAATTTAATTGTTTTTAAAATGTAGCTGTTTAGTTCACGGATATGCAGGGTTGAAGTTGTGTAAAAAAACAGAAAACTATGTAAGACAATACACAGATTAGGGTTTGAAAGAAAGTGAAAACATGATAATGGTTGCCGTCAGTTTACATTTCTCTACAAGAGGACTTGCAGTGACTCAAATATTTTAAGTAGATAGTATCAAAGAGCACATGAAATCGATGGTCTATATGTTGAATGGACAAAAGTTACCACTTATTCAATGTCTTATTTTTTAATGTCAGTGTATTTCTCTTTTCCCTTGTTTTTTCCTCGATAAATATTGCTATTACTGTAGCTTTGTTATTTTCTGACTAGTTCTTTTTTGTGTTGATTGTGGAAATTAAACTGATACATGTGTTTGGTCGCAAGGTAATCACTGTCATTATTTCTGATTGAATGACGACGTTTGAGCTCTAAACCTTAATAAATATAGGTTACAGAACAAATTTTGTCATGTCCTTGATCTAACAAGACACTGGGATTATTAGCAGGTAAGTTGCGACCGTCAAAATGGAAAACATATGTAACCCTATCACACTGGTGATATCAATTCTGGTGATAAGGAAACTGACAGGGAGACAACAAAAGCGATACAACTATGGAAATAAGAATTAATAAAACCGAAATAACATATGCAGTTTTTTTTTGAAGGAAACGCATACTGTAAACGCAACTACAACTGCTGAGTATACATGCTATAATCTAGATAAATGACCGAAAGTTAAACAAAAAGATTGTACGATATTAGTATGATGTGAACTTATATTTTAAGTGATCAAAACTATGAAATAAAAAAGATGAAATGTTAGGCAATTTATAGATAACTTACTAAACAATCTTAAAAGGTAGTAAGGAGGATAATTTAAACAAGGTAATTGAGGATTTTTTAACACTTCCGAATTCGGAAGTAATTCATATCGAGGTGAAGAGAATCGATAAACCGAATGAATATCATTTGGTCCAAGATGACAATCCAAATCGAATGCTCGACCATCTTCAAACAGATGACCATTGAAACTAACATAGTATAGAATGGGAAAATGATAAGAGTGTCACATAAAAAAATAAAACTTTATGAATTGAATGGTTTGAAAACAAATACTGAAGATATAAGAATCAATTTTGTCTAGGTATGTTATATTTCCATTCAAACAGTATTCAGTTAACATAAACAGAGTATATAAGATGTTGGTTGTAGCTTGTGTGCTCATACTGTGTAAATACTTTATATAATTGGATAGCAGGGATTTTTATGTGTTCCTTGTGTTCTCCTCCTACTTACAACCCCGATTCCCAAACATTTGGTAAATATCAACTTCTTCATTCATTAGTTAATCGAAGTTATCACATCAAACGTAACAGGACTTTTAAAGTGTGTAGTCAAAATAACCTTGTACCATCACTTAATATGTGCATATTTCTCTGTGTAAAATTCTTGTATACAAATGGATAAATTGATGACACTTGAGAGAAAAATACATATTTGCTTTATTAGATGTTATTACAATTATCAATATCTAAGAAAATACCATAGACTTCTGACAAATTTAGAGTTATAGTGAATATTTTTGTCGAACTTATAAACGAATAGAATGACTACTTATTGCGAAATTTGTATTAATGATGTATGTATGTTCTACTTAATTCACAAAGAAAATGCAAAGCGAACACACATGGCCGTATGTCCAATGGTTTAGTGTTTAGCCTTAATGAAATGAGTTGTTTAAAAAAAAGATGTAATTAATATAAATAATATAACATGGGATAAAAGCTTACTAACTACAAAGTACGATAATATTTACCTTAAGTGGAGAAACATGAAGAAGACAAAAGTAGATCGCGAACCAGACATTAAAACATTTAGAGAACGACTGGGATTACATTACTACTGTTAAACGCTGTCAATATAGTTTAACCACCTACATAACAGTGGACTTTGGATATTCCAATGAATATCGGGTCAATAAAGATGAATACAATCCACGTTTATATTTCAAATTGTCTGTGAATTCAATAGCTTTTTAAAATGTGAATGATATCATTCAGTAATTACCTCAAAACAATTTACTCACACTCATTTGCTGAGAGTGAAGTTTGCAATATTCACTGAATATTAGCAAATAAATGCTCACAACACTGACCACCTATGTTTAACTGGAGTATTCAAAAAGACGCTTATTATGTAGTAGTGCGTTAAAATTTGGAGATTTCATATATCAGAATAGAAATAATCTGAAATATTTAAAAACAGAAACTTACTCATTTGGTAAACGTAATTTTTCATTAGGAAGTAGTAGATAACTTCTTACAGCGAAATCAAACAATATGCGTAGACTAGAACAAACTTCTGCACAAATTAATCGGTTTCGATCAGTCTGTGAGAATAAAGGATTCATTATTCGTGAAACACGATCTGAAACAATCCCTTCGAAATGAATAAAATCAAGAAAAGTTTTGATAATCAATCATATTGAAATGTGAAAAAAAGATTGTTCTTAGTTGTTGAACTTCGTATGTACGTACATTAGTTCAAGTAGCCAAATCACATTAGCACCGAGACGCAATTGTCAATTTGAAACCCATAGTTGTAAAAGGAGTAGAAGTATTAGCGGTTAAGGAGAAGACTAGGGTTTGAAGATATTATAAAGGACGTATAATCTAGTAAAATATAATTAAAAATAAAAAGATAGGCTGATTTAGAATCCAGGGAATTAGAGTTTGAGAAAAGCCGAAGAATAGATAAGCCCCCGCGTTGCAAATGATTTTCAGCCATGTATATCAAGGTCTCTAACCATCAATTACGACTATCTCGCCGACCCCAACGAGGTAGTCGACACCTACCAACATGACTCAGTCCACTTGTCAGTGACTTCATAGATTTGTATCATGTTTTGATTTGGCAGCCCCTAGCATTCTTCCAGTTTACTTCCACATCAGACGACGTAGCTCGTCGAGGCAGTCGCTGGTTGGGCATTCGTGACCCATGTCTCAACCACCTCAACTGATGGAGATTCAATACTTCATTAACTGATTTGCCATTTTTATTTAGTACTCTATTTCTAGCTACTGCATTGCTTACTCGATTGCCCCAGATTATACGAGCTATGATTCGAAGACACCAGATGTAGATGCCGGTTGTCCAAGGGAAACACCTTATTGCTGTCACACCCCTCTGCAGTCAGCAGTACGACTTCGCCCTCAGACCTTGAGGTGCTACTTTTGGTCTCACCGTTCTCCAATCGAACTGCCTGGCATGGTAGAACCTACAGGAACACATGTTCCCGCCAATATAGCTCGGTTGGGTCATTACGATGGGCAAGCCCGACCACCAGGTCAAGGTAGCAGCTACGGTCGGGTTAGGGTGGTGGTGAAAGTAGTGAAGGCGGCAGTAATAATAACAATCTCATATCGACCTCACAACATGGGTTCTTGAGGTCCAAGTCATGAGATACATGCCTACTAAACTAACTCAATGACATTATTCGAAAACAAGACAGAGGGCTTCTAGTAGCAGTCCTATTCTTCGACTGTGAGAAAGCTTCTGATTAAGCCACACAGAAAAGGCTTCTCCTCAAACTAGGGTCATTCGAAATCAGAAACTCACTATAGCCTGAAGATCTGGATGATAATATAGCCAGGATTCAGAGTGACCTTGGTAACTTATCTACCTGGGAAAAAACATGGCAGCTACCTTTTAACCACAAATGTGGCATCATGCATTTTAATAAGCATCACTAAGAAATACCACTCTAGTTACAAAAATGTAAGATTCGGACTCTTATATCAGCAAATGATCTGGGCATTCACTATTCAGGAAGCCTAATGTTTGAAGAACATGCCTCTTCTATTATCTCTATATTTGTCAAACAGTGTGACCACTATGGACAAATATATTACTCTACTAACAGTTGCAAATATCAACTTTATTGTATAACTGAAACACTGAAAGATCGAAATAAACCTGTAAAGCTACAGTACACGTTTAAGATAAGTAGTAACTAAACAAAATAATTCAACAATTAAGTTCATGTGCTTGGTTTTCAGCTGCACTTACTGTATCAGGGCTATTGGACTTACAGGTTAGATGCCCAAATCAAAGTAGGTAAAGTGGAGTTTAAATCTGCTATCAAACCACTTACATTTGAGTGTCGCTATTCTAGTACAGGTTTAACGCAACATATGGCTTGAAAGTGAGTTGAAAGTCAACGACCAGTAGAATCAAGGTGCGAAATATGAACGATACCCTTTTGTAACTTATTTTTGCCTGGATAAACTTAAATGGAACATTATATTAAATAAAAATAACAAAGTAATGTACCTTTTCCTTTATGATGTTGTTACACAGATGTTTAAATAACCAGGTTTTGCTGATAGTATTACAGGCTTAGAGTTCAACTGGTTTGATTAGGACAATACTTTTTTAACAAACAACAGATAGAGCCTAATAAATTTCTTCATAGAAACTACCTCACGCTATATTTTATTTCATTCAAGTACTTAATACTTACTTACGCCTGTTACCTCCAACGCATCATATGCCGCCGACCAGTATTGTCCAACCTACTTTGTCCTGGGCTTCCTTTACGAGTTCTGTTCAATTTTTGTTGATTCTCATTTAATTCAAGTAGTATAACATTATTCTTACAAAAAGCGCTACATTTTTATACATGACACAACAATTCATAAAACTTATAAAAATATTAATTTACCACTTGAAGAACTGTTACCCCCAAGCAGAGCATTAATATTTAATTCGCTATATGGGAATCCATCAACATATTTTTGGAGCACTTGCAGAACAGAACACCAATAGGGAAATGTCTTGGACACATCTATCCCCAAATCACTAGCATCGGTATGACATTTCAGTATAGCTCGAAGGTTTCGGGGAAGATCTAAAGAAACCATATAAGGTTTATGTATCTGACATAAATATTTCTAACTTGCACGAATTTACCTGAAGCTGTTCAAACTGTAATTGTGTTATTTCCTCTTTATCCAGTATCGATGCAAGAACTACATCTAAGTAGGAGGTATTATCACCAAACGATGTTGAACTGATCGATGTTTTCCCCTTGTTCTTATCGCTTGAGACAGAACTATGATAAGATCTGTTTGATTTGGATCCTTTCCAAACGCCGGGAACTGTATCCCAATCAATATCATCATTACTTAACGCTGCACCCTCCAGAATCATATCGATGCGTTGTTTACGTTGATATCTTCCACGCACCTTAATAAGAGTATTAATAAAACAGTGCAGTTACATTCTGGGCAACTTCGTCAATTTTTCTTTTTAATATTCTATTGAATTCATTGTTTTCAAGAAGCAAATCCTCTGGGACTTCACGGTCCCACTTACATTTCCAACCATGAAAATGAACCCCATAGTGAGGAATATTTGTATCTTTACGAGAAATGTGTTTTAATATCTGGATCGACATTTTATTTTAAATACTGAATATATTACCTTCGCAAAATAAATTAGCTTAGCCTTAGAACTGTCAGGTTCGAAACACAACAGTTTTTGCCCAATATCATAACGATGTGGACGATTGTGCATAATAATACAAGTAGTCTAACAAATAAATCCAGGAATTTCATGCACGAACTGTAAATAAACAAAAACAGCAACCATAAATAAATGAAACAGATGTGAGGTGACTATAAAAGAACATTGCACTTGTAACAATTACATACAACTCTGAATGCGGTTTACGATGTTGTTAAAAGTAAATTTAGGCACTGTGAAAAAAATTACGGTACGAGTGTACGTTTCACAAATAGTGAAACAGCCCACAAATAATACAAAATGGTATAAATCAGTCAGTTACAACGTAGAACTTCCTACGTACGTACATCAGTTCAAGTTGCCATACCACGTTAGCACAGAGACGCAATTGTCAGCTCATATCCCATATTGGTAGAGATAGTAGAAGTATTAGTGATAATGGATAAGATTAGGGTTCGAAGATATTATCCGAGAAGTATAAAACAGTGAGAAATTTCGAAAGACAAATGAGAGGTGATGAGAAATACAGAAGATCAGAATTCGAGAGAACACAAATAGTGGGTGCACCTGAGCCGTTGCAAATGATTTTCAGCCATGTAATTCAAGGTCTATAACCATCGATTACAATTCTCTTGCCGACACCTACCAACATGACTCAGTCCAACTGTCAGTTATTTCACGCATTTGTGCCATGTTCCGATTTGGCAGCCCCTAGCTTTCTTTAAACCTCTGCATCGGTAGCTGGAAGCGATTCGCTCTAGTTGGTAGGTAATGGTGATGCCCAAGTAGTCTGAATCAAAATAAAAGACAATCAGCTATGCCTTATATCTTGGCTCAATTAATAGTTGTTAACCAACAACTGCTTCAACTATTATTAGGTAAAGTTCATTTATAGCAAGTACCAACTTTAACCATCATAAAAGATATCATCTGACATAGCAACTCCTAATGTCGATGAATAATGGAGAGAAGTAGTACATATTGCCACCAGTTTTCGTTCGAAAAGGTCTACAGAAGACTACTGCTCATCATGAAGAACATTTTAGACCAGTCGCGATATAATAAGAGCATATGTTCAGCTGCATCTTAATGGACTCAGAAAAGTCACAGCTAAAAACCCCTAGTTTAGCTTTAAATGAAAAAGTCGAGAATAAATTTCATGAACGACTAGAAAACCAGTTATTTAAGCATGGGTTGTATCCACATCGAATTAGCTTGGAATTATATCCAGCTACAGAATCAGCATTAATATCAACAAATAACTTAAACCAAAAGTTAATAAACAGTAGTGGACTTAAGTAGCATCTACTAAACTAGTAGATGCTTGAAAACTCATGCTGTCAGGCTCGTAACACAGTTAAAAGTGAAGACAACTTATTCGTAGATTAAAAAAGCCTGGATAATGTTTGCGAGCAGTGGTAAGTATCGATAGCAAAAGTGGTAGGTAAGACAGTGGCAGTAAGTAACAGTAGACAGTCTAAACGAACTAACGAAACATGTACTAAGAATATGTGTCTAAATGAACCCCTTTAAGGAAAAGACGGGGATTTTAACTACTCTTCATCTGAGATTAGACTGATGGACAGGATATATGAAAGTTGATTTAGCCTTCAGACAGATTCCAGCGACCGGGCATCTCGAAGTAACCTGGATGCCAAATTGACATGAATCCCTAGGTTTATAGCGAGGGTCAAGGCAATCGAGAGGAAGGAAAACAGATGCAAATGGATCAGCCCCGAAAATATTTAAGGATGATGGACCAGTTTTAGGTTTGCTGAATTTAAGAAAGGGACGGAATCCTATCTGAGTGACGTTGAAAGTCAGTCACCTCAGGCTATAAGGAAAAAAAAATTTTTTCTGGTACTACAGATGAATCAGTCAGCCTAAATAATCATTAGACGACTAATTACAGCTCACATAGAACGAATTCAGGAAAACCAGGTTGGATTTAAACATGAACGTAAATGTATCCGCCACTGATCTTAATAACGCTTCTAGATGTCTAACTGTAGCTGTACTTATTGATCTTAGGGCAGAGTACGACTTGACTGAGAGGTTTTGTGGAGGTCTATCATTCGAAAATATGAGTAAGATAGGTGAAAATATTCGAAATCGTTTCAAGCCCACTACCTGAATCTTTGGCAAAAATCTTTGTGATTCGAAGATACACACCACAACATAATCAATTACGTATATAACTAAAAACCAAGAGAGCAATAACCTATTTCAGAAGAAGAAAATGTTAGCACTCGACATTATCATTCTAATTTAAAAATAAGATATTGAGAGTGATGTATACTGACAAAACTGTCTTCAGATACCCCCCACTGCTATCCTAAACACCAAAGTGCGGTAACAACATTTAACTTATCAATCATGTACCGATGTATGCATAAATTGCGCATCCAATATCCAATATCCTTTTGCCAGGGGCTTGCATAAAGCAATTGATTTCTTTGAACTACATTCTTATTTTTTCAGTACATTTTAAGGTGGTTGGTAGCATCAAATGGATGGTTCTCCAGCCATTCCACTGCACTAATTCTAGTCGGTTGGCAGTTGTTCGTGATTTTGTATGTCCCGTGCTTTCAATGAATGCGTTTGTTTCAGGTAGTAGGGTTTCTTGATATCAGCAGCTATCACGTTACAAGGCTGTGGGTAAATAAGTTGCAATGTCGAGAATAATAAGGAGAAAAGTCAAATGTCAATGAAAGTAAGATTTTAGAACAAAGTAATTATGAATATCTAGTTTATTAATTGGTAGTGAACGCTGTGCGAAAAAACCGAAGTGTAAGCACGGAGAGAAAACAGAGATGATAAGCGAGATAGATTAAATTAGCGACCTGAATGGATGGCAATAATAACAACTAGCAGATCTTTAGATATGCATTGGGCACAAATTGTCCACGACGGAAATAATAATCCATGTGTTGGTAAGTGCTTACTAAGTCTCTTCTTAAAGCTGTCCACTGTGGGGGCTGCATTCACCCTCGGCTGGGAGAGCGTTTGGAGATGCAACGACCCTTAATAGTAAAAGGTGTGCACGAACCTGAGAGTCCGCTTCATGGTGCGCAATTTCCCGAGGATTACCTTTAGCGGGTGGTGATGATGCTTCTGTAAGTTGCCCACGTTGGGATAAGTTGGAGTTCCTAATATGCTGATCGCCATTATCAGACCATTTCCGATTCGCTTGTAACTCAGACTGAATAATCCCCAATGCTCGAGTATATCTTCGAAAGTTTTTTCAACCATATCATCTTTGAACTCAGTCCAATAGATTTTTGTATCTTTTAAGGAGAAGGCGAGCAACGAAGTTGTGAACCTTAGGGTGTGTGCATGCATGTCTTAAACAGCGTTGAGGATAACTCTATGGTAATAGAACCAAGTTGTCTTCGCATAAGGTGAAGAGTCGCGCTTGCGTTGGCTGCATCCCCGATATAGTTCGGGCGGATGTCCAGGCTTTCAGTGTCTATTATATCGAGATCACACATTGAGGAGAAATAAGGGAGTCTGCTTCCGTTGAGGTTGTGGGTCGTTCGCGTTATGTAGTGCAAAATTTACACAACGTAACATCTAGACTGATTTAGTTTTAAACCCCTTTTCACAGCCCATTCCTCAATGATGTAAGGTCCTTCAGAAACTTTGCTGAATCCTTTTCGCTTCTAACTGAGCTAAAGATCTTTGCATCGTCTGAGTATATCAGTGTCGACGAGCTTACTGTGTCTAACAGATCTTTGAGCTGACTTTGTCTGACAGATCGTTAATGAATATCAGGAAGAGGACTGAACCTAAGCAGGCCCACCGTCAAACTCCCGATGCTGAGACTCGACAATTCGCGTGCACTCTTTACCTTGGTGTGAAATGTTCTGTTCTCAAGGTAGTTTCTGAACCAAGATGTGAGTGGGTTGGTGAATCCTGGTTCCGCTACCGTTGCAACTAGAATTGCGTGTTAATTTGTGTCTAAAGCTTTTACAAAATCATGCAATATAATATGCACCGGTATTTCTCGGTCCAAGAAGGTTATCCAACTGCCCGATGCTATGAGAAGATTGGATGCGCACAACTTGCCTTTCTGAAACCCGTGTTGGGCTTCGTGGAGGATTTTTTCTTATCCATTATCTCCCTAATTTGTTTGTTCACCAGCACTCCTACTATTTTCGGTGTTATTGGTAGTAATGCAACCGCTTTGTAACAGTCCTTCTTATCACCTACTTCGAAGACTGGAGAGAGAAGCTTGTTGTCAATCAGCCTGGAGTTAGCGTGACTCCAGTGAATGCCTTAACAGATCCCATATAGGTGAACTGAAGGCTTCTGAGCACTGCTTCAACACTATCGGACGCGTATGAAATCTTGTTACGCCTGCATGTAAACACGTCATTTTGATATGCTTGAACTATTAAGAGTTTGCCTAGTCGGAAAACGAGAGCGAGGATCGAGAATCCAGTGATCCGACATGCTACTCAAATCCGATTATCCCAACCCCCATATTGAGTAAAAACAAGAAGACTTAATATGAAGTAGAACCCGTATTCTACAAGCATCCAGAAAGTACGAGGCCCGAGTCCAGAAAGGAATCAGGATCCCGGACTAGGGATCCGGGACCGGGTCCTGGTCATAAAACGTTACACATAATGTGTATTTATATATTTTGGTCGAATAGGAAACAGCATCGAAGTCTGTAACATTGACAGTTAAGACATCCAATAGGAAGCGACATTTGAAGTGACATTGATAGTCAGGACGACCGAAAAATTAGCCAGGAATTAACCAATAGGAATAGACCAATAATTCTCTTAGGATATTGGATGAATATCCTAACAAATCTGATGTCCAGTATAAATTGTCTATCGACATTATGCAACAAGTGATTTATTGATGCTAGCATCTTCATGTTACAGGAAAATTTTGCATCAGTTTATTATCTTATGATATTGTTTGTGGACCGAAATGCAACAATAGCATGGGTGAATTGTTCAGATATCTCGAAGTTTGGAGAGTTTTTTTTCCTTCAGCCTTCAGTTTACTTTGTTTTGATTCTGTCATGCCCTCAGGTTTGTTACAGATATCCTATAATTTCGAAACTTAAAAAGTCAAGTCATACTGGTCGATGTCGAAGTAAACATCATTGAATTTGCTATGACCTTGTGTGTGGTGGTGAATACACTCGCGATTTAAACAGTTCATCAGCTTTGAATCTTGAATACTAGCCTCAGTAGTTTCAATGGACACTTTTCAGCCAGAGAAGCGTCGTCAGGAATCCGCATCAGATCACATTTAGGTATTCCGTACTACGCATAATGTACAACAACTGTCCCACCGGAATCACAATTGTCTAGACGAATGGACTGTTTGCCAAAAATGCGCATGAACTTTCTCATATCTGACTTTTATTTTGTCGAGCTTTTAGATTCTGAACCAAACCAGTATCATCGTAAACAGCCCTATCAAACAAGAAGTGTCTGTAACACTTTTAGAAGAAAAATGGTTATGAAAATGAATATTTTAGCTATAAGGACATCGATACAGTTTATTCTCCAGTAGAGCTTCAAGTTTTACTTCAGTACGTCTTTTACGGAGCTATACGATAGGAGATGTTGACATCCAAATACTTACAGAACATACGGAATACTGATATCAGAATACCCAGCGTTCAATCAAGAAATGAAGGTAGTGGCATAAGCTTGGTGAAACCCATATTTAAAGTAGTTCCAAAACGTTGTACAAATCCAAACATGTTAGCAACCTTAACAAGACACGGATTTATTTTTTGGATGGAGTGGTGCAACAAAATAACTCAATAAATATATGATAACTCTAGTGTGCACTGACATGTTGAGCCCACATAGCTTGGCTTGATCAATTCATTCTTCTCTTATCATTATTCACACTTCTTTCAACCTTGTCAGTTCTTCGCTTATATGTTGGTTGTTTTATTAGTGTGTATGTGCATGCTTACTCCGCTTATCACTTGTCTTGTTAATTTTTGTCTGACCATTAATAATTAGTCGTGCCTGATATGACTGTGTAGGCTGACTCGCCTACTTGTACTTGGCTTGTAGGCCTCTTATCCCCACGTCTGTCTGCATGATCGATTGCCTGAAATGAATTCACACAAACGAATCAGTATTTGACTTCTTCTTACCGCTGTCGCGCAAATGCGGTCCGCCTAAGTATGATACACAGAAACTGGAGATATGATTTATTTCATCACCGACTCGATCATTCGTCCGAAATGGAGTCAGATCCGCCAATATACAGCACGATCTATATGTTAAAATCGCTAACATTTTTTCTATAAAAGGTTATTCAGTTACATTTCACAAGATACACTGACTACTTATAGATGGCTAAAATTTTTCATATAAAATTATAAACAGTGTTTCAGACTCCGCAATGTACAATACCATGGTTGGTTGCTACGGTTGCGTTGCTACGGTTGCGTTGCTACGAACAACTGCTGATTGAGAACTAATACACGATAATGTTGTCGTTATTCCCAGTCTTAACACTAAACCGAACTTCCTTAGGATGAAATGTTTCCTTGTTCAACTTTCGCACATGTCGCTTTGTTTGTGGTTCTTTCAAATGCTCAGAATTATGAGAATCGTCAGCGAGCCACTTAGTAACCATCAGTTGGTGTATTAGTATGTTGTGACTGCAATCTGAAAGGTATAGCGCTGTGACTTTGAATTTTCGTCACTGGACGAAAAAGGTGTTTCAAAGTCTATCGAGGAAACTTAGATGGGGGATTAAAGGCATATCTGAATGATGATTGGGATGTTGTCGCGTGAGCGAACGAGAAGATATGTTGCATAGGCGTGACCAAACGCCTTCAGCTGAGTGTATTTACGAAAACTAATGGGATGAGCTTAAATGTCGAAGATTTACTGAACTACTGGTTTGTATCCTCTTTGTTTAGTATCCTGTCTACGATATTTATGTTTTAAAATTTACGTGAGTGGTATTCAGGGGAGAGACTTATATACACTTTGCCAGTAAGTTCTTGTCTATGAACCTTATGTGAAGTCTAGATTGAGAGAAAATTTAAGAGGCATGTTCTCCAAATTTTAGGCTTCCAGATTAATGAATACCCAGATTGTGAGCCAACGTGAATGTCTGTATCCTATATGTTAGCGAGTAGAGTGATATTTCACGGTGATGCCTAATAAAATTCATGATGCCACACTTGATGTGGCTAATCTTTAGTTGCTATGTTTTACTGCAGTCAGATCGTTTCTCAAGCTGTCTGTGAATCCGGGTTACATATTCGGTCATTTCTGAAGGCTACTAGCTTTATACTATTTAGTGATCTTCCGCACATAGGTATAATCCTCCAAATTTCATAGTTTTACAGATGCAATTTTCTTTTTCAGCAGCTTATTCCACTCCCTAAACATTAGTCTGAATATTTGCCGAAGACTTGGTTACTATACCTAGGAGCCTGTTAACTTATTATCTGGAGAATATCAACCAGATCGTGGCACACTTACGTCATCAATAGTTATTCTATGCCGACTTGGTTCTACCTATCACTGTTTCCTAATTACTCGCAGTTCATCTGAATGCAACCGTTGTAACTCGCGCCAATTATATGCATTGTTCATTGCAGAGTTTGGAAAATTATCTATTATTTTATGTGAAAAAATTTAGCCATCTATATGAAGCCAGTGTATCTTGTGAAATATTTCATTAACTGAACAAGGTCTTACAAATATGTTAGCAATCTTAGAATTTTGACCTTACCTGTAAATTGGTATGCCTCATGTAACATGTTGTTATTGGAGAGTAAATTATTATTATTACCTATTTCTGGCGGAAGTTAATGATAACTATTTCCGGGCTTGTAATTTGGGTGACTTCTGGTTCCTTCGATTTCAGAATACCAAAGACAGAAGCATTTTCTGAATCATGCTGCTAACGACCACAGCAATGTAGAAAAAACTCTTTCTTTGAATATGTTCAAAATAACTGTGGGAAGTCTTGAAAAAAAACAAGCAAATACTGTTATCCAATTGCGTAAAGTTTTATTCATTTTTAAAGATACATACTGGGAATCGTACCATTATATTTTTCACCGAACTTTTATTTTAGGTCGTACTGTGGACAGAGTGTGACATCACGAGGAGAAGTTGCTTGATTTTCTTCTGCTAATATCGGTTTTATATACTGCTGTGTCAGCAATTAGTAGGCTCTATAATCGTTGTACAATGGAGCCTGGAAGTTAGTAAGTTGAAATTCGAAATCGTTACTAGAGATTAGTCGCCAGAAACGCATCAAGATCAACTAAAGGTCCAGAGGTGTTTGCTGCTGTCTTACGAAAGTCCTCGCTGAGTTTGCATCTCGTAGTACATTTCCCTATTTCATAAATTATAGTTTGAAGTACCATTCAATAATGTATGTAATACATAAAATGTCTCAACAGGGACACAGATGTTGATCAAATCAAATAATATGAATACATGTTTTCGAAAATACTTTTTCAAACTCTGGCTTTTATTGTTTAAATGAAATTCAGTAGAGTTGTTAAAACTCCTTTGAAGTAGGGCATCTTTGCACATTGTTGCAGAGCGATCTAACTTTTAATACGTGGTACCTACTTAGAGATACTTACGACTTATGATAATCCATTTATATTTACTAAAGCAATTGCTTACGTCTCATTTTTTCTGGATGTAGTCAAAATTACTTCATATCGGCTATATTAGTACGCAACATTCAGGTTAGTGATGCAAATCCGAAATTTGTTACCCGTATGGGAATAAAGAATTTCGGAATCTAAATCATTGATAAATGGATTGACTCCGTGTTATATAAACGGCATGACCTAACTAATGCCCGAAGTTTATAGTGGTTTCAGATTAAGTGAAAAAATGCTACATTTTCGTGTGAAAATAATTCTGAAGTATGTTTGTGAGCGCTTACTTTACGTTAAAAGTGTATTCGGATGTCTAAAGCAGAAGTGTGCCATAAACTTTGCATTTTCACGCGGTTACAACAAACAGAAAAGAATCGGATGTCCAGTAATGTTTATTTGGCTGAAATATGAAACGGATTTCTTATTTTAAATACTGCATACACATTTGAATACCACTCCAATCCGACAAGATATGGTACAGAACTTTAAGCTTTACATATAAATGTAGTGAATTAGTCTCCTTACCGAAAATATAGAATGAGTTGGTTCCAGCAACTTCATATTTGCAGTACAGAAGCTTCTTCTATACTCAAGGCATACCGGCCCACAAATAAATGTTGGATTCACTACGGCTAGTTTAGTAGAGTTGCAACCTGTAATTACTGGCAGCCAACCGAAACCTGAAATCACAGAGTACTATCAATAAGGGAGTTGAAAGAAAAATTCATTTTCCTATTGGCTTTCCCCAGAGCTTTTCGATATTGCATACTACAATTTACTATGACGAGAGTTCAGGGTCTGAAAACACCCTCCAGGTCGAATCAAATCAAATGAAATCAAAAGTCAGAATTGAAAGCATACTAAAGAAATTTTTTGAAGATTTGTGTAGTTCTGAAATATTCTTCTTATTAGCAATATAGTATATTTATTGATTTATTTATTATTCTCCACATTGCAGTTAACTGATTTCTGGCATGTTATTGTGATAACCAGCAAAGTCTAGTGGCTAGACCACTATCCGTTGAAAATTTCAAATACCTGGAACCCTAGCAAAACAACAAGAAGCAAGTGGCAAGAGATCAACACGTTCTTACTAGTTCGTGGAAAAGTTATTGGATATTGGAAGTGTAAATAGCGCGGTGTTTGGTGAAGCTCGTTGTTTTACGAAATTTAACGGACTGGAATTTCGGCATGCATTTATTACTTCATACCGAAACCCTATTATCAGAGCTACCATATACTTTTGTGAGTATAAATTTATGGATTTAAGAAAAAGTCTTGAGTGAATATTTTAAAAAGGTCCAGTGGCGTTGATGTGATGCATTCTTTTTACAACTAAAACTGAATTTCCCACGGCATTTATCAAAACTTTCACAAGAGTTCGCAATTACTTACCAGCTTTTGCTTGGAATGATTTATCTATGAGACCATCTTGTCTGTCACTGTCCTCCATGTATCGTTAACCTACCTCCCTGTAGGACGCTATAGAAGTCTAGGTTAGTCACTGCATATATAAAAGTGTGAGAAAAATGACAAAATAGTTTTAGAATTTCGTTTAGTTTTTGGAATCAACTTATAATAAGTAGATATTTATATATTGCCAAACATTAGGTTACTAATCGATTTATTCCATTTAATTTATTTAAAACTGATGGTAAACTTTGAGTTTTTCCTTAAAAAATTTTCATATGTAACTTCAGTCAGTCAACAGCAACATAAGACTTAGTACGTACGTACACCAGTTCAAGTTGCCGTACTACATTAGCACAGAGAAGCGATTGTTAATTTAAATCCCGTAGTAGTAGAGGTAGTAGAAGTATTAGCAGTCATCAGAAATTTCAGGGTTCGACGATATTATTCAAGAAGTAGAATCTAGTCAACTAAACTCAAAAAGAATGACAAAGGTTATGACGAATTCAGAAGGTGAGGGTTAACGAGAACACAAAGAATAGTCGAACATATGTAACTTAGAGGTTGACGTACAACATATAAATGATACTTTTCAGGTTTATCATCAACTGGTATAAAATATCTTCGAATTTGGCGAACCTTTCGATTTTCGTCAAAGCAGTTCACTTTTAATGACCTTTAAATCAAAGTTTTTTTTGAGGTAGTCGTTCAGTGAGAGGAAAAGGAGATATGAATTTATTCATTCTCTTGTATTCAGTTGTAAAACTTTCTTTATATTGCTCGATAAGTTATCGTTCTACTATATTTCAGTTTTGTGCAGGTTATGCATGAGTTTTTGACATTCAAGATACAGACTCTAAAGTATTTTTAATAAAAGCAATTGTAAAAATCAAACTCCAGCTCGTCGGCGTTCCAAACTGTTGTTGGTTCTATAATGAAGTCAAAACATTCAGTAGGTATGCCCTAACAAACACTGTACATCCTGTTATTTCTTACTTAGCCGCCCTGAAAAAAGTCAAGAAAAATGTGAAAAAACACTTTAATGACCAAGATGCTTCTGAACTTCACAAAGTATTGTCAAAAAAACTGTTCGGGAATTTAGTAGAGGTAATTCTGAGAAGTTATTATAAATTTTTATGGTTTCAGCCTTTTCGACAAATACAAGTGTTTTATTATTTCCACTTTCATTTTATATCAATCGGAAATAGGAATTATATAGTTAGCTAATCCATTCTGTAAGCGATATGTAATATGAAACTGGAAACTCGTTTCCCGTTGCATTTGCTCAAAAATGTTATTGTTTGTATTTGAATAGTTGCCTAATAGCATGGTATAGCATTATGGTTTTTATAAACTCAGCGTGTACTCGTATCAATTAGTGAAAAGCTGTATATCGTGAGCTGTCAAGGAGATTCAGTCACTTAGCTTCAACGTAAAATTTCGTACGTACGTACATCTGTTCAAGTTACCAAACCACGTTAGCACAGAGAGATAGAATTACAGTTCACATCCCATAGTAGTAGAGGTCCTAATAGTATTAGTAGTAGTCGAAAAGATTAGAGATCTAACATATGGTCCAAGAAGTATAACCCAGTGAAGTAAATTTAAAAAAAGAACAAAAGTCATAAGGAATTCAGAAGCCTAGATTTTGAGAGAATATGAAGAATGGATGCAGACGATTTTGAGACATGCCATCCGAAGTCTCTAACCACCGGTTACTATCGTTTCGCGGACCCCATACAGGTAGTCTACACCTATTAAGATGGCTCAGTCCACTTTTCAGTGACTTCATAGATTTGTGTCATGTTTTGGTTTGACCGCCCCTAGACTTCTTCCAAACTACTCCTACACTAGAAAATATAGCTCATCAAGGCAGTCGGCAGTTGGACACACGTAACACATAATTCAATCACCTCAACTGATAAGCTTTCGATATTTCATTGGTTAGTCTGTCATCCCTGCCTAGTACCCGTTTCCTAACAACGGCATTGCCTACTCAGTTGTCCCAGGATATACGAGAATACGCCATAAGTGACGCAGGTTGGCAAAAGCCAATCGAGTCTTCTGATTCCGTACCGAGATTTCGTCAGTCACCAGGCCGTCAGCACTGATGAGACTTCCGAAATAAGTAGAGCGGTCTACACGTTCGACTACTTCACTCCTTATCACTAGTTCCGGTGCCGATGCGACCAAATCTTGAAGCAACATTTTGCATTTCGAGGGGGAGAACCGCATCCCGAACATACTTGCATTGTTGCTTAGGATAGTCAGAAGACTCTGCATTTTGTTAGCGTCTTCACCAAAAACACAACTATGTCACCTGCATATTCTAAGTCCACAAGCGTGTCTCCTGGTAGAAGGTCCACCCCTGAGAAGTCAGACGAAGATAATGTTAACTCTGAAACTATGTTAAAGTGTTCAAAAGTTAATAAGAAATAGAGAGAGTGCACATCCCTGACGGACACCGCTTAAAGTAAAGAATTCCGATAACAGTTCGCCATCAGCTCTCACTCGACCAGTAGTTTTTGAGTAGAGAGCCTGTACAAAGTTAGTGTTTTTTTGATACGTCATTCAATGACAGACCATGCCACAGAACCTCACGATCCACTGAGTCAAATGCCGCCTTAACGTCCAGGAAGACAACTATTGTAGGACGCCTAAATGTCTGTCTGTGTCCCAGGACCTGTCGTAGTGTGAATATGTGGTCTATTCAACCACATCCAGGTCGGAAGTCAGCCTGGCTTTCTCTTTTCTGCTCTTCAAGAGCTCTAGTTAGGCGCTAAAGTTTAGTAAGGTTATTTATATTGTCCAACGTTTCTAACCCTCTCTTGCCTTTGTAATAAGGCAGCATCACTGTAGATACCGTTTGTCCAAGAGAAACACCTCTCTACAGTCAGCAGTGCGACTTCACCCTCAGACCTTAAGTTGCTGCGTTTAGTGTTTCCGTCCCCTAATCAACCTGCTTGTCATGGTAGAACCTAAAGGAACATGTGTTCCAACCAACACAGCTCAGTTGGATCATCATGATGGACAATCATGACCACCACGTATAGGTAGCAAGTATGTTGGGTTCAAGAGAAGTGTTATTTGACAAGTAGTTATATTACAAAAGTTGCCTAAACTACAACTTATCTGCTATTTAGTAGTGGTCCACACATTTGTTCATACTTATCAGTATTGTTATAGGATATTCACAAGCTTAGTTCATATAGGTTTAGGTCTCTAAGACCAACACTAATCTACCTTCCTTTTCAGGTCCCCTCAAGGTTTAATGTTTATTGTTTGCTTTATGAACGTTTGAATAACTATAGCATCATAATTTCTTTTCAAATCCGGTTTACAGTTGTTAGAAAGTGTGAAAATTGGTCATGCAATTGCTGCATAAAAACCAACATTAACAGTTGTTCATAAAGTCCTAGTTTTTCTAACTTGGTTAGTAATGAATTCGTAATAGCAGCTATCACTCATCTCAACTAATATATTAACTTACAACCGTCAGAGCCTTTTTGCATAATTTTGAAATTACTTAAGTCATACAACTAGCTGCTTGTTGCTTCTATATGCGATTGAAAGCAGGATTTATAATTGTCCAAATCGTTGACTGTATGTTGTTATGTAACTCGTTATGTCATTTTTTAAGTTAGTGTAAGTTGGTTGCGAAGTACATGTTTTTGTACTGTTTCATAGGTGAGTAGTGAAAGAAACTATACGATTGTTCAAACTAAAGTTGATGAAGTGATGCTCGAAATCGAGGTCTGGCAATCATAGTACGATCCTAACAACTCAAGTTAGGGCTTAATTTCTTGATTTCAGAGGTTATTTAATGATCGTAAGGTTTTGGGTTGAAATCCATTTTACTGATCTCGGTCAGATAATTTGGCAGTATCTCAACATTAATACTGTGACAAACAAGTGGATATTAAGTCCCATTCTTATCAAATATTTTCTGATGCAGTGTTCAGATCATTTATATCTACAAAATACTGAAAAAACACAATTATTTGTAGTCCTGTCGCTTTAACTGATATCTAGCTTTGTTAAACATTTAATTAAATATTATTATTCACCTCGTTACAAGCACTTTCATATTCCTCACGACGGTGCCGTGATAATCTGACAGTTTCTAAAACTGTTAACATTAGGTTACATCCCTAGTCAAGCCGCTTAGTAGGACTTAACTTATATAGTTACACTGACAAACAAAATCATCATTAATGTTAGTAAAGTGTCTGTCCTCTCCCAAACCAGAAGTATCCAACTCTGTTTATGTTCCTCAGTGACATATAGTCAATAAAATGTCTGGAATTTCTAGGTGTTTCCGAAGGTTATGATAATGTCTGTAGTGTAACCTGGGTTGTTACGAACGTGAAAAGTTATTTCTCAAAAAATGTTTATTTCTTAATATATTCCTAGTTACAATAACGTTGTATCGTTTTTGTATGCACATTGAGTTGTTTGACTGACTGGATTCATAAACTACTTGCTTACTCATATCATAGTCATAGACAAATAAGCCGCTGAATCTTAATTCTAATACGTAAAGTTATGTGATATGGATCAATTCGGTTTATTGACTGTTCGTATTTACAAACATACTCATTTTATTTCTGGTAGGTCAAAGTATAACTCGAAATGTGACAAGTTTCATGCCTTTTGTAGCTAGAAGTATATGAAAGGTTATCGAGTACATTAAGTGAAACTGGTGGAGTGGCTATCTGGGGATTGTAATGTACAAATCATGTAGGTTTATAACACATGCCCATTTTTCTATACTCTTTAAACTAAGATAAGTTGCGTTCGTATATGATTTTGAAGTAAAGTTAATGTAAAACTGTTTATTTTATTCCTTAATATTCTTAGATATTTGATCTAATATCTTATCCTTGTGAACAAGTACCAAATGAAGATACAGATCTAAATGCAATTACTAATGGTTTGATAGAAGCACTTTATGATGGTCCGTTAAAGGTTGATCCTTTGGATGTAGAAGCGAATGAATTACTCCAATTACTTAGCACGCCAGTATGGCGTAGCTTTTCTGCTGCATACACTGAAATAACAACGAGTCACTTTGATATGCCTGAATTACCTGAAATAACATTTATGATGTCAGGTCTAGGTGGTACTTGTACAAACCTAGGAAGTCTGCTTGCTAGTAAAGCATCTAATTTACATGTGGCTGACAAAAGTTTTGGAGATGGAATTCTGAAAGGTAATCAAAATGGAATTCCCAGTGAACTATATAATTCAAAATCAATGATGTATGGTGCTGGTAGTGAAAAAATTTATACTGACTTGAAAAAAAATGAAGCTACACTTACTGGAGGTGGCGATGGTCCAGCATTACCACCTGTAGATGGTGCTGTAAAAATGATTGGGATTCAAAAGAATCATGGTGAAGATTTAGTGAGTCACTTTGTTGATTATTTTCCATAATATACACGGTGTTTCGCAGTGCTAAATAAAAAAGTCATTTCGGATTTATAGTTTGAAAATATGTAGTCAGGGGAAATATTCTTAATATCAGGAGTGACATGGAAATTTCGTAAAGTTTAGGACAAAAATTCAATTTGAAAATTAATGCAGGAGGTAACATTCAGACACCGTGTCAGAAAGCAGTTCCATGCTTTTTGAAATAAATGAATTGAATGTTGATCGATTAGTAATGTGCCATGAGACTATGTGGCTGACTGATAACTACTTACGATACCAAATAATAAAATAATTGCATATTCTAGTCAAATAGCACATTTAAATGCAAAATACTAGACACCAAAGTACTTAGGCTTAGATACCACTGAACAAGTTCTTGTTAATTCACTCATGAATGGAATTTAGACGTAACTACCAAACTTACTCCTAGTTCGTCTTATCATACATACACTTTATAGAATTGCTGCGGAGACCGAGTGGTTTGAGAAATTTGATTAGAAACTGAAACTTTATTAATTTATTTTAGCAATGTGACAATAAGTATGATTTACGTCTTATTCGCAGAACATTTTCAAATTAAACACTATTTAATATTTTCTATGAATATCTCAGAAAATACCTCTGTTCGTAACACTAATTGTTTTTAAATCTTTTATATATTAGTGACTTGATCTTTAGAATATATACTTGCCTACCTTCAATACATGATATTTATTCTCATAATTTATGTTATATCTATTTTCTTTTCATCTCTACTTTTCTTTCCATGTTTTTGACTAGTTTATAAAACTGAATGATTTTACCAACAAGTTTTTCCCCCAGTGTTTAGTAGATACCAGTTTTGGGAATTTGTTTCATGTAACCGTCAAATTAGATGGCAGTAATCTATCTGTCGGCAAAAGTGTGTAGTTTTTAACCGTTATTCTTTTCTGACTGAGGTATTATAAAAGCTACACCGATCACATATTTTTCAAAAGTTGACTCTGGAAATTTGTTGCTCAAACAAATGAATTGATTTTGACTTTTTCTTATTTCATCAAGTAAATATTTTTTTTTTACTAGTTATCGAAGAATCAGTGATTGACTATATTTTTTTAAAAGTACTTAACTTCTCATTCGAAATTTTGTGTTTTCTTTAAAATATCACATGATATATTGTTCTTTTTTGTGTTTATCGCTTTATTCTATGCATAATGAATAAAAATCATTACAGGGAATCACTGTCGTTCAACAACAATATCTATCTGCACACTATGGTTTAGTGAAGGAATTAGTAATTAAACGAATTTTAGCTGCTTCTCGTGTTGAACAGTTGAATTTGTTACATGTAGGTGATGTAATTCGTGAAGTGAATGGAATCCCAGTTGATAATCCTGAAGTATTACAGAAAGTATTAAAAAATGCTTCTGGAAATGTAACAATGAAAATTATTCCTGGCTATCAATCAACTCCTATTTCTTCACAAGTAAGATCAATAAAAGAATAATATTTTTTGTTGAAAATCTCATTTTATCCTTTATGTTTTTAGATTTTGCAGTGAAAATATTTGATTTGTTTAGAAAAATATCTTATTGCGTTTCAGTTGAAATCCAATATTATTAAAAAATATTTTAATCTATTTACTATGTATGTTATTCAGTTTCTATTAATTAAAACCAAAATGTTAGTGCGTAAAAGAAAGCATTAAGACGACTGTATCTACAAGTCTTGAAAAACTATTCTTTTTTCTTACATTATACACAGCGCAAAAATCTGAAAGTCTTTTTAAAACTATTTTAAATATTTGTGACAATAAAATATTAGTTCGGTTGGTGATTTAGCTGTTGAGTAAAAAGAAAATCTAAAAAGATTTCTTCACTTGGTAAAATATTTTTGGGAAGTTAACCTTTACTTGATTAAATGCATTATATTAATATTGAGAAGACTGAGGCAGGCTCAGTAGATTGTGTTTGGCAAATTTACACTCTTAGTCAATTAAAAACGATAACATTACATTGAACACTCCATTTGCACACCATCTTTGAGTCCTGACTTTCAACGCTCCAGCCTTCTTCCATTCCTGCTGTTGCTTCCTTTACTTCCTGTCGGTGCTCTATTTCTTTCCCGCTTTTGCTCTATTTGCTTTCCGTTTTCCTCTTCTGACCGTAAGACTTCTTCTTTCACGTCCCTTCTTATACTACTTATATCGTTCGTATAAGTAGCACACACCACAATATGTTTACATAAATAATTGACACGATCTAGCGTAACTCTCTCTCTCTCTCTCACTAGATTCGACTAACTTGATAAGATTGAAGTTAAGTTATTAGTAGTAATTTATCGACATTGAAAATTTTCACTGCAATTAGGCGAAGCGAAACAACTATATCATTGTTTTTTTTGATTTTATACTCATAACATCCATTTTCGCTCTTAGTTTCATATTTCTTAGCATAAATTAACAGAATGGCATATATCGCCTAAAAAAATCATATCCTATCCTATCTGTGATTGGAACGCTTCATGTTTGTTCACTGTAATTTGTTAAGGTAAGGTTAAACTACCTTCAGTTACTAGCTATGATAATTTCTAAAATATGACAGAATCATTCTTAATCTATAAATGCCAACAATCAATAACCGTTAAATTATTGAAATCATGTTTAACATATTATATTTTCAACCTTATTTAAGTCGTTTTACGATAAGTCTTGATTTTCATGTTAATATTGTTACTTTTCAACAAGTTTGTACACAATCGATCCTTAGAATAGAAATTTATGTTATCTATGCATAATCCTTACGAGACTTGATACACAATTCTACTAAATTTCATTCAGATTTTTAAATTAACCTATTTGTGATATATTGAAAATTCTGACATCATCAATCGGTTAGTGTTAGATCACCATTAGAAACCTGGAAGCACTGGACGGCTGTTTCGTCCTGTTATGGGACTCATCCAAAGTGCGCATCCATGACTCCTGCTGCTCTCAGGGTCCAGACACAGGAAGTTCGGTCTTGTGAGCAGACACTTAACCTCTAGACCACTTAACCGGCTTACAACAGTGTTAGTGTTCAACTTCGCTCAATCCATGGTCTTGCGCAACTCCATCCACTGCCGGCTCAGTGATACAGGGGTTAAGCGTTCGTGCGCAAGACTGAAGGTCCTTCATTCAAATCATACAAGCATCAGAAGTCGTGGGTGCTCACTGTGGATGAGTCCCATACCGGGACGAAACGGCCGTGCAGTGCTTCCAGGTTTCTAATGGTGGTCTAAAATCAATCGATTCATGATTTAATGAAACCAAACAATCTCCAGAACCTTTTAATGCATATTGAGAATTACTTATGAAGTGCATCAAAAAATCTTAAGTGATTATTGTCTTCTTTAAAACATGTTTTTTTCTAAAAAATAAAAATTTAACACTTATTATCTATATAGTCTGTTCACATACGTAAGAAGTTGTAATTTGGTTATGATCTCAGAACAGTTTCTTTTTTGTACTGTTGTTTAAATAAGCAAGACATTTTTTGTGCTGTTGAACACTGCAATTCAAAAAAATGCATTTATAGTGATTGGAATTATTTTAAGCCTAGATCATTTATCTGCAGCGTTCTAACTTAACGTTTCAATATATATGTGAAATGTAATATAATTCCACTTATTTGATTTTCAGCAGTTACATTTTTCTTATAGCTTAGTATTGATTTTCAAACAAGTACAACAAAATTACAGTTCTTTTTTAGGTGTAGTTAGTTAATTTTTGACACAGTAAATTGAATTATACTTAAAACACATTGACCAATAATAATAAATCATTGTGTCTAATTGGATATTTCTAAATCTGATTGAGCAGGAAGTCATTTTTTCCCTGTTACACATAGATATCAACTCAAATTACAAGTCAGTAACACGGATTTGTTTTTTTAAGCAGAGATGACTGATGTCCAGCAGCGGAATTCAGGACACTCGTTTCTGACTATCTAAAACTCGTTAAATGGATATACCTGCATCCTAGAGTTGATGTTCACTCCAGGACTCAAAACTATTACCGTTATTCAGTTGGCCGCTGAGTTCTGATAACCACAAGCTTATGCAATAGGGTGAAGTTTCATGCTTATTTGTTGGCTGTTTGAATTACATATTGTCAATAATAAATCTGAATTCAACTTTCATCCACGATTTGTTAAGAAAATATTAGAGCTGTTTTATGATTTTATTTAGCTACTAAATTTTAAATACGGTACATTATTATAAATCGCAAAACTGTATGACGTAATCAGTAGTTCTTAACCAATACTCCATAGTTCGGTTGGCACAAGAATTTCTTCTTTTTTAAAAGAGCATATCGAAAACATGATATATATATTGTTGATTTTATATCCATAACATCAAATTTCTGTCTTAGTTTCGTGTTTCATAGCGTAAATTAGGGGGATTTCTGTGTCAAGGTATATAGGCTTATTAACAGTCTTTGAAAAATACTTGTTATCTGGTGGTTTCTATGTTTAATTAATTAAATTTTGTCAGAGGTTACTTGTCATATGAAGAGCTCAATTTTAATGAATCTAGTAGCTGAATAACGTAGATCATAAGTACACTTTTAACGTAACATTTTCTTAAAAAAGTTATCTGTAGACTTCGTTCATTCAACTAGCACTTAAATGAATTCATAAAGTTATATGCGTATCATATATTTTGTTTACACACTGTATTCTAAGCAGATTTTAGAGATGAATCCATATTATTTGAAATTCACTTTAATATTCCTACACCTAGTTAACATTTCAATTAACCATTATGTTTGAGTCAACAGATTTCTTAAGTTATTGAAATTAATTCGATGGCCATATAACAACAGAAACTGATGTATTCAGTTTTATAAACCAACAATGGAAAATAATCCTAATCGTATATAGTTAACAATTACCCATGATTCTGATTTCCAATGGTTTTGAAATTGGTGTTGTTTTAGCTCTGAAACAAACAACCCGTAATATACACTTTTATTCTTTACAGTTACTAAAATTACTATAAACGTTTGGTACTTTATATTTTATTTAATTCTAACTTTTATGTTACTTAAGTTTGACAATTTACTCATTATTATTAACATTAATATTAATGTTAATATTTATTGTTCATATCTTCCTGAAGCTCTTTATTCGGGCTCACTTTTCATATGATCCGAAAAATGATAATTTAATTCCATGCAAAGAGGCTGGTTTAAAATTTTCAGCTGGTTCTATCCTCCAAGTTCTGAAACAAGAAGATCCTTATTGGTGGCAGGTAAATTTTAAAAGCAATTTTTTTTTCAATTTATCGTGATTCTTTGCTTATTTTATTCACACAGCAAAGATTATCTCTAATGTATGAATGAAGCAAATTTGTGATTGGTTATTTACCTAGACAGAGTGAGGTATATAGTCTGACAGGTATTCGAAGCATATGTTCCCTACCCTTTTTATGAATATAAAGTTGTCTGTTGATTTTTGATTCACGTGCATGCATTGGGTTAAGGCTAATCCCGTGTTCTTGATCGGGGTTGTGTTGATGTCTAATAGGAAAGTGATGGTTGGGTATCTAACGCATGAAGAAACAGATCGTTATCACAATCACAATATTTACAGTTTTATGTTTGTCGAAGAGGAAATAGTATTTATGAAAAGTGTTAATCAAATTACAGATTGATAATTTTATTCTAGCTAAGAACGTAGCACATAAAAAATCGTAATCAGCAACGACGAGTATGTAGAAAATTATCTTATGCTTTTTAATGGGTCCATTTATGAATAAAAGTGTGTTGTGCAGGTGAATTAAATGTAAAACGATCCACTACTTTTCATTTATGAACAAATGGATTGAAGTGAAGTAGACAAAATGCAAAGGTTAAACACAATATTAATTATTAAAAAAGTAATTTAGAGATAGGCACTGATCAATCTTCGGTGTCTATGAGTTTGACATCTTGACTGACAGAACCTCCTTCCAGGCTTTTATTTTGAAGCCTTCATTTTCTCAGTTGATAACTCCTTTAGACATAAAATTATGTTTGTTTGAATTTATCATGAGCTTTATGCAACAATAACGTGTTTGTAAATCTATTTTTAAAAATATGCCGCATTTCTGCTGAAAAATTATCCAAATATTTTAGAAAGTATGATTGAAAATCGAATATCAAATGAAAAATTTTTTATGTATATATATATGTATATATATATATATATATATCACATTCTGATAGATGATTTTGTGTATTTGTATTTTAAGGCAAGACATCATAATCAAGATGGTCGTGCTGGTCTAATTCCGTCTGTAGTATTACAAGAAAGACGTAAAGCCTTTATTCAAAGTGCACCTAATACTGAAGAGTTAACCTATAAAATGTTTGCTTGTGGACTTGCAAGACGTAGAAAGAAAAAGGTAAACTGTCACCAACTATCTATGTATGCGTGTATGCGTGTATAGCACTTATGTGTATGTATTGATTATTCTGATTATTTATGGTATCCTTTGATATCAAAGACATTCAGTTTCATGATTTTTAAAGTGAGTTCATAGACTGTGTTTGGACCTTTTGGAAATAATCAATAATTTATTTAAATCCAGATAAATAAGTAGAAAGTTAATATCAATCAGATGATGGCTAGACAATTTAATAATACAATAGTCAAGTTAGATACATAACGATTGTAAGATTATGGTTACAAATAAGATGAACTTTCATAATCATAATAAATATGAATAGTTGCATAAAAAAGGCATTGAAATATTGGATGCAGGTATAAATGTTTTGTTATCCATAAAATAGTTAGAATTGATAAGATTATTACTCAGGTTACGTAAGACCAGGATTGCAGATTATAATGGTAATAAGTCGAATTTCGGAGAAGTTTCGGAGCGTGTAGTAGTATTTATATCGAAGGTAAGTTGATTAAGAGGCTGTACATACTTTTTCTGTTTACGAAGATTCAGTTTATTGGTGTGTATTCCTCCATGGCTTCTACTCTATGTAAAAGTCGGATTCTAGAACTATAGAGTAAATTCATAGGGATTTTAGAAATAAATTTAAATGCTGAAGTTTTTTCTATCGTATTTAGTTATCAATTTATTTAATGTTACATTTTTAAATCCATACATTGGTTTATTCGAATCGCTTGCGTGCATGGTATTATTCCTTCTTGGCATTCTCATATCAAAGATGTAATAGGATGTGAAATTAGAAATTCAGCGTGATTTCCAAAAACAGATATAATGTCTTAGGTCAGACAAAGTTAACAGAGATCTGTTGTTTAAGGGTACTAAACTTTAGCACTCTTTTAACTCCAGTTATTGTGAATCCAAACATAAAATTTATTTGATTACTTTAAATATTATTATGTTGATAGTATTTCATGAAAAAATTGCATCGGACAGTAGTCAAGCGTTATATAAGAGTGGAATTGTCAGGTTTTTCATTTGTGACATGACGCATTGAGCTGAATCATATACTGTGCGACGAATATCACCAACAATAATGTATGAGTTTCTGCATGATTGATTCACGATTCCAACGTAAAACAACAACCTCCATAACTCTATCATGAAAAATCATAAAATGTGTTCACTAGCAACTAGCTCCTTTAAAGAAATTCCCAGAGTTGTAGTACGTTGTGAGCAGTGAAGTTCAACCCTACCGGGTCTAGGCAGTCACTACCGAAGACAATGGCTGAGGTTGCGTGAAACTCCTAGATTGATCGAAGTTAGACATTACTGCTAGATCACAGAGCCGGTATCCAATGGTGTTAAATTATTCGTGCGCGAGACCGAGGGTTCTGGGTTCGATTCCTGAGATCGGGTGATGTGAATGTGCACTGCTGAAGAGTCCCATTCTAGCGTAAAACAACCGTCCAGTGCTTCCAGGTTTCTAATGGTTGTCTAACAATGATTGATTCACGATTCAAGTGCGATTTAAAAAGGTTATAGAAAATTAGAAGGGAACTCAGTAGTTTGCAGGTAATGTGTTGTTTGCGAGGTGTGAAGACTGTAGGTTCATTTCCCAGGGGTAGTCATGAGTATCATACTAGAACGAAGTAGATATCCGATGTTCCCAAATTTTTACGAATGTCTAGTGTTACTATTTGTTTTGTTTACGAATATTTCGATTACATTTTAGGGCTTTTTACACTTTCAGCACAAAATACTCTATTAGACAATTGTCAATAAGTTCTAAATAATTGAATAAAGCTAATTTACATGGTGAGTGAATAAATCTAATTAAGTAGCAAAATATTTTGTAAAAAGTAAATCCAATGGGCTGAAATAGTTATGTTCGCAACAAATAAATTACGGGAAATGGTATTCTGGTGGATTAACTCTTGATCATTCCTGAGAAAAGTATACTCAAGCTGATAAAAGATTGTAGATATTTGGTAAAATCATATCCTAATCGGGTGATTCCTAGTTTTGTTAATATCTCCGACATTTTTCTAGATGCTTCCAGAATATCAAGACTACAAATGAACTTAAAAATATCCTTGTTTTCTACACCTAAATTAATCCTACAAATAGAAATTTCCATTCATACTTTTCGTCTTTTGCCTTTCTGTAGAAATGTTTTAGAAACTCTAAGGAAACTGAGAATCAGAAGTTAGTGACAAGCTTTCGAATACCAAACATATTAACAATTGCAATCGCTATAAGCTCTTTTTTGTGTTGTTTTTACAAAATTCATTTCAGAGCATTAGTTAAACATAAAGAAAATAAATTGTACAGATAGTTCTAAGAGATTTTTAAAACTATTATCCTGGACTCAACTCACTGTAAACTTGACAAAAGGTGATAAATAATTGAACAAACAAAAACTTTTTAAGTCGATTGTCATGTAATTTCTTTTTTCGTCATAAATCTTATCATTACAGGTCACTATACCATTTTGTGCAAGAGATGCTGATAATTATGATACTAAAGATATTGTACTTTATGAAGAAGTTGCTATGGTATCAGGTTTTCAGCGTCCTGTTATATGCTTACTTGGAGCTCCTGGAGTTGGTCGTCGAAGTTTACGTAATATGCTTATTCGTGCTAATCGAGAAAGATATGCATCAGTTATTTCACGTAAATTAAATAATAATTTTATTTCTATATGCCATCAGTTATTTATTATTTCAAATAAGTGTAGTTATTTCTTGGATGAAAAATCTTTTTTATCATCTGTGGTAAATAATATTTCAGCCAGTTGATTAATTAATTTGTGTTGTATATTGTATTCTTATTATTTTGTATCATATTTTTGTTTTATGCCGATTATTTTATTCTACAGTACTTAGTCATTTTATGTACTTATTAAGAATCGAAGCAGTTATGAGTATAGTATGGAAATGTGTTTAAAATGACTGCGATGAATTTTATCCGACTGTTGGCCAATCAGAAAACGACTTTTGTGAGTACTTTATGGAAAAAAATCAATTATATTGCAAAAGATAAACAGATATTAGTTTAAATCCATTGCAGTGTTTTGTACATTCTCTGTCTGTAAACTGGAAAAAGGTGAAATCTAGAGTCATTCATAAAAATATAAACGGTCCGTCTTCTTAAACCTTTATAAGGTTCCTGAAAGATTTTTAGGTGTTTGCACATTGTTCCTGGTTAGTTTTAGAATCAGTAGTGAAAGAATATGGATTTGGAGTTAAAGTTGATTTGCTTATTACATAGATTTTGTGCAAGATGAATTGAGGATGTGATATCCCGATCGTAGCTGCTTCCTTGATGTAGTGCTCGGGCTTGCATATCGTGATGACCCAACCCGTTATATTGGCTTAGACATATGTTCCTGTAGCTTCTACCATGCCAGGTAGGTTGATTGGAGAAAGATGAGACTAAAAGCAGCTACGCAAGATCTAAGGGCGAAGTCGTACTACTGACTGTAGAGAAGTGTGAAAGTAGTGAAGTGTTTCTGTCGGACAGCAAGCATCTTCAGCGGTGCTGCCTTCTCACAAGAAAGGAAGGGTTTAAAAAAGGTCGACTTAGAAAATGTTACACTTCACCATACCCCACTGATTTCCGTCCCCGGCGGTAAGGCATTTTAGGAAGCGGAGCTAACACATCAAAAGTTTCTCACAAAAAGGCCGTGCGTGACCGGTATCAAGCAGTTATCCTTCGGGCTCTATAATCATGATCCTTGGTCTCTAAAAACAACGCTAGTTCAACTTCCTTTTCAAGTTCTTCGAGAAGCACCGACGGTGTTGGAGACAGAGTAGTGACAACCGCCCTCATACCACGAACAGCAAAAGAAACCTAATTGGTCAAAACCAAATCCTTCCTACAACTCATAATAACGTTCTTGTTTCCACTACCAATCTTTCTCAAATTCCCTTATCACCTAGCACTGCTGATGCAAACGATTCGAGTACATGGAATGTTATTCCTGGTCTCCTGAAACCATGCTCTAAACTACATGTTGGAGCTTTTATGTTCGGACCTCGTGCCTAATAGGACAACACGCTTCCGTAGCAAGGACTCTAGAACCCTTTGATAGACCAGGTTCCACTGTTTCCATTCTTATTTAACTTTGTCACTGGTATGCTCTAAGAAAAGACACTTTCACCGGAAGATTGGCTTGTTGACTTATATTAATCCGATTACATAGTGCTATTAGGTGGAGATGCTGACCACCTTAAGTAACAATGCAAGCATGTTCCGGATGCGGTTTCCCCCTCGAAATGTAAAATGTTGCTTCAGGATTGGTTTGCACCGGCGCCTAAACTAGTGATAGGGATCGAAGTAGTTGAGCATGTCGACCGCTTCACTTATCTCGGAAGTCTCATCAGTGCTGACGGCCTGGTGACTGACGAAATCTCGGCACGGAATCAGAAGACACGATTGGCTTTTGCCAACTTGCGTCACTTACGGCGTATGCTCGTATATCCTGGGACAACTGAGCAAGCAATGCCGTTGTTAGGAAACAGGTACTAGGCAGGGATGGCAAACTAACCGATGAAATAACGAAAGCTTATCAGTTGAGGTGATTGAATTATGTGTTACGTGTGTCCAACTGCCAACTGTCTTGATGAGCTATATTTTGTAGTGTAGGAGTAGTTTGGAAGAAGTCTAGGGGCGGCCAAACCAAAACATGACACAAATCTATGAAGTCACTGACAAGTGGACTGAGCCATCTTAATAGGTGTAGACCACCTGTATGGGGTCCGCGAAACGATAGTAACCGGTGGTTAGAGACTTCGGATGGCATGTCTCAAAATCGTTTGCATGCATTCTTTGTATTCTCTCAAAATCTAGGCTTCTGAATTCCTTATGACTTTTGTTCTTTTTTTAAATTTACTTCACTGGGTTATACTTCTTGGATCATATATTCGATCTCTAATCTTTTTGATTACTACTAATACTGTTACTACCTCTACTACTATGGGATGTGAACTGTAATTCTATCTCTCTGTGCTAACGTGGTTTGGTAACTTAAACAGATGTACGTACGTACAAAGTTCTACGTTGTGACCGACTGATTGAAAATTTGATATATTTAACACCACAATTTCCACTTTATGGTGCCATTTTTAAAAAAATGTCGTGCCAAGACTTTGTGGTCGTGTCCTAGATTCTGACTGGCGCGTCTCGACATTTTACTTTTACTTAGTACTCTATCTGGTGTATTTGTTATGTCTAATAATTAAATGATAATATAAAAAAGACTGAAATATCTCCTTGGTTATGCCTTCAGTTGTAGTCGTACATCAGTTATAATTGATGATTGGGTATTTAGTCTTATGAAGTACCAAATATAAATTTTGATTGACATTAATCAATATATCGTTACATATGCTCATAATTTTACCGTTTTTATGGTTTATTCACATTATTTCGTTTTTATCGTAAGATTAGTAATTCACTAGAAGCACCGTTTATTGTTCCACATGTGTGTCTGATTTTAACAACGCAATTTAATGTGAATTGCACTGCGAAGTTAAATTAATGATGCTTGTATTTCAAAAAAAACTTAATGTAAACTTTTCTTACAAACCTAAATAATCACATGATAAAATGTTTGTAATATTCCAATAAGTAGAAAATTAAATGCTTTACAGAGTTCTGCAATCCAACTAACTTTTTTAGCTCGAACAGGGTAATAAGCTTTTTTATTACTCTGCAGAATGGTGCTTACGAATTAGGCTGCCAGTCGTGGTGTTTTCTGTATTGGAGAGTAAGGTGACAGATTCTTGTTCTGTGTTAAGGAACATATAAATTGACAAATTAACAGTACCAGGCTGTTTTCAACGATATTCTTTTTCATGGAATGCGGTTGGCAATCCAATACCAGACGGACCTTTTTTACCTTAGCTTGGGACCAGCAGTAAAACCCTAGAATGGTTCCAGGTGCAATTTCTACTAATTCACATCACAAAAATCTAATTTTTCACATATATGCAGATATACATGAATACTGACTCATCGTTTACCTGAGTTGCGTGACACAAGCATGATCAAACTTGTTTTGTTTGCACTAAATATGTTAATTTCTTCCTCTTTGCTATTCGAACTTTGTGTCAATGCAATGCAGTAACGTATTATCTGTGAAAATGACTTACAATACGTCTCAAAACGTCAGAAATTCGATTTTTCTGCTCGTTAGTACATTAGGAAAGCATTGTTACTTTAATCTTATTATTCACAACTATCAAGTCAAACTTTGGCAATGATATTTACAATCATACCTTAATGTACTCCTTGAAAGAATGGTACTTTCAAAAACTTTTTGTGATAAATATTTAACTGATGATTAGATGAGGTTTGCTTTATTGCCAGTGAAGTATATATTCTTTCAAAGTCATTTTTGAAAAGTTTCTAGAGATAATTTTCAATAAAGAGGTATGTACTGATGATGTCTAGAACGAACTATATAGCTCATCATAGGCAATACACATTCTTCATCATCTCGACTTTCTGACTGTTTTGAAAAAAAACCCACTTAATACGACATCTTTACAAGTTAGGATTGTTTATATCATAAAGAAATTGTTTAATTTTAAGCATAAATATATATACAATGGGATGTGATGTAATCATTCGAGTAACGTTTAGGTCTATGTGAAATCATGGGCTTTGTCTTTTAAATGATAATCAGTTTAGCAGCACTGTATGTTTTCTCTATGGCTGCTTTTAGTCTCTGTCTTAAGATTAGACCATATATATATATATATATATATATATATATATATATATATATATATATATATATATATATATATATATATATATATATATCAGTTAAAACGTTTTCGTTTTCAGCTTGTTTGAGTAGAGGAAAAACATTAACAAACAACGATACTTTGTTACTTTGATATTTATATACGAATGTAGGTCTTACAGGAGACTGGCATCAGCTGGAAAACCATTGAAGATTTATGGATCATTGACCTCTCATTTTCATTTCAGTTCAAAACGTTACAGGCGTCTTCATTTGCGCTACTCTTATCATTAAGTCTCATCTCAGGCTAGACATGAATAAGCTGTGTAGCAGAGCTTTCTTGTTTTTCAGTTAAAATCGTTTCTTTAGACACAAAATCCATCTGAACATTATTTATGAACCACCTACCTCAACGAATTCTATACTATTTTTTTTTTATCTTGTCAAATTATTCCTTCTTAAAATCAATTTCAATATTTTATTATTTTTATGTTAATTTTCTTTCCTTCTATTTTATATCAGATACATCAAAAGAATTAGATGTTGGCGAAGAGGATGATAATGAATTTATCGTTGAATCAAAAGCAAAAATGGAAATGGATAATTTTAAAAACAAATATCTCGAAGTAATTAAATTTTCATTGTCTTTCCAATTTAATTAATTACATATCTACAGTATCTTACTTTTAAAATGTGTTGCTGACTTATTAAACTATGAATTTAGAAAAGAAAGTATTTAGTAAATAACACTTAAAAAGCATTTCTATTCATAAGCTTCAGTTGAGTAATTCATAAATAAGCACTAATATGTGGGTATAACAAAAAAAACCAATTACGGCTTTTGTAAATTGCCTTCACAAGCTTGTATAAAATAGGTGGACTACTTTAATAGGATAGTAGATTACATGAATTATCTGTTGAAAAGACAAAACTATTTATGCAAGACAGTAATAAAGTTGGATCTGAAAGCAGTGTTTCTTCATATTTATTATACCTGTGATAATCTTTTTTTGCAGCATGTCAGTATAATTTGATTTGAAATGGTTTAGATCATCCTGTTGAAATTTAATAAAACTTGGTTGGTATGCAGATGCAATCCATTTCGAATTAAATTAAATCTCATCATCCCCTTTGCACTAATGAGTAGCTATCTGGACTCAATAGCTAATTGTATCACGTAAACGGTACTGAGTTTGAGTCCCAGAATAAACATCAACACTGAGATGCAGATACATTCAAATAACGAGTCCCGAAAAGGACGAAGCGTACGTCCTGAATTTCACTGCTATCTACATTCTATGTATTCTATATAAGTGTGTTTCGCCGAAGTATTATACTCGGTGTATACGATTAATTCCCTAGACATAAGCATGATGCGATGAATGATGTCCTAGAGTTCATTGATGCATATATTCTGCTTTTCTACGTCCTGATATCATTTCCTTTTTTTTTTGAAAAGATAAGATAATAATTTAGTTTTCAACAGAAATTCTTGAATAACGTTCGAATTATACTGCATTGATTATTCTCACTGTTATGGAAAAACTAGTGAAGATCGATCATACGTAATTGCTGAATTCATACAAAAACTAGGGTCACAAAAAGTAGTTTTAAAGACTGTTATTTCCTTCAAAATATTTTTTTACTCATGGCAGTACATTAAAAAAATCGTTGTTTTAGCTGTTTACATTATTCTTGTTAGTCAAGCTGTTCGACTGCCTTGTCGTTTCATATTTTGCTACAATCGTGTCCTCAGACAAATATTTTAGGATTCTGTGGACAGGGAATCTACTAATAAGATCTACAAGAAACTAAAGACGTTTACGGTTCTCATTAATTGATTAAGTCGAAAGCCGTTATGGCTTTCTATTATAATTCCAGTCTTCACATCTCTCTCTGAAATGTTCGATCCATTTGGAAAAGCTATTTTCTTATTTATCATTATCTTGATAAATAGCTGTTCATCTTTCATGAATTTCTTGAGTTTATTTCAAGTCCCCACAAAACCATTAATTCATGTTTCTTACGATACTTCACATGCATATATATTTATGTTAATTAGTATAGCACATAAGGATTAGACTCAAATTATTTGTTAATGAAATTTTACCTCATAATAAAATACAGTAACATGGCAGAAAATAGCCCACAAATTCAGTGTTTGGCGCTAAAGTTCGAAGTTGATTGTATACTTTTACAACTTAAATTACGGTTTATTCATTCGGATATGTTTTGCTCACGTTAACTTAAAAAAATAACAAGTATTGATTCATCGATGGATTTTCTTTTCTACAAATTCTTTCTCAAAGCAGTACAAATAAAGAATATTTGATTGAAATTAAATTGATCTAGCTAGTAACATTAATAAGTAGTGCTCCACGTTAGTTAGTGCCAGCAGTAACAATACTTTTGTCTGTTTTTAAAAGCAATTTGAGAAAACAGATACTTAATTATGAGAGAAATACTGATTAGGTTTGTAACCCTCTAAGTTTTACACATTGAGTTGTGCTGAGAGCTTCCAGTTTAACTTTCAAATAAATTAACTCTATAAAATGGTAATATAATCCTTTTTTTATTTGTGCATACATCTTTTCTTATCTCTTAAATTGAAGTTTGGTGAATATGAAGACAATTTCTATGGTACAAAATATGATAGTATTCGAGAAGTTGTAAAATCAGGTCGGACATGCTTACTTGACTGTTCAGTGCAAGCTGTATCGAAGTTAAGAAATTCAGAATTTATGCCTTATGTTATATTTCTCGCTGCTCCGTCGGTTAGTTGTATGAAAGCAATGTATGAATATGGTATGAGTATGGGTTTTACCGAGAAGTGGAAAAGAGTACGTTTTCTTTAAGAATTGAATGATATTTTTCCCCAATTATTATGATGATACACGGATCTGAAAAATTTAATTAATAAGAGTATAATGTACTGACTACCTTGAGTGACCACCTATCAGCCCAGTTATGAAGCAATCAACAGCATAAAGCAATAAAACAAGAGTAGGATAACAGCTTTCATATGAATAGTTAGTTCTCACTAGTCGAATTGTTCCTTATAATAGAAAAAAGGTGACATTCGCATATTAGGAGTTGGGCTAGTGTTGTGAGTCAGGGCTGTCACTACAAACAACTCAGTAGTCACCTACAAATACCAGCTATAATGCCAAAATTATAGGGTTAGGTCTTAGGATTTATCATGTCAGCTTCTGAATAATGCTGGTATGTTTCTCCGAAAACTCCGTAAAATGATGTATATGTTATATTTTCATAAGCCGTTATAAATATAGATTTTTCAACTCCGAAGTAAGATATCTTACTTCGATATGACAAAACGTTTGCCAGATATTTTAATTTGATACATGAAATATCGAATCACAGACCGGTTTTAGATTGTGATGTGATTAAAGAGTACTTAGCCATCAGCTTAAATTACAGATTTACCGAACAGGTAATATTCTGAGGAAACCTACACTAGAAAAATTTAAGATATATTTTCAATTGGTTAGACCAAAAACTGATTTAAAGTTTAGAAGTACACGTATGGTTAAGATTCATGAAAAGGAATTTTTATATCAAAGCTGATGAGCAGTGAAAGAATGAGTCAAGAATTCAATAGACTCAATGTCGATAAAAAATGTAGAAACCCAGTCGACTAAGTTAGATTGAAATCGAGGCAACTAGACTTTATTTTTCGGACAAAGCCTTTCCATTACCTCGTTAGTTTAGAACCACAATGCAATGGAACCATGCCTTCTTACCGGCGTTTAGCCTATTCGGTCTACAATGAAGACGGATCTTACGTACAGTCAATGGGCCATTTATGTTACGAGTCCATGAACTACTGCAGCATAGTCTACGCTAATTCAACTGCATTTTAGAATACTCTAAAAGAAATAATCTTGTTATAAAACTGAACTGTTTACTATAAATACATTACTGTTTATTCTCCGTGTTTCTGGATGCTGAACTGTCAGTTTTTGTTTATTACTGCAATGTTTGTTTGATCTTTGCATATTATAATTGTTGGTTAAACAAATAAACGCTGAATCTGAGTCTTGAATGAAAAACCTTATTAATTGATCACATATTACCTTTTTCGTGTAAGATATTAAATTAGAGTCAAGTGTGAAAATTCCGTGCAGAGGAAAATTCAACTATAAGCGATCACTGTTTGTGTGATTTGTTCATCACATACTGTTCGAAAATTGATTAAATGTCGATCAAACAAATGTAACAATAGACAGGACAAGTGTAACTGATTGATAATACACCTTATCTAACTTATTTTTTAAAATAACTAATATTGATACAACTTCTCGCAAGTTTCCCCTTAAGTGAACAGTTTTAATTTTCTCCGTAAAAAATGAGATAAAACTCTGAACTTTTAACTAAAATTATCAAAATTCATTGTAATGATTGAGTGCAACCATTGATTTAAGTTTGATTCATTTGTTATCTACAACACCATTTTAACACTGATGACGAGACATTTTTGTGAGATGTTAAAACATTCTGGTTTTTGTTTTTCACCTTAAGTCAGATATAAGTCACACTCCAATTTCGTGCAGAAACTCAAGAGTCATTTTCTCCATTCTAATTTTAGCCATTGTCATTACATTCACCTTTTTTCAAACTATTAAAAAAGATTATTTACATTGACACCTAACAGTTTGATGTTGGCATCAATGACTAGTTGTAATAAACATAAAAAAATCTTTCCTTTTTAATTAATTAGGATGAATCATTTCGTAAAACACTGGAAACAAGTACTTACATAGAACGTGAATACAATTATCTCATGGATTTAATTTTGTTATGCGATAATATTGAAACAACTTTTGAACAATTAAATTATCATTTAAATAATTTGCTAACAGAACCACAATGGGTCCCAGCTAAATGGCTTTATTGATCGAAGACAAGAACTAAAAGAAAACGCATCAGCTTAACAATAATTACTCCTTTTCTTTTTAAATTCCCGTATTTTATTAATCCTCTGCTTGTAAATACGCATAATTACAAATATTCGTTTGACATTAATGAAGTGAATAACTTTTAGCCTTACATTTTAATTTTTCCTTAAAAAAATAATCAAGGTTTGATTTTTCACTTGACTTGAATTATACGTGTAGTGTTACTTTCTTTTTTTACCAGAAAAATATGTTTCTAATGTAGTACGCACATTTAAAGGTTGTAACGTTTTAAGAAATTAAATATTGAATGTAAAAAATGTTCATACTATTTTAATAGTTTCTTGTAAATTTCTAAATTTGACACAATATAATTGATGATTTAATTTTATTATAACTAGTGTAATAATATCAAGCAACGCAAATCTTTGCTATTTTGACAGTAAATTGGGTAGATTAAAAAAAAATTAATACTGACTAGTCTGTCAATTTAAGATTGATATATATATAAGGTGCACGTTTAAATCACAAACTACCAATTACTGTTTTTTTAAAATAATTGCTTTGCCATATATCACTCTCTAACAGTGTTAGCTAAACACTATAAAATAGGTAGTTGTTTAGTCAGCAAACACTACTTTTTGGTTAAATAAGTACAGCATGAAAATATGGTAGCCTCAACAATGAGAATACCTCAAAGATATGAATTTGACGATTAGTGAGTTGTGCCGCGAACTGATGAAATGAATGACGATAATTAGTTTAACAGACAATAATGTAACAATACTCTTTAGAATACGTGCTTGTACACTTCAGTTAATTCGTCAGTTTTCATTTGAACTGTATGCAGTATTTCTCTTATCAATTTAACTGTCCGTTAACAGCCCTTAAATAATCGTGCGCTAGTTGTTAGATTTAATTATGTTCAATTTATACAGTAATATGCAAAACAATAATACTTTTATTTAGTAAATTGAGTTTAATGATTGTTCAATAAAGCGAGGATTATTTGAGCAACACGAAGCAATTACAGTACAAAAGACACAATAGAATCGTCGATTTACTCACATAAAATCTTTACAGATTTAAAAGAACAACATTTATAAAATAGAACTTGTATTTCGCTTCAGTCGTTTGAAAATTAACCAGTAGAAAATGGTGTTACACAAATTTGAATAGATAGAGAAGCCTGAGAAAATTTAGAAAAAAAGAAAATCAATCCATAGAAAACAATCACTATCAAAAAGCTTGTTATATTCGCTAGCATTCGATCAGGAGTTGAAAAATTTTTTTAGCGGAAACTTCACAAAAATGTTGTAGGAAAACTTTGTAAAAAGAGACGATTCTTTTCGATAAAAAGAATAAGTGGTTAAAAGAATATTTCTCAATCTAAGATCGGCGCATTCGTGAAACCTAAAGAAAAATAGAAGATATGGTAAACGAATAGCACAATCACATCACTATAATAATATAGCAACATTGAAACAAAATATATACAATAAGTAGGAAAAAAACGATATGCCATATTTACTGATGGTAAGATGAATAGTGTACAATACTTTGAGGTATTCCTATATCTAACTGAAAAATTGATATGTATCACTAATTCAACAGGACACATCCCGTTGACAGTACAACTAACTTCGCTGAAATACTCAACAGATTTAATTCGTTGTGTTTATGTACCTAAACCTTGATCTTTATAATGGGTTTTATAAGCGAACACGGTTAAGAAATCAAAGAAAGGCCTAGCAACGTACAATATTGAGAAAGATTAATAAAAATTCTAAGACAACATAATAACAACCGGTAATTTATTGTGTGTTACCTAAGTATTGTGTAAACGACATATTATGACCAATTAGCAATTAGGGTATTTCATAAGTTTATGTGACGAACAAAAAACATGTTAATGGAAGGTCTTTTTGTAACCAGTGTAGTCACTGCTATCACACACCTGCATAAATCTACCTTATTATAAGTAAATGTGTAACTAAATAGGTAACATGACATAAGTAGTTTTATCCACACAGATCTGATTTGTAGCACCTCACATATATCTTGTACTTTTATCATTGTTGAGCTTGTATGCGCATGTACGCTTGGGCATTACTTGCCACCTACACATATAGTTATTTGACTGGCTGTATCGATTAACAGTTTGGATAATTCGATGTTAATATCGACTATACACATTTGAAATAAATCCGATATTTGTATTGATCATTAAATAATTTGAATAATAAATAAATTGTGGCAACGACTCGTGTTCTCTCGTAGCGATCATCAAGACGGAGATATACGGGAAATCGACGCCACAGATTAACATGTCATGAGAGCATCATATGTGACTACAAATACAGTCTAAATTCATATTATGCTTATATACATCAGATCACACAGATTTAAATACTAATTTACCAATTTTGAAAAAACACATTATGATCGTAAGATTTCTCTCAAAGATTATAGTTTTCCCTATGATATTTCTACATGGAACAAACATTTACATAAATCTACTGATATAAGTGAAGCGTAAATCACTTTAATCGGAATGTGCACAATTAATCAACTTATGAAATAAACACTAACTTGAGGAGGAATAAAACGTTTTGACTGATTAGCATTATGATGAGATGTGTTTGATCGATGAGATGACAGATCACGCCTGACAGGAAAACGAGAGGAATCTGACCTAGTTCTTTCACCAGACGATTGCATTGGCGGGTTATTAAACCTGTCAAAAAAAGTGAAAAAATAACGAAACCTGAAATCCCGATGAGTAGTGTGCATTTTAGAGATGTAAGTTACCAATGTTATGCGTTTTTTAACTAGTTGTTTAATTTAAATTGATTGAGTGCATTGAAAAAGTTTAACATCACAAATTTTATTACAAGATAAGAAAAAGCGTTGTAAAGATACGTATTTATTTACTTAAACACAAACATTGGTGCAAAGGGGCACCCAACTTTTCATGCGCCACATAAATTTTTGAGTTTGAGTGTACTAGGATACTCTGACCGGGTGCCTAAACTGAAACCGTTAGTTTACTTTGGTGACCATCTCCAGACTAAGGTTCTGAACTAGGATTTTTTCCGGCATTAGATTTTGCAATAAAAAAACGCGACCTCTGTTTGAAGTGAGATTGGTACCTCAGTTAGATAATTTTTCCGACTAGTAACATAGACAAAGGACAATAGATTATAATAATCAATAGCTTTTTATATTAACTCATTTGAAAGGTAGTTAACTCCAAATTAATTTGTGTGAATAAAACTTCACAGGTTATTGATAGCATAGTGTTTAGTTGAACGCACGGTTCACGTACATCATTTGTTGCATATGACACAAACTATCAGTAATGAAAACTGGATTTGGAGTAAAATGATTAAACATACTCATTACTTTATCATAGCTGAGACATTTGTTTTAACAACCTTTAATTGACTTCATCTACAACTGATTGAGGTTTACTTATAATTTAGTAACAATAGTCAATACACATGAAGACTATGTGTCTGTCAGTCTCATCATTTTCTTAAAAATTTTGAAGTCGGACTAATTTGTAAATATAATGATTACTTTTATTGAAAAAGACTGTTTCCTCATTAATTATCAAAAACAAGCAAGATTTAGTAGATGAGAACTATTTGTGAAATAAAAGATTAAATACATAAAATATCTTGATAATGATTCAGATTTGATTTAGTGTGAACGTTAATTTTAAGGTAAATCCTAATGATTAAGGGATTCTCGCAACATAAAACGGGATCTAAACGAACTGGACAGAGTGGATCATGCACAACACTCTAACGACAATCTACCAGGAAATCTTAACTGCGTTAGAAAGACCTAGCTTATATAGCAATATTTACTTCCTTACGATACATATTAAAAATACCGAACCAAAAGCGAGAGTAACCAATGGGATAACAGCAACAGTCGGTAGAGAATAAAGTTATCGCGGATTTTCATGTCAGAAGTGTAATTCATTAGTATAGAACAGGATAATTTGAGGATCTTCTAGCAGTGTGATAAAAAATAATGGCTGTATGATGCAACGATTGATTTTTTTGGTACAATAGACAAAATTCAGTACTGAAGTTGAATGATTTTATAAGGATAAATAAAGCACATGTTAAAGCAATGATCTAATAGAAGAAAGCCTGAAAGCGAGATTGAAAACAATTTGCTGTATAGCAGTTTAAGTTAATTAACATCGTTTAGATTTCATATCTGATTAAATTAATCGATTGATACATTTTGTAATATGTTCGTAACTTGTTTTCTTGTGTCAATTAGTTCGTTCAACAAATCCACATAATCAATTTAACCATAAAATAGCTGAATAGTTTAAGACTGGAGTGTTGTAATTTTTTCACTTCTATTCTACAAAGCCGAGTAGGAATTTTTTTTGACGTGGCGTCTTATTCACTTTTATTCATTCATGCTAATCATTTATGAGAAAGTTCATTTTCTACAGCAACCAAATATGTGGATGAAAATGGAAGCAGATTTTTTTGAAAATACTAAGTAAATTACCTGTGAGAGTTTGTTAGTTGACTTTATCTAGATGTATTTTTTAACTATATGATCAATAAATCTACTTTACTATTCACTCGAATGGTCAAATACGAGTCGTTAAGACTTTATGCTTTGAATGACTAAATATTTTTTCTTTTTCGGTAAATAGCATGTAAATGTAAGATTTTTTTACAAACATATTGTCCATGAGAAATTAATAGACAACAGTTCATTTCGTTAAAGATCAAATATAAAACATCTCATTTTGTATAGTGAAAGAAGTTATCAGTATGATCTGAAGATAAGTTTTTTCGAAACACATTTATAAAAAACGTAATTTATTTTTCTACAACACACTAAAGATAGAATACTCATTACGCATCCAGTCAGTCAGCTACAACGTAGAACTTCGTACGTACGTACATGAGTCCAAGTTGCCATGCCATATTAAAATCCCATAGTAGTAGAGGTAGTACAAGTACTATTGGAAACGGAGAAGATTAGGGTTCGAAGAAATTATTCAAGAAGTATAATCCAGTGAAATAAACTTAAAAGAGAAAGATAAAGGTGATGAGGAATTCAGAAGATTAGAATTTAAGAGAAGACAAGGAATGGATGCACCTGTGTTATTGCTAACGGTTTTGAGCCATATTGTTAGAGGTCTCAAACCATCGGTTACGACTGTCTCGCCGACCCTACCTAACCAGGTAGTCTACACTTGTTAACAAGGCTCGGTTCAGTAGTCAGTGAATTCATGGATTTGTGCCATGTTTCGGTTTGGACGCCTCAAACTTTATTCCAGGCATCATCGCTTACCGAGGCAGTTGTTGGTTGAACCGTAACGCATCCACATTCAAGAGAACACTTATTTGTTTATTGACAAGTAAATCAAGCTTTAAAATGCACGCTAAAATAAACTCAATAGTCGCAGCAAATAATTTTTTCAGAAAAAGTCTAATAAATTAAATTTGCTAAAGCAGTTTTTAACTCGCACACTTCTCCAGATATGAGTTGAATGAATAAGACAATGATTGAAACATCAGTCAGTCAATCAGATGCAACGTAGAACTTCGTACGTAAGTACATCAGTTCATGTCGCCATACCATATCAGCACAGAGAAGTAATCGTCAATTCAAATCCAATAGTATTATAGGTAGTAAGGGAATCGGAGTAATCGAAGTAATCGGAGAGGTTAGGATTAGAAGATACTATTCAAGAAGTATGATTCAGTGAGAAAAGTTTAGAGAGTCGAAACTAGAGGGGTTGAAGAATCCAGAAGATTAGCATTTGAGAGAACACACAAAGCACCGGCGCCATTGCGAACGATTTTGAGCCATGTCATTCAAGGTCTCTAACCATCGGTAAGTATCATCTCGCGGACCCCAACCAGGTAGTCGACAATTACCGACATGGCTCAGTCCACTAGTCAATGACTTCATGGATTTCTGCCATGTTTTGGTTTGGCCGCCCCTAGCTTTCTTCCAACCTACTCCTACACTACAAAACAAAGTTCGTCGAGGCAGTCGGTGGTTCGGCATACGCAAGACATGTCCCAACCACCTCAACTGATGAAGTTTCACCACTTCATCTGTTGATCTGCCATCCTTACCTAGTACTCGTTTCCTAACGACAGCATTGCTTACTCGGTTGTCCCACGGTATACGAGCAATGCTTCGAAGACACCTATGATCGAAAACCAATAACCTACGAATATCTTCTACTCTCATTGGCCATGTTTCACAGCCATATAGGATAACGGAGCGAACTGCTTCACAGTACACTCGTCCTATGATTAGAGGACGGATATCACGCCTATGCCATAAGTGAAGCAGGTTGGCAAAAGCCAATCGAGCCTTCTGCATCCGAGCTGAGATTTCGTCAGTCACCAGGCCTTTGGCACTGATGAGACTCCCAAGATAAGTGAAGCGGTCTACACGCTCGACTACTTCACTCCCTATCACTAGTTCAGGTGCCAATGCAACCCAGTCTTGAAGCAACATTTTGCATTTCGATGGGGAAAACCGCATCCCGAACATGCTTGCATTGTTGCTTAGGGTAGTCAGAAGACGCTGATTGAAACATACAATTATTAGTGTAGTAAATATAATTAATTACATAAAAACATACAACATACCGGTTGTTGTTTTCGTAGTTCATAATAGGGTTGAAAACCTGAGCATTAGGATTTGATATTAATGGGAATTGAGGAATAGGAGCACGATTTACAACGACTGGTTGAAAACCTGGCATAGGGGAATAGGAAGGATACTGGATATAAGAAGAATCAGGCATTCTTGGATTACACATATATGGAGTCATCACATTAATCGGGAATCCTGAAGGCTGCACTACCCGCTGAAACTGCATAAATGGCACTGGTTGATAGGCAGGGTGAATTTGAGGTTGGATTTGGTTGCAAGGTGGATACTGACTGAGGTTTGGAAGTTCATTAAAATTCGGTCTTTCAAAAGCCGGCCTGGGCAAGTCATTGTTGTGGTTTAACTTGAAACGATTATCTAAACGAGTGCCTGAACTTCTTTGGTTACGTTCTGCAGAATTACCAGTACGGTGAAAAATAGTAGACTGATCAAAACTTTTTTCATTCGTTTTCCGCAGGTTTTTTTCTTGATTGTCTTTAGTTTTGTTATTCGATTTCAGATCATTTGCAGCTTTGCCACTATTAGATACTTTAGACCAGTACGATGGAGGGAGAGGTACGTCTGGTGGGCTTGGCATAGTCCAAAAATGCGAATTATGCTCTGCATCGTGTGACGAATTAGACACATCTACATTATCGTCATTACGATCTTGATTTGCATTAAGTCCACTTATGCTCTGAGAATGGCTAAGAAATTTATCTTCAAAAGTAGGTAATTTGGAATCTGTATCAATAAATGGTGGTTGACCATTCAGTTCCATTAAAAATAAAAATAAAAACAAATTTAGGTAATTTATTTCAGAATATTATATTCTTTCAGATTTAATTAAATATTAAAAAAAAATTTAAAAATCGAGTTGTAAAAGATTTGGTTTTTGCACTAAACTAGAACTTTCACATTTGTATGAAACTCGAACGAAACATTGTAAGAACAATTTAGTATTTGTAAACTTACAGATTGAGGAATTTGAAAATATTTTCCAAGATTTTATCCATTTCTAAACTGATTATCTAAGAAACTTCATTTGTAAGCAAACTGATGTGAATAAATATGTTCTTCTAATGTAGATTGAAGTGGGAACACTAAACGTTTTCATATTGTCTTAGGAAAGATGAAGTAATTGCTATAGGTTTAAAATTTACATTCTTATAACCAGATACTTTCTTTGGATGTGGATTCATTAACGATGTTCATGAATGGATGACGAAGGACGACAGCACACTTTTTAAAAAAGTTCGAGATTTCATCAGCTCCTAAACAATGAGACAAGTTAAATGACTTGAGACATTTTCGGACATCGGCCAGACTGAAAACTGGAACGTAACCCTTTTTCAAACTTGTGGATATAGGAATCATGACATCAAAGGATTAACGTGCAAAAGATGTATTTATCTCATAAACAAACAGCTGGGCGTTGTAACCAATGCGTCTCCCATCTGTTAGCTTTTTAAATAGTTTACACATATTTAAGTTTTTATAGGATAGGAGTTTCTATGTAAACAGTGAATTCAGACGATTATTTTTTGATTTATTAGACCATTTAGCTCCCAAAGTTTAACATTTTTATTCCATATATATTCTTTCTTTTTCCGTTAGCAGTCACTTTAGTTGTGATGTAAATCGATCGAACCCCAGAAAGATAGTTTCAGTAGGACAACAAACATCAAAGCAAAATTTGGGATAACGAGTGACAGCACTAACAGTGTTTTCCAATGAACCATTGGTAAGTAAACCCCAGTCTGTTGTACGAAACATGTTTTTCAGATATTGGATATTTTCTTCTGAATAATTCCTGTATTTGACTTACTTTGTCTGATATCTGGCGTACTATATCCATATTTGATATACACTTTATAACAAAAGAGCAAGTGTAGTGAATAGTATTCTTTAAGAGAATTATTCCAGGAATAAGTGCGATAGAGTATTGAAATTCAAGATCTAAAGAGTGTGCCTGTGTGTCATTGATAGGAATTTTTCAGTAATATAATTAGTCCAAATCCATTGACTATAATGATCAGATGAACTGCAATCAGGTAGTCATATGCAACGATAGATCTAGCACATGTGTACATCGGTTCAAGTTGCAATAACCATTAGGCTCACTGTAAAAATCACTAATAACTAATGACATAAAAACCATACTGCTACGTGTTTTTATTGACGAAAAAATACATGGTACACTTTAAAAAATGTGTGCGCTTTCCACCCATACGATCATAATAATAGGCAGTATGTCAGAATTGAATGGCACAAAATGATCTAGTTAAAAAAACACAACACAAGTAAGCAAAGTTCAAATCACTACTTTAATATTAGAATAACCGAGAAGAATCAGTGTATATATTAATGTGGACTATAAAAAAACTTAAGAGTAACATATAATGCTTAAAGAGTTTAAAATTGTTGCGACAAGAAATGATGTTACTAAAAACAATTGTTTCCTGAAGAATATAAACGAATATTAAAAAACACTGACTAACCTTGCATTGTCTTGTTTATCATATCTTTTTCTGAAGATGATACGTTTTTAGCAGACTGAAAAATATAAACAGATACAGAATTTTATTATAGTCGGATAGTGGTTGGCAGTAAAATTCAGGGACTATGGTTCGTCTTGTTTAAAGCAGATCAGCTGGATACTAATTAAAACGATACATAACTAGACAAACCAACTGATTGAGAATATTTACATGCACTCTGAAAAACGATAAAAATCAGTTTTCGATCAAAGGTATATAGGTGTATGCCGATAACAGCATCTAGTCATAAATTTTTGTAATTACCGTAATGTTGTAACTCAACCAGCAACAGCGAAACTGTCAGCCCAAAAACTACTCTTATGATAATAATACACCTCAACCTTATGAAATTAAACAAATGTGTGAACACATTTTACAAACCTTAAATGTATTTCTTTGCATTTGTGATGGTGGCTGCTTCTGTTTAGGTTTTAATTTAGATGTATTCGATGAATTTGATACATTACCATGATTTGAATTGTCGATTTTCTTTTTATGAGAAGTATTTTGATCGAATTTGTTACTTGTTGGCCAAGGACGATAGTTACGCGGAGGTTCTTTAGTGAACCATGCAGGTTTCGATAATGGTTTATTTATTTTCGACTGAGAAGTTGATTGGTGATTGTCATCACTTTTCTCTGGTAGTCTGAGTAACATTGATGGAAGTACCAGTGCACAACAAGGACCTGATCCTCTTAAATTAATAAAAAGTAACAAAATATATTATTAACATTTTCTTTCACATTAATCATACAAATATTTCAAAATAGATAAAAAATATTCACATGCTACAACATTCCACAAACAACAATTGAGGGGGATTTATTTTGATGATTATTTCTATTTGCCTTGGCATCATCTCTTAAAGACTACGACCGTTTTACCACCAAAACAACAAAGGTATATTTTCTAAAGAAATTAATGAAATGAATTGACAAAATGTAAAGATGCACAAGAAATGTGAGGTACAGACAAATAGTTGAGTGGATCGAATATAAATAATATCGAAAGAATCATTGAAATGCTAAACAATAAAGATGAAAGTCATATTTAAAGTCTGATGCACATGGTTAATATGCAATAATAAATAACAAAAATCAGTAATTTTATTCATATGTAAATGTAATTATTATTATTATTATTATTATTATTATTATTATTGTTATTATTATTATTATATAGACGACAAAATCAAATAAATTATACTTACATGCCTACATGTCTATGAGAAGTAAGTTATTGAGATAGAATATTGATAACTGATGGTAGTATTATTCTCAACAACAATGGTAGATAGAGACAAGTAGATCATAAAATGATTTATATTCGAATGTAGAGTAATTGTAGCCAGATAAATGCCTTAACTAAGGAGTACTAACAGAAGCAATGAATGTTAAGTAACATTAAGAAAAATTTAAATCTGAAAGAAATACGTCAGTAATGTGGATTTTTTGACGATGAAGAATAGAGGTAGTAGGCGATATATGGTCACGCCATCGGAATCAGATACGCAAACGGCTAGTCCCAGGTCGCCGATCAAGAGAGGTAAGTCTTCCCCTTGATATCCTGCTGGATACCTTCAACTTACCGGCAGCCCCACCACGAGGAAAAGCTCAACAACAAGCTGATCTATGTTCCAGGCGGCCTCTCAGACAGCGGAGAACAACAGCCAAGATGCAAGTCGACCCCAGGAACGTACGCTATTAAAAAGGGGAGGAGTGTTGGGGACGTAAGATTCCCAAAACTCACCTGGAAAAGGTCCTAATTTCGTAATTTATTTCTGAAATTTTGAATTCTTATGTTGACCTTCAGCTTATGTTTCCCACTCGGAAAATCCTAGGCTGTCATTAGTTGATGGATTATTTTAGTACGCTATTTCGTGGCTCTTCCAAGGGCGTTTCTATCATTGTATAAATAAGCTTGAGTTGAGTTCTTAGCAACATCTACCTTACTGGGTGACATTTTCCTCTAATTAGCGGAGCCTGGGACAATCGGATTCGAATAGCCTATCGTGTCACTACATCGTTGATCTTCGTTCCGTTTTAGTTTCAAGCATATCAGTATTCAAATTTGACTGTTGATCAGATAAGAAAACAGGATATGAATGTCATATATTTTAAGTATAATTGATCAGTTGATGCATGAAAAGGTTTTCATTTAAGGCGCTATTTTTTTTCATTGCACTAAGCGCTATCAAACTTACTTAATTAAACAATAGAAATATTTAGTTTTAGTTACTATAAAAGCCTAGTGTGTGTTAATTTATAAATCGACTAGTTCCCTGGTAGTGTTTAGAAAAATCTTTAATATAATTTCATAAAACAAATCGAAATAATGAGTGAGCAATTTTCTATGGTGCACTTGAAGTTATTTCTAATAGCGACATTACAAAAAATTATTATGATTTAGCTAGAACAAAACATCAACAGCTATCATCAATCTAAATCATTATGGTTTTTTTTATTACATTCATTACTGTGAGAGTAGGATGATCAAAGTACGTTGCTAATGCTACTACTGCTGCTACTACTACTATCCTTGTTACCAGTGTTTCCTATTAAAATGGGTACACAGAAAAAAAATACATATAAATATACATTATGTTGCAAGTGAAACAATTTCAATACACCGATCGAATTATATATATATATACATTCTAAATGTAGGAACATGTTAAAGGCATAGTTAGGAATGTATGATTTTTAATTTAATTCCTTTGTGTGCTCAGTAAAACAATCAACATTAAAAGCCAAAAAAAATTGTCAGAAGACTACTATAAAACTATTTTTTTAAGGAAAAAAACTAACAAGTTAAAACTCTGAATAGAATTAAATCGTTACTATATGATAAACAACACAGAATGGTATTTAGATAAGTCAGTTAACATAATTAAAATGAACAGATTGCAGAGGTTTCATTACAGTACAATAAGAATATGAGTTAAAAAGTCAATCAGTTAGTCAGTAACAACGTGGAACTTCATACGTACCTACGTAAGTTCAGGTTACCATACCACATTAGCACAGAGACGCAATTGTCAGATAGTAGAAGTATTAGCGGCACTGAAGAAGATTGGGGTTCTAAGAAATGTTTCAAGAAGTATAATTCAGTGAAATAAGTTTAGAAAGAGAAAGATAGAAGTGATGAGGATGTCAACGCTTAGTTGAAAAACTTTGGAAGATGAAGAAACCTTCACACACCTGAACAGCATCATTGCTAAACAAGGAGGATCTGGTGCCGATTTAAAGACGCAGATCAGAAAAGCAGGGGTAGTATTTCTACAACTAAAGAACACCCAGAACTCAAAAAAACTGTCAGCCAACAGCAAAGTCAGAATTTTCAATACAAACGTCAGGACGGTCCTATTGTATGGAGCGGAAACTTGGGAAACTATGAAGGTCATTATCCAGTGGATACAAGTGTTTATTATTGGTTGTCTACGCAAGTTACTGCAGATCTGATAGCCAGAGGTAAATAGGACATAAATTTCGGAAATCACCCAACTGCGTTACAAAGTAGGAGCTAACTCTGAATGATCAGTATGAAAGGAAAAGAAGTAGATAAAAGAACAAATTAAGCCGAGGATTCGAGACAGACATGAAAAGAATGAACAGAAGTCAGGTAGGACTGGAAAGGAAGGAGTAAAAATGTATATACACATGCTCAGTTAGTGAGTAGTTTGGTACAAGCATGAAAATCAAATAATATTTCTAGAAATTCATGTTTCCTTCAGAGAGGACTTAAGAGTATGGAACCAACACACTTAAAACTATTCACAAAAAGTACTGTTACTGAACTAAAGTAGTTGTCCGCTAACCTCACAAAATATCATCACGTTTTCAATAACTCAAATATATGGTGAAACAAATTAATTTTACTATAGTATTCATTACAATTCAATTACACAAGTCAAATATATTAGTTTGATATCAATAAATAGCAACTCTAATAATTTCATGTCAAAATAAAAGTTAATGGGAATAATTCCCATGCACATAATAATTATGTGCAGTTGTTGAAAGTTTCTATGATTCAATTAAACTGGTGTTCTATTGAACATAAAAAACAATCATATAATTAAGATAAATGTGCACGCCTTTTTAAAAATAAATTATATGATTAGGTTTTATTTCATAAAACCATAATATATACTAACCGAATATCGATGGCATCAGTGAAAGTTCGACAAAACATGATCTCCACCGGTTGTTCACTTTTTTGAGAGCTTACACCTTATAATTAGAATATAAGAATAAAATTACGATATATGCACATTATCATCAATGAAAAAGCATATAAATTCATGATTTACTTGTCAAAACTTAATAAATTTTTATTATAGGGTGTTATGGATATTGTTGAATTTGAAATTCTATATCACAGACTGTCTTTACTTGAACGACTGATAAAAGACTGCTTTGTTTTGTCCTAAGACAGAACTCCTTAAAAAGTGGGTATTCATGATCACGCTTAAGGTCAAAAACAGTATTATTATGAAACTAAAAATTCAAAAAGACTACAAAACGATTCGTAATAACAATTCTTTAAATTTCAACAAAATACGGATAACATTGAGAAAATATAAAAAGTAATTATAATATTCATACTATGAGATGAACAGTAAGCAGATATGTAAAAGCCATTTGTAAAGAATTTCGGATGTAATATTGAGTAAAGCCACGCCTTCAGTACCTTTGGAAATACAACCACTGAACTATGTATGTATATACCTCAGCTTATAACTGAGAGTTTAAGCACCGTATGTTGACTCAAACTGATAGTGATGAGGAAAGATGTAATATAATGCACTATTTGATTTCGTATACATTATTTACGTTAACCTCATTGTGCAATGGTTATAACAATAAAAGCTAAATAGAGAAAGTTCTGAAAGGATTTAGTTCAGGCATTAATATGAAGCTTAGGTGTCGGCTTTACATAAACTCTAATAAATTAAATTTGTCTCAGCTTACACATGAAAAGTGAACATAGACGAACAGGCATGTATAAAAATGCACATAGGTGAATGGTCAGGATTACTTATATATGAATACATACAATATGACCAATAATGTTACAATTATATCTGCAAAGATCAGAAAAGATCATGCAAATGTTTGTATCAATCTACCATACAATTGTACTTTTGAGTATTTGTATTTCAAGTGTGTATTCATTCACTATAGAGGGCATGACTAATTCAATTAATATCCTCAACTGAATGATCAGTGCGGATTGTTGAATAATTTCCAAGAAACAAAAGTACACTTTTCTTAGATATCCAATAGTTGTCTATCTGAAGTTAGTCTGTAATTTAAACTGTAATGTGTATGATAGTCAATAATAAGAATAAGTTATAAAACAGTCAGTCACAGGCAGTAAAACATTAATCAATGTTTTGTATCGAATTATTTGCTTACCAGATGGTACACCAATAACAATGCCTAGTAATCCTAATGGGATATTTTGTCCTATCCCAATGTAAATAACTTTATCCAATAATGTAAATGAACTAAATACTGATGAATAATTTGATGAATAATAACAACGATCAAATGGTGATAAATTGTAAGACGATGGATAAATTCTTGTATTTGAATTCACTGACTAAAGAAGGTGAGAACAAGTAAAAACATTTACAGCGTAAAACTATAAAATAATTATTACATTTATTTTATTAAATTAATAATAAGCATGCAATATAAAAATCACTAGTGAAATTTTCAAATTCCTTAGCCATTCAAAAACGTTGTCTGTTGAAGAAGATAAGAACATAAAACATCAATGAGTGATGGATATATGCAAAAATAATCATGATGTAGTCATTCAAAACATTGAAGTAATCGATATCCAAGTTTAGGTTCCTATCTGAATTCATTCCTGAATCAATAGGAAGAAATGTTTATGTATGTTGATCGAACATCTGGACAAAATTGAAAATGAACAGCAGTAGCTAAAACCAATAAGGCCTTACTGTAAAATTAATAGTTAGTTGAAAATATTAAAAAACTGCTCTTAAAAACCAGTAACATTAATGACAAATAACACAACAGCAATACGAATGTACAATTAGAAACTTGATATGCTTAGAAGAATAACTTTACACAGTGTCACTGTTTTAAAGTTGGAAAATCAGCTAGTGAAAAAAAATGCTATCCTCTTGCGGCACAAAGAAAGAAGAGAGATGGTGAAGTCGACAATAAAAATCTTGTTAATTGTAGCTCGTCGTGTAGTTGTGATGGGACGACATGGGCTGATTTATATTAGTGTCAGATATGATATTGTTTATGAGTTACTGGCTGGTCAACTTCAGAGATCCTAAAGCACAACAGATGCAACAGAGTCGGTGGTATATACCGTAATATAATGATTAAAATAGACATATCCTTTCACATTTAAGACACTGATTCCATTAGAGTCGTAGGAGAACATGTTTGGTACTGGAATACATACGTTAGAATTGAGCTAAACAAATCACTGCTAACTTGTCTCAGATTTATTGTATTATAATTTAGCATACAGTAAAGACTTTAGATGTCAGATAGTAGATTAAAAATATTTACACGTGACATTGTAGTTGACATATCTGGTGTCTAGTTGAAAATCTAGTTATGATGACTAGCATACAATAACCACACTGTCGTTTTTACTTTTTATAAATATAAAGTGTACATAATGATTTCATTTACAAATCTTAGTCAATCTCCCATAAAGTACATAAATGTATATCGTAGACAGCTGATAAATAACTAATTGAAACATTGATAAAAACGGTGAACAAATATACTTACAAGAAACAAAGACGTCGGTGAACAATACACCGGAGGCTTTTTACTCCAAACCTGACGATCAAACGGTTCAGATAAAGTTTTGTCTTTATCTTTGAGAAATAACGATTTCAATTTTCGTAACCATTCCTCATCTAAATAGATACCTTTCTGTGGTAAGACTGGAGCGTTCCTACATTCCGAATTAGCAATAAATTCCGTAATTTCGTCAACTTCTTTTCTATATAAACAAAAACGTATCGACAATCAATGGGATGGAAAAATACACTAAACAATCATCCAAATTCCTTTAGCTTGATCATAATCTTCAATACATTTACATAATACGTTAAGTAAGAGAAAGAGGATAGATGTTTACGGTTTACGCTTATTGGATCATTGAGATATTCATCAATAAAGTGTAATTTTGAAGCATTACCTTCGTTGTTCAGTTATGCTGAAGTATATAATGTCCGGCTCTAGGAGTGAGCAAAGCAATGCGTGATAACAGTTAAAATGTGAGAGTTTATGACACTATATATATGTGAAAACCACTGAATGTGAAAAGGATTTGAATAGACGTGAATCACTTATGAACAGTAAAATTTCCGGATATATGCCAGGAAGTGAAGATATTTAAAAAAAAACTTTCACAAGCTTTCAAATATACTCTAGGGTAACTTGGAACAGTAATTAGAGCTTAAAGATACAGTAAAGTAGTATTAAGAAACACGTACTGCAATCTGCTTTGCTCCTGTCTTAGAATTGCATCATCTGAACAATTTATGTAGTGACTAGCTGTTGTTTACTTTAAAACAATCATAAACAAAGGAATTCATACATAAAAATAATTCATTAGTCAATGGTATGAGATGGAAGGATTTTAAAAAAACATTATTCAGTAGCAAACGTTTCAAAAATTAGATTTTTACTATATATGAACAAAACCTGACACAAACTTAACAAAAACACTTACGAATTAAGTTTTATGCATGAATTATTTCGTTCAGATGAATTTGACGACTTTAAAACTTTATCCCAAACATCTGGAAACCTATTACTGAATTCTTTGAGTAAATCAACGGTCCTATTAGAAAATAACCATGTATGACGAACAGTACAAAAACGTGACCAACCCAAAACCTGAAATAAAATTAACAAAATGAAAATTACTGCATAGAAACACATGTAGAAAGTAAAAACGCTGAATAATCAACTATGATATATCTTTACTTTTAAAATATGTATAGCTATTAGATATCCATTTGATTTTGAACCCACTTAGTTTAATAAACATGCTATTGCTCACAATGTAAAGCAAGTTATTTTTATTTCAGTTGAAGATCTGTATTTCTCTTATCTTTGTTTCTACTGTTTAAGGAATCTCTAGTAGTTACTATAATCGAGGCTCTTAAGCTATTTGCCTCGTTTTGCGTTTGCTTAGACTTGAGCGTAGATAATTCTCCCAAATTTAGCACACTATTAATAATCTGGTTGCGAAATTGAAGATCGAAGACATCTAAAATCGAATACTAATAACCTACGAAATTCTACTCTGACTGGCCATGTTTAGCAGCCACAAAGTAAGACGGAGCAAACTGCTGCGCAGTACACTCGTCCTTCGGTCAGCAGACGCATATTTCGCCTACAACATAAGTGACAAAAGTTGGCAAAAGCCAATCAAGCTTTCTGTATACGTGCTGAGATTTCGTCAGTCACCAGGCCATCAGCGCTGATAAGACTACCAAGATAAGTGAAGCGGTCACCATGCCCAAGTACACGCCTTATTCCTAGTTCAGGTGCCACTGCATTTCGGCAGGGAGAATGGCATACCGAACATGCTTGCATTGTTGCTTAGGGTAGTCAAAAGACTATGGATTTTGTCAGCGTCTTCACCAGACCACAACTATATCTCCTGCATATTCGAAGTCAGCAAGCGAATCTCTTGGTAGAAAGTCAACCCATGAAACGTCAGAAAATGAAAGTATCTTATATTAAAGCATGTATACGACAAAGTTAAACAAGGATGGATAAAGTGAACAGTCCTGACGAACACCACTTGAAGTAACCAATTCCGATTATGGTTTGACATAACCCCTCATTTGACCAGTAGTATTCGAGTATAGAGCTTTCATAAAGTTATTGTACTTTCTTGGTACACTTTTTAATGACAGACACTGCCATAGAACCTCATGATAAACAGAGTCAAATGCCGCTTTAAGGTCAAGGAAGACAACTATAGCGTGGCGCCTAAATATGTGTCTTTGTTCTAAGACCTGTCGTAGTGTGAATATGTGGTCTATACAGCCAAATCCAGGTCTGAAACCAGATTGCTCTTTAGGAGTTCTAGTTAGGTGTCAGTGTATTATCAAGGCCGATATTTTAGATACTCTATTAGTTACAATGACTCCTCCATGATTGTCACAAGAGGACTTTTGTCTTCTTTTGTAGGCTGCGATAATCAGTGATTGAGACCACTCGGATGGAATTACGTTCAGTTACCAGATCCTACCTAAGATCTCGGTCAATCTAGCTGCTAAAACTGGACCACCATCCTTAAAAATCTCGGGGGTCAATCTATCGGGACCCGCTGCTCGCCCTAGCTTCAGGTTTCCGAACGCTTTCTCAACTTCATAAAGTGTCGGAGAAATTAGGTCGATTTGCCATTCAGGGTGACTGGAGATCGTGGGCAATCGAAGTGTGGCTGAAGACCAACTGAACTGATCCCTAAATTATTCTGCCCATCGATCCGATCTCCTGGAGTGAGAATGAATAATAGTCCCATCCTTTTCCGAAATAGTCTCCTTTACATTCGGGTTCCTAATACCGTTTTCCTTGATGGGTCCGAATAGTAGTCTACTGTTGCCTACCGCTGTTGCCTAATCCATCTCATTGATATAGCTACCAACCACTGTTCGCGACCATTGCATAGGCATTTTATCAGCCTGAGCTTAAGCTGACTTCGCTCCTCATCATGTTCAGAGCCAGGTGGGATGAGCTTTCGAGCTTTCATCAGTTCGGTAGATGCTACAGAAAACCACGGCTTCTCCCTAACCTTATGGTTTACCTTACTAGCAGATGTCACTGCTGTTTCCACAGCTTTTTTGATATCATTCCAAGATGAATCAGAGTGGGCATCACTTACTATATGGCAGCCTGAAATATATTATTAGCTTTATAATCATGAACTAGAACCCTAAAAGGTTTCCTTGCGATATTTTTCCAGTGAGACGCCAACAAATAAGCGTTCGGACTCATCTTTAACCTCGTCTGAACTGTAGTCAGTATGAGCGTAGGCAGATATGACGAAGAGGCAACGGCGAGTTTCCCTATCTTTCCGAATCCTTACTGTCCAGTTCAGTCGGACAGCGCATAAGCGACTATCTACTGGGATCCAGTCAATGTGAGCTATTTCTGCCCTAGGACTCAATGCCATACCTACACCAGCGAGACCTTGGGAAGCAGCATCAGGGCTAGATTTATAACACAGATACACGAAAAGTAAGTTGGTTCTTCATTTTGACAACGTGAAATCAAATTCGTGACCTTACTAAGATCTTGTATGCGCGTTTCCGAGACGCAGCATACATTTATGGCTCGGGATTCCAGAGTCCTAACTAATGAAGCCTGTTGCCCGATTTGACAGGAGGTTGGAACATTGGGAGCTCCAACATGGAACGGGGCTTCAGGCGATCAGGAATAACATTTCGTGAACTATCATCGTTTGTATTAGCGGTATGGAGGTGATAAAGGAATGGGAGAAGAGCTAGTCGTGGAGATAAAAGGGGGATGTTAAGGGGTGTAGAAAGGATTTGATTGTGACCGATTCGGTCTCGCGTGCTGTTACGGGTGTGAGGGTGGTTGTTACTTCCCGACTGCCAACACCGTGGAAGGGTATTTTTTGAGGGGCCTGTAGGTTAGTGTTGGTCTTAACGACCTGGGAGCGTGACCGCGGAGCCTAAAGGACAACTACTTGAGGCCGGTCACGCACAGACTTTTTGTGAGAAGCTATGCTCTAGTTTACAAGGCCTTACCGCCGGGGACGGAAATCCGTGATGTGAGGTGTGACATTTTTAGGGTCGACCTTCCTTGTGAGAAGGCAGCATCGCTGCAGATGCTGGTTTCCGAAAGAAACACCTTACTGTTGCCACACTCCCGTACAGTAAGCAGTACGAACTCGCCCTCAGACCTTGAGGTGCTACTTTTGGTCTTACCGTTCTCCGATCGACCTGCCTGGCATGGTAGAACCTACAGGAACACATGTTTCTGTCACTATAGCTCGGCTGGGCCATCACTATAGGCAAGCCCGACCACCACGTCAAGGTAGCAGCTACGGTCGGGACATGGACATACTAGACAGAAAACACATGTGATGGATTCACAGAAGCGACCTATCAGCTTACAATCAATTTATTTAAGTAATAAGGTTCCAGTATGACAATGCTAAAGCTAATTTGATCAGAACTGTTTTACAAGTAAGATGTAAGAACTAAATAAGAATAATACAATATACATATTTCTGTCTTAGAAAAAAATAGGATACATTCAAAAAAAGTCTTACCTGGGCACCAGAGCGATTTCGCTTCAGATTTAAACCAATGTTAGTAAATGATTTCTGTTCACCTTTTTTCTTCTCTACACTGTTTTCTACGTTGTTCTCGGCCATTGTTTCAGTGTATTGATTATGTTTACTGATAGCGTCAGTACTATTTCCAGAAGACGAACAAGATCCAGAAGTAACTTGAACCATCAAGCTACCAGTCAATCGATTCACCACAAATACTGGAACATTTAATTGATCTGCAACCATGATATTTGTATAGAAATTATCATGTTCCCATTCCTAAATGTAAATGTAAAATTTACGAAAATAATTAAAATATATTCTTGATTTTAAGCAATGATTTGTTTGGAGGATAAGGTTTTGGATGTAGATGGCATCAGATGTTCTGACAGAGATAATAGCTCAAACTTGTCATATGATGAACGGAATAAGAACAAACGACATGAGAAATAGCTGGAGAATACAGTCATTAGATCATCCCTAACAGATTCGACAGATGGTTGTACAGTGAATTACAGATTTCATACATACTGATTGTAATTCAAGTGTTTAAAAAAAACATAATCTGATAACAATCTCTACTAATTCTTAAGAGCTGAACAGTTTCTTAATTGAGCAACGGACGTGGGATAAGTACCAAGCGACAATGTGGTAAGTTACATTCCAGTTCTCGATAAATAAAAATACCATTTAGACATACGTTAACGGACTTTATATTCGGATAAAGCTTTACAGAGATATTTGCAAAGGAAATAGAAATATTACAAGTTTAGTCTGTATAATCACACCTCATTTTTATGTTAAGACATGATAAGTGAAGATTTTATTCACAAAATAATAAACTTCGCATAATTCTAAGATTATACTTACTTCGACCTGACTACAGAATTCTGTTAAATCAGTAGATGACGAGAAATCAGGATAGAACCGTACCATAACTTTACCTTTTTTCTCATCAACTCCAACAACCTAAACATGTGAAACAGAAGGGAAAATAAAGAACTCTTTCATATAAGGAGATTACTTTAAAATGAGGTTTAATGGAGACTGGATTTGATTTATGAACTATATTTAAGGGTATTCAAACATTTGTCACGAGATTTGAAGATCTCAGTTTCGATCATTCTTGAAGTCTTGGATAAGCTCTTCTATGATTTATCCTACTTGAACAGAATAACTGTTCAATCCTCCTGAATTTTGACTGACTAAAGCTGAGATCAGTCTGAGATGAATACAACTAACATAGTTGATTAGATATTTAGAGGATTAATCTCTTCAATATCTTAACAATTATATGAAATGTGCAAAAACTAGAAAACATCTGAATGATAACGAGCATTTATTCTTGACAGTTATTTCACGTTTAGTCTAACATCCGAGAATAACAATGATTCAGAAAATTGAGATGCTTCACAAAAAAAGGAAACGATAATACAAAGACTAAGAACGAAACTCCTTAATTTAGTGAATCTAACAGTAAAATACATGATCTCGTTAAAAAACTTAGAAGAGAAAGCTAGACAATATATAACACTGTCTTTTAAGATGCTCTATCGACCACGATGTAGTCGCTTCCAACTGGAACCCTCCATCCCGTAAAAATCAGCTTTGTTACAAAAGCACTGACCAGAAAAAATCATTCAAACTATTTTAAATCTGCCCTGTGAGTCTGAAGGGTTTTCTTATAGAAGAATCATGACGTTTCATCGTGAAAGCCAAAATTCTTTGGGAGTCACAAGGCCAATGCCCCTTTCGACAACCACAATAACAATTAATATGGGTACAAGAAACGTTCAGACAATATGGAACATTGGAAGGGTCACTTAAACAAACAAAGAAATGAGAAGATACACCTTGGCTCTGTTTGGAATGTACGAAACTTAATCCACACAATCCGAACAAAAAGAATGAGTTCAAGAGAGCTGTCACTGTATTCTGACGTTTTAGTGATGCAGTCGAACTGATTGCGAAAAGCAATTGCACGAAAGGAAACTCGTAAGTCTAGGATAATCAAAGCATCCTTCGAGACAAACATGGAGGGGATTACAATCAATGTCATCCAGTACTATGTGACGAACAACGATGGCAACAGCTTTATGAAAGGCTACAGTCAATCGTAGGGAAATGTCCAGCAAAGGAGTTGACCATTCTGGTTGCAGACCTAAACGCCCTCATTGAACCTACCCAACAGAGAAGCAGTATCTACAGACCTACCGATCGATGTCTTCGAACCAACTATTAAAGAAGTCAGAATGGCCATCAGACAAATCAAGAGTGGCAAAGCAGTACAACCAGACAACATACCGGCCGCGACATTGAAAGTAGACATATATGTAACTGCAAAGATACTCCACGCCCTCTTCAGCAAGATTTGGGAGGAAGAACAATTACCGATAGGCTATAAATAAGGACACTTCATCAAACGGATCATAGTAAGTGAGGAAACTATAGAGACACCACTCTACTATCAGTGCCAGGAAGTCTTCAACAATGTTGTTAAACTGAATGAAAGATTCAGTAGATATAAAGACACGGATTAGCAAGGCAAGCGCAGCATTTCTACAACTGAAGAGCATCCGGAACTCAAAACAACTATCAACCAACACCAAAGTCACAATTTTCCACATAAATTTCAAAACCATTCTATTGTATGGAGCGGAAACTTGAAGAACTACAAAAGCCATACAGGTGTTTGTCAATAATTGTCCACGCAAGATACTGTGGATTCGCTGGCCAGACACTATCAACAACAACCTATTGTGGGAAAGAACAAAGCAGCTTCCAGCTGAGGTGAAAAAGACACATTGTGGAAACCACCCAACTGTGTCACGAGGTAAGCCCAAACTTAGAATCACCAAGGTCAAAGGAAAGGAGGCATATTAAAGGACATATTACACCGACAATTGGAGAGATACGAAATGAATAGCAATTGGAAACAACTGGGAAGGGGAACCGGGAAATAGGTGATCTGCCACCTATGCTTTATGAGGTGTAACAGGTGTAAGTAAGTAGTGTATTCATGAAGTATTTCAGAAAGTAAACAGTACAGTGACGTATAATAATAAATTTCCCTAGTTTATTTAGACTATAAAAGAAACATATATATCCAACAACAAAATACTGTAAAACTTATACAAAATTGTAACAAATTCCTTATCACTCACTTCACCGACTGATCCATAATTTTCTTTGGCTAAATTAAACACTATTTTACCAGGATGAAATATTGTATGCAATAAAATTGCTTTATTGTAACCCCAGTCAATTTCGAGAGAACCAATCGCTGGGGATGGAGGTAGTCCAGGTAATATTACATCTAACAAATCTAAATTTAAACCATCTGATAGACCATAAGCAGGTTCTATACTCAATGAAGGTTTTTCAATAAGTATTTTTCGTTTCTTATCTTGTTTTGTCGATGAGTCACCCATAGTTTCGGATTGAATGAATGGAGATGCAAATGGTGCATTAGACAATTCTAAATCATCACCATTTTGAGCACGTGAACGAACAAAATTCGGTATAAGAGAAAAACTATTCGAAACATTTTTTCGCTCAGGTATTACAGACCAACCATCTAATGGACGAGAAAAGACTAGAACCGACGATGATGTTAAGTTCCCATCAGCATTTAATTCATTACTGTCATTATCATCATTTGTGTCATCAAATAAAATTGCTCGACGTTTTTCAAAATAGTGCTTTAGACTTGACAACTGACTATTGATCCATTTCAATTCGTGACTTTCTTCAGACGATAAAAGTGGACGAGACCGTAGGGATTCGGAGGGTAAATCACCTGAAGATTTAATGATTGGTTCTATATTAAAGTCCACTAGTTCCCAACTAAATTTTTTGAATGTAAAATAAATGCATATTAGTAGACAAATGTTTCACACTCCACATACTAATGATAACAACAGAAAATACAACACTTATGATTACAAATGAAATTCTAGTAAACCATTTAGATTATATAGCAGAAAAGGAAGAATCGGAAAAAAAATTATTTGTTTGTATAACCAAACTTAGCAGTGGGATGTTTTCATACGTATGACTAGATCATACTTATCATCATATCTAACAGACTTAGACACATTTATCATTTGAGAATATTGATCAGTTGGTAAAATGTGGCCTTTAGATAGTTTACATATAAATATAATTAATGCAGGCGCAACATCAACTTATATCATCAATGTATACAACTGAAAAAATCTAGTTTAAAATTGATTGTATCGATTTCCTTAAATTGTTCTATTTACACTAAGATTTACTTGTAAAATCATTATATCAGTCTGTTGCGTATATTTTCGCGACTATTCCAATACCTTGTACACAAACCAAACTAACAATCGTTATTAAGATAAATCACAACAGTAAACAAGGACCAGAAAAGGAAATGAAGTACTGCCACCAGTTTATCTTTATGTAAAATTCAAACAAAATAAACACCAAGCATAAAAATCGAAATGAATTAATGAATGTTGTTTAACCATCTTTGACTGTCTTCAGTCTCTTCTTTCCCAACAAGCATCACGGTTGTAATCCGTTGATCATCATCGCTTTTCCCTAGAACTCACTAGTGACCTACTTTAAGAATCCTGAATCCCGACTCTAAACTAGATGTGGGAGTTTTCAATGTTTGAACCTTGTGCTAAAAAAGAACAACAAGCGTTCTTGGCTAGAACTCTAGAATCTCGCGCCAATGATGTTTACTGAGTCTTCAAAACGTGCATACAGGATCCAGGTATAGTGATTCATTCGAACTCACCTTGTCAGCAATAAGGAACCGTAGCGATTTTCGGTCCGTATATCTGGAAGCCCCACTGCTGTTTCCCGTGGTCTAGGTGTGATAAGTATAGCATAACTCTAATACTATGGTAACTTTAACTGACGTACGTACATACCAAGTCCTGTGCTGTAGCTGACTGACTGACTGATCATGGTTAAAAGTATGATGTTCATCGGATATGGTAAGGTTGAGAGTACTAGATGTAACAAGGATATGAAAAAATTTATGGTCCAGTGTTTGTACTCCGTTGCTTAAAATTGATGATCTAGTTTCAATATGACGATGACAAAGCTTTGCGTAAACTATCTACTCGCGTCAAATTTTCGAACAGACAACTTATTCATATACAAGAAATAAACACTCTACTTGGTTAGATTATAAACAGATGAATGAAAAGTATCCGAAACTACGAAATCATCACATTAAAATAGTCAAATCTCATTAACATAAATTGCATTCATTGTAAAATGGATTAAGATCATATGAAATGAAAGTGTGTATAAAAGATTCTTACATTTCACTATTATTCATCAATCGAACAGGCATCACTGTAGCACAGAATGGCCAACGAACTCGAATAGGACGCCCAAGAATATTTTCAGCTAACTGGCTAAGACTATCATATTTCGAAAATTCTGGATGGGGTTTCATTGTCAACGCCAAACTATCCGATTTGCTGGGGCGTTCAAAAACCTAGGTTTAATACACATACATAGTCAATTAGTGCTGACTGTTTGCATGATATCGAATTGAAATAAGCAATTAAGTGATAAACTGCAAACAATTTTTTGGTTTTCTTCCAAAGATAGGTTATGATAAATATGATGATTAACGTGACATGGTTTGTTTATGGTGAAAGTAATGGAACGATAGGCAGACTCAATTGAATTTCTGAACTCAAGCATACAGGTATTTACCAAGAAAAGTGATTAAAATTTGACTGACAATTACTTGCATTCAAAATGTGTTAAAATTTAAGATCAAACAGTGGCATAAACTGATTTGAAGTGCATATATACTCGAATGTGTATTTAGAAGTTTTCCACATCGTACAAATAGATCCATTCTGTATTGATATTTCACTATATAGTAGTAGACTCACAAAACAAATTAAAACGCCAAATAACAACACCGCTGAGTTGGTTAAAATAACACCACAACCAAACTAGAAAAGCTAAGTAGCGAAAAACGGAACATATACAAGATAAAATCGGGTTCTCTATATGATTACTTGTCCTCATACACATGGATGTATTGATCGAGTTCCTGTCATTTGTTAGGTTTTGAAATAAACACATACTCATACCCGACAATAGTTATATTTCTTTACCTTAAGTTTGCATTTGACTTTACCGAACAATAGGTTTTTTGGAAGTGCGCGATTACAAAGCATACAGAAACATGATACGAACTTGTGAAGGCCCTTTACCAGAACAATATTGACCAGGTTATTTGGTTATGCTAAATAGCTATCAGAGTCGGAAACTTTTGGTGGTGTTTGTTAGTAGTGTCAGTTTTACCCATCCCTATATAGCTTCGGCACATAAGTTCTGCTAGAAACCACATTTTTACATCTAACTATAAGGACTAGTTCCTTTTCTAGAGAACTCACTCACCCACATGGGGTACGCACTTAACAATCCCATTTGGTGAAGAGACTGACAAAGAGCATAGACTTCTAAATGCTTTGAGAATAAATGCAAGTGTTTTCGGAATGTGGTTCTCTCTCTCTTTCTTTAGACATAAAATGTCGTTTATGAACTGTTCTGTATGCACATCAAGACTGATCACACAGAGTCTAGTAGTTCAAGTTGTTGTAGATAGAACTTGTTAACACAGGTGGGTCGATGACCAATACACTCTCAGTACTTGTTAAAAAATCTCGCCTGGATTTCGCCAACTTGTGTTACCTATAGCATAAATGATATATTAATCTGCCTATCATACAATGAGTAAAAATAGTCATTCAAATAAGAATTATAATAATCCATCGAGACTTCAAAAAGATTTCTTATATGACTAACTTTTATTGTCATATATATATATATAGAAAAACTAAAAAATATCTTACATAAACTGGTATTCTTTGAATTTTATAAGTAAACGGTAATCTCAATAGACTTGGAAAATCATCAACAACAGATCGAGTAACTGACGTATAAAATTGACTTAACTGTGATTCACTATAGTTCACAGATGTACGGTAAAAATCATAAGTAATTAATTCTACAGGAGATTTTACACGTCCAATTACACAAGCACGATAAAAAAGGTGGGATTTATGTTGATTGCGTTGTTTTTCCTGTTCAGTTAGTTTACCATTACCATCCTTCATAACATTTATTAGAAATTCTTGATCCAAAAACGGAATTAACTATAAATATACAATGCAAAAGCAAAATTGATCAAATTTAGGACAAATTATCAGTCTGAAATATGAAACTAAAACAAGTTAACGATTGAACTGAGAACTTGTTCTAATATATGAATCAGTCAGTCGCAACGTTGAACGTACGGACGTATATCAGTCCAAGTTGCCGTAAAACATTATTATAGAGAGGCGATCATTTCAAGACGAATTTTAGAGTAGTAGCTGCAGTCGCGGTGTGATAAGTAATGGAATAGATTGTGGATGGAAGATAAGATTCAAGGAAATATAAGTCAGTGAAATGAAAAAAATTATGGGGAGTTCAGAAGCTTCGAATTTGAGAAGACAAAGAATAAATGCACCTGCCTCAATGCAAACATTTTTGAGCCATTTCATTCAAAGTCTATAACCACCAGATACCACTGTCTCGTCCACCTCCACCTGGTAGTCTACACCTACTAACATAGATCAGTCAAGTAATCAGTGACTTCATGGATTTGTGCCACGTTTTAGTTTGGCAGCCCCTAGCTTTCTTCCAATTTACTTCCACACCAGATAACATAGTTTGTTGAAGAAGACGGTCGTTCGGAACACATAACACATATCCCGACCACCTCAACTTATGAAAACTCACTACTTCATCAGCCGACTTGCCACTCTTATTTAGTACCTTTGTTCTAACCCTGATATTGCTTACTCGGTGATCCCAGGATACACGCGCAATGCTTCGAAGGCAGCTACGATCGAATACCATTAACGTAAGAATGTCCTCTATTCTTAATGGCTATGTTTCACATCAACATAGTAGGACGGAGCGACCTACTGAGCAGTAGACACGTCCTTTGGTTAGCAAACGGATATCTCGCTTACACCATAAGTGACGCAAGTTGGCAAAAGCCAGTCGAGCCTTCTCTATCGACGCCGATATTTCATTAGACACCAAGCCATCAATACTGATGAGAGTCCCGAGATAAGTGAAGCGGTTAACACGTTCAACTACTTCACTCCCTATTACTAGTTCAGGTGCCAAAGAAAGCCAATAACGAAGCTTTGTTAATAAAGTTACAAGCAGAACTACGCAACATCTTATCTAGATGTTGACTTACAGCGAAGTCGAATAGAGGGTTCGGATTCCCTAAAAATTAGGAAAGATCGATGACCAGAACAAAAATGACATGCTTATTCATGTCTATGCAAAATTATTGTGAACGGTTTTTTTGAGTATTTGCATATACATGTTTTGTCTAAAACCGGTTTCATATATATCTTTTTTAACCTAATTAGCAGATTTTCAATCTATACAATGGTGTAATTAGGTCACTATGGAAAAAAAAGTTATAGGGTGACCGAACAAAATGAAGTGAAAACTATTGCAAATTACTTGATTTGTGGTTCAGTTTCGCTTGCATCTATTAGTATCTAGATTGCTCAGAATATCAGTTTATTTCCGGTATTTAGTGCATGACTTTAATTTGAAAAAATCTCATTGAAAAATGGTGATTCTGTATGCTAGAAGTTCCGAATATTCCTTATTCAATTAATCCCACTAATTGGTAGATTTCACTCATTAATGGTAAAGACAAAATACTAGCGTCATACTAACACGAATCGAGTTGTTAAAATGGTTTTCGATAGTACTGTATTAATTGTTTATTTAAGTGAATCTATTACTTTTAAATAACAAACAACTATTTTTTAAATCTCCCGATGGCAGCTGCTACCTTGACGTAGTGTTCGGGCATGCATATCGTGAAGTCACTGACAAGTGGAGTGAGTCATATTGGTAGAAGTAGGCTACCTGATTGGGCACGCGATACGAAAGTAACCGACGGTTAGAAACCTTGAATGACATGGCTGAAAATCGTTTGCAATGGCGTAAGTGCATCAACACTTTGTGTTTTCTGAAATTCTAGTCTTCTGAACACCTCATCACCTCTATCTTTCTCCTTCTAAAGTGATCTCACTGAATCACACTTCTTGAATAATATCATCGAAACCTAATCTTCTCCATGACCACTAGTGCTTTCACTATCTATACCACCATGGGATTTGAACTGACAGTTATGACTCTGTGCTAATTCGGTACGGCAAGCTGAATTGATGTACGTACGCACGAAGTTCTACGTTGTAACTGACTGACTTTTAAAATCTTTCTTAGTTTATTGGTTATTTTAAACGAAAAATGAATTAAACACGCCATTTTTTCAAATCTAACACAATTTTATCTAGAGATTCTGCTAATAATTTGACGCCCTACCCACTGGTATGAACGCTTGAACAAAAAAACAATAAGCGCACACATAATGTTAATAGACATACCACTACAGCCTCCCATGATGCTATTTTTCCATTGATATCAGTTTCAAATTCTTTAGGAAAGAATTTAGCTAATGGAGAAGATGGAGAGACCATTAATTCCCGATAAGGTTTTGGAACTATATACGCCGAATCCGATGGTAATATCATTAATTGTTGAACAAATGGTAAAACTGGTTGTGAATCTGTTTGAAATTTTGTCCAAGAAAATTTAACATCATTGAAATTTTGACAATTCTCAAATTTTTTTGTATACAAAATAAGATCATGTACAAATGGTGCATAATGATAAGCATAGAAGAAATCCCAATCAGCCACATTTAAATAATAATAATTCAATATCCATTGTAGCATTCGGATATAATCTTGAACTAGAGACATTAACGTGGAATTCTCACCATGATCACTTGATATATCATCCAGTTGTATACCAAGTTTCGATGAATAGTAATCACGACGATGCATTCTATACACCAGTATATCTTCATCTAAATCTGTGTCAGTTTCAATATCACTGACATTCTCATTTCCTTCTACTAATTCCGTTTCTGCTTCATCATACACATCATCTTCTTGATGATGATTATCTTCCATTACGTCATGTGTATTATTATTATCATTATTATTATTAGGAAGTTGATTTGAAGAATTATTTTTATGACATAATTGTTTACATTTATCATCATCTGACTTTAATGAAACAACAACACCCTCTTCCATTAATTCCGCAGCTTCATCTAGTATAACATTATCATATTGACAATCAGATCGTGGTATGAATAAATCTATAAAATCAGTCATTTGATCCAAATCTGAAACATAAAAATATCAAGACAAATACGGTAGTATTTCAGTAATTCTTGTATAAACCATACTGTAAACTGGGTTGAACACATAATTTTAGTTATTCCATAACAAAATGTATTTGTTCAAACGTGTCCATTATTCTGTGATACTAAACATTTCTTTAAATGAGAGAAAAACGAAAAACACTATGTGGAACCAATTTGAAAAGGTTTGGTTTAGTGAAGAAATATGATTACCCTAGCAAACATTAAATGAATTGCTGAATTAGTATTATTTTATCGTTCTATACATAGCGTTCCTTAGTAGAGGAGGGAAACTTTAAATGAGGAATCGTAAGTTTATACGTTTCCTGTAACAGATAAGTGAATAAATGAAAAAGGGGAGACTTCGAAAACTATTCTACAGTGAACTAGCTATGCATGTCTTAGAGATAAACTTTTAGTGTGAACCAATTACAAATCGATAACTTCAATTTTTTGTCATAAAGTTCCAAGTTACGTTTTTATTTGCGCACAGGGAACGTGTAGGCAATTGGCCATTTGTCAAATACAGTAGCCGAGACAGCTAACATATCATTACTGGTGAGAATGGAGAGAACAAACAAAACGTTCTACACAAGATGGTGTATGATGGACAAAAATTAAAGAATAGGTCCACTTGAAGAATTATATTACAAAGTCTAGTTTTTAAATATCTGGTGATTTCGACAAGTTATAAAAGGGATCTAATTACGTAAGAAACTTTATGTATAGATGCTAAGAACAATGAACCATCAACAATATGTATAAAACTGTGGATACTAAATCATTGTAACAACCGTTAACAGTGGAATAGGTTTCATCTGATTGTTTTCTTTTCATATATATATGTAAATAAACAACTCAGGTAAATCTCTGCTACGAATAGAAATAAGATAATATGTCATTTAAGATGCCCTATTGACCACGACTTAGTTCCCTCCAACTGGAGCCCTTCAGGGTTACTGGAGGTCCAATGCCTGGGTAAAGAACAGTTGATAGTGGAATTAGCAACCCCATCCCGTAGAAATGAACTTTGTTAAAAAAGCCTACTTACTTACTTACGCCTGTTACCCCTAATGGAGCATACGCCGCCGACCAAAGAATTATTTTTCTGGTTAGCGTCTTTTTAGCGAGTTGGATTTCTACGGGTTGGGTCGCTAGCCTAACCCTCCTCCTTTATCCGGGCTTGAAACCGGCAGTAACTCTAGAAGGGCTCCAGTTTTGCTAAAAAAGCACTGACCAGAAAAAATCATTCAAATTATTTGAAATCTGCCCTGTGAGTTTAAACAGTTTGCATATAAAAGAGTCATGACGCTTCACAGTGAAAGCCTAAATTCTTCGGGAGTCACGAGGCCGACGCCCTTTCTGACAACCACAGCAACAATTATATCGGTATATAAAGCGTCCAGACAATATGGAAGATCGAGAGGGTCATTTAAAAAGCATAAATATATAGAAGCTCTAGCAATGATAGCAGAAAAAGCTGTAAGAGGAGGAAATATGAGTAAACCACATGATAAAACCAAGCTTACAGGAAAGTAAATGGGCTTGGTTATAACAACAACACCACTGGCTACGATTCTTGTCTCTATGTTTGCTTCGCGATTTGGAAAGAGATGTTACGACAATCGATTGCAATCAAACACAGTGCAACAGAATACTCAGAATTTTCAAGAGTAAACCTAAATGATAACTTCCAATTAGTTATGATTACCATAGTTGAAAGTAAAGCTAATTATTTCTGACCTCTTCAACGCATTATTATGCGATATTTTATAAATATATATTAGACATAGGTGCTAATAACGACGTAGTTACATATTTTATCAAAAGCGCACTATAGTGAGACGAAAAAGTACTTTGGTGAAAGTGAATACAAGACACTTCTTTCGAAGGATTTCTTGAGAAATAATAACGCGATTGTTTATTATGAGATTCTATTATCTAAAAGCAAGTTGTGAGAAACGTTGAAGAGAACTCTGAGAATTCAAGAAGACCAACACCGATAAATTACCCATGAAGTTTTCCAGTATGTCATTACAACAAGCTACAAAATGACAGCAATTACCATTTTTCTTATCTAATGAAGTACGTTTCCCCGTTGAAAAGACAGTTTTGTGGGATGATGCCTGATTATCTTCAGATGACAATCCAAGTTTTTCTAGCTCATTTGCCATACGAGCACCTTGTTTTCCTCGCATCCATTGGAAAGCAGCTTCACGTTCTTCGAACCAATCACGCTCAAACTGAAAAATGATAAAAACTAATCTGGTACAGAAGGAACTGTTTTCTGTAAACAATGTAGTCTTATTGTTTGTTCTATAATATACAGATCAAATTCGTTAGAAAAAACCTCAATAAATGCTTCGCACATACTATGTTAGCATGAACAATAGCGTAAATTTTTTCATGCGTAGATTTCAATTACTGGTGGAGTTGCCATAGAGTTCATCATACTGTATAAAAATCAGTAAACGTAGTTTGAATGAGATTAACTCCGCTATCAGCTTATGGAACCTGGTTTTTCTAAGGTGAAAACATTCTACAGTTTTTATAACCTGACTGATTACCGTTGTCTCTGTAGTATTTTTGGAATTTGGTATAAATAATAGTAAAAGATGGTAAATAAGCAACATTTAACTCTGAATGACAGAAATTACTTTAAATGAATTTATCCTATCATGAGGCTTGATAGTTCGAATACAAAGTATGTATGCTGTGTGTAAAGAGTGCTAGTTCACATAGTCGCGACCATTAGTAAATCAATAAAAGGAAATTTCGTTGTAAACTTTTACAATAAACCTTAGTAGCGCAGTATTTGAGGAAATAAGTATACTGCGGAGAAAATATATATATACATATATATATATATATATATATATATATAAACAGGAAAATTACTAACTTGAGAAAGTTCTTCTAAATACTTATGAAAGCGTGGAAGATTTAAATATCCAAACTCTACAAGGTAACCTATTGTTGAAGAAAGATATCAATAAATCATATCAATGATAAGATGTCAATCTATACAATAAAATGTTAACACCAATAATAAAAGATACACTAATAAAAATGTTTACTTTGGTACAACTCCAAATATTCTACGAATAGAAATCTATGATTAGATTATTAATGAAAGCAAACATCTAAATTAATAGCTAACTTATTGGCTTACGTATAAAGTGGTGACACTATGCTTCCGAGATACATATTCAATCTTATTTACCACCTCAACTAATCCTAGATACTTTTGTCTAGGTCCTACTTACCGTACACGTGTAGCTAGTAGTTCATATCGTTTTTTGAAAATTCCGTCAATTTGTTTCACAATCCTTCTTTTAATCCAAAAATTCAATAGATAGCTAACACAGAAGGAGAAAATTCATTCTTTGATAGTGACTAACCTAAACTTATGTGATTCTGTATTTACGTCATATCCGGCCACGGAAGAGATAGGGGTGTCACGAATTTCTTCTGAACACATAAATTAGGGTTGAATGTACGTATTCCTATGGCTTCTGCAATGTGTAGGAGACGGGATCGAACTCCGTTGGGAAATGATGGAGGTATACGATAGATCACCCGAAAAGATCTAGATTTATCTACAATGTGACCACTATCTACCAGGTGTGCTAAGATAGAACTGCGTATTGTTTTTGACTGACCCTTCGTAAACCATGCTGGGAGATGTTCACTCATTCGTTGGTTAAGTTGCCTGGAAGTACGCCCGATATAGCTATCTCCACAGGAGCAGCTGAATTTGTAAATGCACATAGAGGAGGCCAGCTCAGGTAACTTATCTTTCGTTTGAGTAGACATCGCAGGTCGACTGGAGAAAGTCAATGCAAGTTTTGCAGCGTTGAATGTTCTGTTGATTACTCTTCTTAATCTATCCTGCAGAGTATCGCAGGCCACATCTCCGTTGAATTGTAGCTTCATAAACAAAGGCTTCTTTCGGGCAGTCGAAACCACCGGCTTCTTTTTTACAGCAGACATATACTTTTTTAAGAATGCGCTTGGATAACCAATCTCGGTTAGTGAGCCGTTGATGAATTCCAGCTCCTGACTTACAGTAGATAAATCTAGATCTTTTCGGGTGATCTATCGTATACCTCCATCATTTCCCAACGGAGTTCGATCCCGTCTCCTACACATTGCAGAAGCCATAGGAATACGTACATTCAACCCTAATTTATGTGTTCAGAAGAAATTCGTGACACCCCTATCTCTTCCGTGGCCGGATATGACGTAACTAACGATTGACATTATATATATATTTTATTTATTTTGATTCTGTATTTCACAAAATAATTTCTTCCCAACTGGATATAATTCGGAGAGCTTATGCTGTGTTTACTTTAACACTTATATTGTTTAAAGTCTAAAAATAAATGAAAATAATACTCCAAATAAATGAATCTATACTAAACAGGTAGGTTTGGTTAACGACCACGTAGGATTTAAATACCTAAATACAGTACTTACAACATACTAACGAGTCGAAAACATTTAACTACACAATTAAAACAATCTTAATGAAATTATTAAGATGCATTAAACCATTTAGTTATTTCTTTAATAAAAAAAACAATGACAGGTATTTTTCACTATTAAACAAATAAATTGTATGATTAATTTCAGATAAACGTGACTTTTTGCTCCCTAAAAATTACTGTAGAAAGGTATGAGCTTCCTGAAAAATAATATCTTTATTATATTTTAACTTAGACCTAACAGAAAAAAGTTTCGAAAACTGTTATCATCAAGAGGAAAAACTTTTAACAGTTGCATGTTCAATTTAAAGAGATTCGAACACCTCGATCGATTGATTTTCAACCGATGGAAAGTGTAAGTTTGAATTCTGTGCATCATGTCAAGGTTTCCTCAAGAGATATGTGTTTTCCAACCAACTGATTGTTGATAAGTAAATATAGTATGAACCAGTAAAATTAAACTTACCGTCTAATTTCGGTAATACTACTTGATATGTATCCCAGACAGTTAACAAAGATTCTGCATGTATATGCAAATTAGGTATATGAGGTATGAAATCGTTTCCAAGTAGAAAAGCCATAAAAACCCAATCATCAATAAGACGTTCCAAATCATAAGGAAACGGTAATGTCTTCTGCATTAGAAATATATTATTCAAACAAAAAACATGAGAAATTTTGGCAATGAATATGTAGTTTACACTGACTTTTCCAATGACTGAGCAAACAAAACATTTCTAACAGAACAATAAAGTAATTTCAAATAAACGTTGAGAAATAGTCTAACAATATCTTATAAATTAAAAAGCTCTATACATTATGGGCTTAAGTAATTTGTTACCGACAATAGTGATCGGCCTAAAAAGATTTTTTGAACATGCTTTATGAAGAGTATGGAATATCTGTAGAAAAACGTCTGACTATACTAGCTGAATGTACTTTTTATGTTAATTCTAACAGGGGAGTATTGAAGAGATTAAATGCACTTTAACTATTTGAAGCAGGCATTGGTGTTGTATAGAACAACTGTAAAAGCTTCACAATTAAACTTTCTCGCTCTCTACTCACTAGAAGCTGTTCATCTGATTTATAATTCTTGATCATATACAATATACATGTATACAATAATTCATGTTTTATGCTGTTTTATTTAATAAAGGATTGGTTAATGACCAACTTAAAACACAAACTATTACTACTGTTGTCAGTCGATTAATTACAGTTAACTTGCATCTTTAACACTTAGAACAAAAAAAAGGTTAATTACCAACCTTTAATTCTGCAAATTCCAAATCAATATATTCCCGAAGAAGCGATAAGTAAGTAATACAGAAAGGTTTATTATCAGCCGAACAATTTCTAGTAAAGTTAGAAAACAAATTCAAGATAAGGACTAAGAATATTTTTTTAAATTAATTTTTCATCATAGCTTCACATTAACATACATTTGTTTAACAATAATACTGAAATATACCAGCCAGGTGATGATGTGGTCTATTTTATTTTATTTTATACATTCGAAAACAACTAGCACATGGAACCTATCGCAAATGGATGAGGTTTACAAGGTTATTGATAATAAACAAATTCTAATTTTACTATTACTTGCAACTATAAATTTCATACTTACAATATATAAGGAAGGATGAAAAAAGTACCAAGACGTACACTAAATTTATACCATGAGTAAAAATGACATAACGGGACAGTTCGGATTGAAATAATAAAGAGTTAATCACAGATACAGTACCCATCCAAAAATTTATTTTGATCTTCAAAACCATAAAACTACACTTATTGTGATTAAACGCGTACGCTTGATGAGGGGAAAATGAAAACCACTAAGTAACACTCATTTGCTGTAAATGAATGATGATAGTTCACTTATCAATTGGAAAGTTATTCAAAAAATTTTCAAGTTTCTAAAATGCTACTAGAATATATTTCTAACTGTATTTATGATTCGTACACACTGAGTGTTTGATTATGAACAGTATTTATTTAGTTAACGGTAACTACAAAGTTATAACTAAAGACTTGGTACAATTAACTTTGAAGTAAGCTTTATTTTCATAACTGGAGATTGAAACGATACTTAAACCTAAATATAAATAATAAATTATCATTCTCAGAATGTCAAGATTAACTCTTGACAGATACAAGACCTGCACTGATTTGAAACTAACTGAGCATAATACCTAAATATAACATTTTTGTAAGTTGAATGAAGAACGGAATAGTTAGGTTTATTTGAAACTTACTGGGTTTTAACAACGTTCTCACGTAAAATACAAATGTTGATTTCATGAGTTGTCAAACCTAAAAATATCTAAACGGAGAAACGAAATGCTAATGAATAAGATGTTAAGCATACTATATCAATCAGAAACGTTCAAGAACAACTGTAAAATATTTGACAGTTTAACCTAGAATTTCCTAAGATCGCAAAAAGTGAGCTAGAAATGATATCGATGGTCAATCAATAGGAAAAATGATTGCACACATGAAGAGCAGCACAAAATATTCAGGGGAATCCTTTCTGTGCTGAAATAGTTAAATTCGGGTTTGAAAGTACTGTTTATCAATCTATCTCTCAACATATTTATTTATCAATGTGACTCGGATATATTTTGTGTAGGCTGCCGAAGACCAGGCCGTAGATAACTATAGTGTATCATTCCTAAAGTTGGTATCTATATTGATCGTTTGACTTGGCAGTGATTTGAAATAAATACTCTAACTGGTAATATATCATGGCAATCATGCTTAGATAAGGAAGCTAGATATCAATATAGACAGGAACTAGTTAAATGAATAAAATCATTTGGGAGTAATTTACAGTAAATTTGATTTTAAATCTTTACATGACATAATAGGATGTTGTGTGATATCTGTACAGTACCCTAACTATTGGAAAGAGTACTAAATCCTGAACAAAAAAACCAAAGTTTCGGAATACAACATTTTCAGTTAAAGTTATTTCTTTTGAGTGGGTTGCAAAACAGGGGGTGCATTGTTGTAGAAGCTGTCTCCAATAAATAAGTGGTATTTCCAAAGAGGCTCACGTCGTGAGTTAATCAGACAAGGGTGGCTAAAATCCACATCAACACCCGAATTAAAACAAAACTATTAGGAATAAAAACAACTTGGCACTATACAACTTACCAAGTCAGCATCCATCCCATATATACAATGACGCTCATTAGGGCAATAATCTGGTAGACCACGACGATATGCTATATACTCCCGGATCTTATGTTCGCCTTCCCCAGGGCACTAGATAATTATAATACAAAGATGAAATTGTCTCTTTATACATATCACTACCTTTAGTTCAGACTAACTTTTGTATAATCAAGTGAGTAATGTTTCTTTGAAACACAAACGTTAAACGAATGCAAATCAGTTAAGTCAGACTAATTATCATGGGGGTTGATAGTATTTTTTAAAAATCATCTAAACAGTAACTGAAAGTTAGTTTACTGAAAACTGTTAGTGGTTTGGTTCCATTTTATAGTTAGTCTTTACCGACAGACCACAAGTTTGAATTTGAGTTAACCTACTTCTGAGATGTTGAAGAATGTTTATAGCTCAGAATGAGAACGTTAGAGGAGCTCAGAGAACACATCTTTATCAGGTTATTCCTGTATGGGCAGCCGGGTAACATTACTAACTCATACACAAACGGTATGATTCGAAATTACATACATTAAGTTACATTAATTTTCATCATACTATCATCGTTAGACAGTGAATCCTATGAAGCCATAATATTTTATTACTCAGAATCGTGAAAATAAAGCTAACTGATAAAATGTGGTTTAAAAACACATACATTAGTTTATTTTCGAATTTGAACTTAGGCTACATTCAGGACTCAGTATCACTAAACGTAAGGAGGTTATGAGTAGGATTTTGTAAATATGTCAGTCAGTTGCAACGTAGAACTACGTACGTATGTACATAAGTTCATGTTGCCATACCACATTAGCACAAAGACGCAGATGTCAAATCAAGTACCATAGTGATAAAGATAGAAGAGGTATTAATGGTAATGAAGAAGACTAGGGTTTGAAGATATTATTCAAGAAGTATAATTCAGTGAAATAAGGTTAGAAAGACAAAGATAGAGGTGCTGACGAATCCAGAAGATTAGGATTTGAGAGAGCTCAAAGAATGGATGCACTTGCGCCATTGCAAACGATTTTGAGCCATGTCGTTCAAGGTCTATGAGAAATAGTATGATCGTTAACCTACGCTTACAGACTTACATCATGTCCAGATAGAATAATATCAATACATTGCCAATCGGCATCATGATTAACATGCTTATCCACAAACGTAACAAGATGACGATGTAACCGTTCCATAAATTCAGTACCTAAAAATAGAAAATAAAATCTTTTATTCTAATTTTAATGCATACTAATACTTATTTCTTGAAGTGTAGTTCAGAACAACCAATTACTGCACTAATTAAGTAGGATTTTTTTTAATTTAAGGATTCATACGATAATGTTGTGCAACCCAACGTCAAATGATTTGTGTATAATATGTTGGAGAAATACCTCATGATTCAAGTAAAAATTACAACCTTTTACTTACAAAACAAGACCTTGTAATGTGATAACTGATGTACTGACACTTCATACTTTACGTAACTGCAAAATGTTATTTCTAAACCACTGAGCTGATTTTTTTATGTTATCATCCCTTAGTAAATATTTCACATGATCATCGATGATCAAAAATAAGGAAAAGACTAGTTTGTATTATACATATGATTTCGTCATTTTCTTTATAACAAAATCTAAGGTTTGAACTACATTTTTGTTGGTCGCGGTCACATTCGTATTTTTTCAGTGAGCAATTGATACTGATTTTAAAGTAAAACAACATTGGTTAACTGTTTTTCCAGCAACTGTCATTTAAAAAAATACTGGACAACACAATAAAAAGCATTCAAACATTTTCGATTTGATCAATGCCATAGTGGAGTTTCGAAACTCCACCATAATCATCCACTAGAGCTACAAATTTTTCCCACCATCTCATGTACATTTAATATTAGAAAATTCACATTCTTCTTACACACAACACGGTATTAAATACCTAACTAGTAATGAATGATATATTTTAATAAGTGGTTTTTACGTAGTTATCACATGCAATCACTGGGAACAATTTGATATTTGCGAAATAGACACAATTGGTGGACATTTGGAATCCTAAATTCACTGGACATTCGTTGACTTCTGTATAATACTGCATGTTAATAGACGATATAATATGTAACTTATAGTCGTATTTGAGATTTTTGAAATAAGCTTTATCACAAGAGTAAATAAATACGAATATGATTTTTATTATCGTCCATTAGAGAACTAATAGTAAAAGTGACGAAATAAGAGGTATCATCTTACTAGCACATATCACATTGCATGATGTTATGTCTTCAAACACTCAGCTTTTTATTTCATACACTAAACATCTACATTACAAACCAACAAATCTTTACAACCTTAAAAACGGAAAATAAACATCTACTAGAAACGCCATTATTAAGTCCTCAATATTAGTGCTTGCTATCCAGTAGAAAGATTTTAAACATACTTGCACGAAAACACTAATCTTACATCTACAGATGACAGCGATTCATTGAGTTACTTATCATTAATTTGATCTACGGTTTAAGTTTGTAAGAAAAATGAAACGAGTGCATGAAGATCATATGTGATATTTATTGAAGTTGATATTCTTCATTTTTTAGATTAGAAGTATTTTATTTTTCAGTCATACTATTTGCGTTTTATGTCTACTGACTGCCGTTGGTATAGTTATGATATTAACTATGTGCTGTACTGATGAAACATTTTGAGTATACCACTGACATCAGAATAAATAGAACCTTCGTTTTTCACAATGACGATACAATAAAAGCGGTTTCCGATTAAGAAGAGTTGATACACCTCATATTATACTAACTTAGGTCTCTGGATTACCTATAAAGATTAAACATAAATGTTACATGACAAAACAATAACATCCCAACAGTAAAACTAACATTTACTAATACTTTGACAAATGAATGGCTTTTCAATTTTCAAGACTTAATTTATATGTCAACCTGTAGGACATAATTACAAAGAAATGTTCAGTAACTCGCAAAGTTACTTCCACTTTAACTAAAAATATATATCTTAACGTTTTGAGAGAGTCGATGGTAAGTTTAAATATAATTTTAGCTATTTTTCCACAATAACAATTTATCCGAAGTAATTCAATTAAAATATTCTATACCTGGGGAAATTAGACACGGGTCGAAAATTTGGGCATCAGATGGATTATTTTTTACATTTTCTTTAGCAATACGCCCCTCTAAAGCAGATCTGTAAAATAAAATGAAATCCAATTATAAATGTTTATCAAAGAAATACATGTCTATACAGTCTTATAGATACTTACTGAAAACGGCGAGCACGTTGTTGTGTCATTTTAGCTCTGGGAGCAACACCATCCACGGCCAAAAAGAAAGTCTTACGCGGCTTAATGAGGTTGAACAAGAACTGAAAAAAATCTCACTAAGTTCACGCCATATCTACCTGAATATATAAACAAATATTCCTGAATATTATTTCTTCAGAAAAGATTATTTTACTGCCTTCTGGGTGAGAACAAGTGTGCAATATGCCATTCATATCCAAATAAAAGTGATCGATAACAGGGACCTTTAAAAATAAATGAGAATACAACTGGTAAAGAAACATATATGTACTTTATAGTGATGAGCACAAAATGTTATATGGCTCCACATGATGAAACAACGCTAACCATTTGCGTATTATAGGCGAATTAATTTGTTTAATAATAATGCATATAGTAAATATGTGGTATGGCAACTTGAACTGATGTACGTGCGAAATAAGTTCTATGTTGTGGCTGACCGACTAATTTTAGCCCTTCAAAGTGCATACTGAGCAGTATGTATAGAACCTAGGTAAATCTCCTCTAGAGGTATTCCAAGCCAAAAAATATTCAGGAGTCATGGTAACTTATGATCTAGTCACACGCTAAAAAAGATGCCTTTCGAGCAACATTTGCAATAGTAACGTTAAAGCGCATTTTCAGTCGCTTTGATAATATGAAATTCCACCTGCTCCTTAATAGCTTTATTTGGTCCCATTTAGAGTATCGAGTGTCTCCTACCTTAATCCAAAAGTACAAGAATACACTAGAACGCATCCAAGACAGGTCACGAAATCAGTTCGAGGACTCGAATTTAAACTTCACGAACTTCTCGAACAACTTGATCTTTACCCGTTTGAATAAAGGCGTCTCATGGATAATTTGAGGACTCGAAGCATCCTAAAAACTCCTGTTTCGCCTAACATACAAACCTGAGAAATAGCCAGAAACTAGTGGCCGAAGATAGTAAAATGGATTTTAAGCGCACCAACTCTTTACGAGTAGATAGTTTCCGGCGTTATTTACCAACTTAAGCGGTCCAAGCGACTTTCTAGGAATTCTTCAACAAGAAACTTGAGATATTCTTAAGGACACAGGGCAGTATTTAATTATGATCTACTAATATTTCTCTGTTTATCGTTAAATATACCTAGGTTTCTCTCTGTATATTTTGACGATCCACTGTTACTAGATACGCAGGCCCGTAAAGGAAAAGCTTTAATTCCGTCCACAACCATTCGAATAATTTCAGACTGAATGGAGTAACACATAAAACCCGTGGATTTTCCTAACACATATGTCAAGTGTTTCACTTATCAGGACTTTTGAATTGGTTGTAGTGAGTTCAACGCAAAGCAAATAAATAATTATTCATATTTCCCTAAGCAAACAATTACTGAGAACGATTTCTTGTGTATTTTGATCAATACATGTACTTAACACACCCGTCCATCGCTTATAGTTTTGTGGAATCCCAATTAGTCTCATAAGCTCCTAAAATAAGATTGATACTGTTCAACAGTATGGTCTACGTTAAGACAAAATTTATTCTATGACACTACAGTAATGTCAGTAATTTAGAAAACAACTGGAATTATTAACCTAACCGAAACTTACCTCGCCAGATCTCAAAACCTGGTTGATGCAAGGGTATCGAGCACTAATCCATCTGAAAAATTTCGGAACACCCATTCTACTACTAGGCCCAAAACCTTCGACTTCCGCGCGATATGTCCAATACTCAATATCTTTCTCGTGAGCTAGTATAAACCAATTGATTTTTTGCGCTGGATTCTTGTTCTTTTAGTACGGTTCCAGGTGTTTGGTAGAGTCCAATGGATGGTAGTCTAGCCACTCAAATTCACTAAATCTAGTCAGCTGGCAGTTGTTTGTGAGTTTGTATGTCCCGTGATTTGAATGAAAAACGTTTGTTTCAGAGCAGTAGGGTTTCTGGATACCAGCAGCTATCACATTACCAAACTGGAAATCAGGTAGTTACAATGTGGAGAATAATAAGGATAAAATTCTAATGTTAATATGAAAAAGATTTTAGAACCAAGTAAATAAATAAATAACTTAGTTTAATAATTGGTAGTGAGGATTGTGAGAGAGGACTGAAGTGTAAGCAAGGGAGAGGATATAATGATAAGTTAAGGCCAGGTAGGTTAACTTAGTGATCTGATGAGACGGCAGTAATAACGAAAAGCAAGTCTCAAGACATGCATCAGGCACAAATGGTCCACGAGGAAGATGATAATCCTTTTGCGAGTGCGTGTTCATCAAGTCTCTTTCTAAAACTGTCCACTGAGGGGGCTGTGGTAACCTTGGCTGGGAGAGAATTCAGGGTTGCGACAACATTTGACGGGTAAAAGTGTGTACCAACCTCAGTATTCGCCCTGTGATGTGCACTTTTTCTAGGATTACATCGAGGGGACTGGTGATGATGCATCGGTAAGATGCTCACGTCGGGATGGTTTGGCTCGTCTAATATGTTGTACGCCATAATCAGATCACCTCAGATTTTCCTGTAACTCAGCGGTAATAATCATAAGTGTTGAAGTCTATCTTCGTAAGGTTTGTTTTTCAACCCTGTCACCCATTTTGTTGCTCGTCTCTGCACTCGATCGAAGAGATTTATATCCCTCTTAATGAGACGGGGTGCGACGACGTTGTGAACCTCAAGATGTGGTTGTGCATATGTGTTAAACGGCATTTATAATAGTTCTGGGGTGATAGCACCAAGCTGTTTCCGCATAAAGTGAAGAGTCGCAATTGTCTTGGCTGTGTTCCCAAGTAGTTCTCACTGGTGTCGAGGCTTTCAGTGCTTATTAAATGGAGACTACATTCTGAAGAGACAACAGGTTGCGAACTTCCATCTGGGGTGTAAGTGGATGCGTTATGTGGGGCACAAAATACGTAAAGTGACATCGAGACTGGTTTAATTTTAAACCCCTTTCCAATGAATGAATGTAAGGTCCTTTTGAAGCTCAGTCGAATCCTCTTCCCCTTCAATAGACCTCCAGATCTTCTCGTCGTCTGCGTAGATCAATGCAGGCGAGCGAAATGCACCTGACAGGTCATTAACAAAGAGCAGGAAAAGAATTGGACCTAAGATGGTCCCATGCGAAACTCCCAATGTTGAGACTCGTCAACTCGCGTGCACTCCATTTACCTTGGTACGAAATCTACTATTCTCAAGGTAGTTTCTGATCCAAGATATGAGTGGGTCAGTGAAGCCCATTTCCGCAAACTTTGCAATTAGGAGTGCGTGTGAAAATGTGTCCAGAGGTTTTGCGAAATCAAGAAATATGATGTGTACCGGTATTTTTCGGTCCCAAAAGGTTGTGCAACTGCCCACGACATGAGATTAGATGCGCACGACCTTTCCGAAACCCTTTGTTCAGCTTCATGGAGAATTTTATTCTTATCCATGTACTCCCTCATATGTTCGTTCACCAGCCCTTCCATTACCTTTGATAGTATTGGTAGTAATGCGACTAGTCTGTAACGAGGTGTGTCCTTTCTATCTTGTCCTTCGAAGATTGGAAAGAGTAGCCTGTTTCTATTCCACTGGGAGTTGGTGTGAATGTCTGAACAAGTCACATCGGTGAACAGAGAGCTTCTGCACATTGTTTCAAGACTGTGAGGGTAATATTGTCACAACCTGGTTACTTTCCTGGGTGTAAGGATTCTACTTTTCTTAGTAGTCATGAGTAATTAGGGTAATACCTAAGCTGTCAGCTAGCAATAGGTTTGTGTAGTACTCCAAACATGTAGATGCCTGGCTTAACTGCTTGACCATCTCTAAGTTGATGAAGACTTCCCTGTTCGGACTTTTGAGGTGAAACATACCCTGATTAGTTGGTTTTCCTTTAGTCATGAACCTAAACAGATGCTTAGGGTTTGCCTGTATTTTGACAGCTAGGTTCATCTGTAAGCGTCTCCTGTCACTCCGAAATTCAGCAATGCATCTGTTTCTCAGTGCCAGGTAAAGACTACGATCGATATCCTTCAAGGAGACCTTACACTTGTGTCAGGTTCTCCTCTTCGCCTGCAGCAAGCGTTCGGTGCCGCACCTAACTCATGTTCTTCCATTTCCGGGTGCATTTTTGTCTGTGGTACATTAATAAGAACAGCATTCTGGATGATGTCTCTTACTGTCTGCCCTTGATCATCTACTGTCAGCCTCCGCCACTCCCTCGGCCATGGGGCTTGTCGAACGTTCTCTCCCATACATATGTAGTTTGCCCTAATGTAGCAAAGACAGGTATCGTTTTTGTCCTGCCTGTGTGTTTAGTTGATGACCATGTTAAGCAAGACCGTGGTAAGGTCACTGCTTAATATTAGTGTATGGACGTGAACATCCGTGACCAGGAGCTGAGCATTTGTTGACAAATAATCGAGGCCTGAGGTCTTTCCTTCCTTGGTCTGCCTTGTGGCACTGAAATTATGCTCAGTAAGCCCAGACCTTCCTAGGCTGCACCAAGTCGTTTTCGGAGCCAACCAGTGGGAGTTGTACCCTGATTGATGAGACTGAGAGACGGACTGTTGAAATCTCCAGCTAACAGTATTTGACCAAACCCAAAGTGTGGCAGTTGCAGTATTGCCTCATTAGGTTTATCGTTCTGCGTCTTACTACCTGAAGGAGGTCGGTAAATCCCTCTAATGAAGTATTTTGTGCCATTTGTGGAAACAATATTAACATGATTTTGTCACCTCAGTTAGCTGGGTGTCTTATAGCCGCTCGCCCTTTAAATGGCAGTTTAAATATATGGCCATTTCGCCTCCTGTCTGATGTACCCTATCGCTTCGGAAGAGTATCATCCCTTTAAAGCTCACTTCGTCATGTTTCAGTTAGGATTATTGTCTTCGGATCCATCGGGGAGCACACATTCCTGATTTCTAACAGCGTAACCTTTAGCCGTCTTACGTTGCTGTAGAGACTCTTGGTCGTTTGTCTTAGCACCTGATGCACCTGTGCAGCAACAGCGATTGTCGGATTTTCAAACAAGTTTTGCAAACCGAGTTGGCCACTTCTGTGGGAACTGACGTTTGCGAGTTTTCGCCTGTGCAGTGCGTTCAATCGGTTAGCCTATTATCTTCGTTCCTTGTGCCAGGGGTTGTTGATCGAGGTCAACTATCAATGTCGTGCGTTTATTATGATCTCCTGCTGTTGTCTCACAGATCTAGGTTTGCTTTCACAGTCTCAAAACTCTATAAAATAGATACCATCCATTGGTTTTTCATAACAGTTACCCAGGAGACTATATCAATGAAAATAATCAAGATTTGAAGTACATTAGATCTGGTTCTCAAAAATAAAACTTGATGATGAATGTACTGAAGAATCTCAATACAGTCGTCAGTTATATCCAGAATCTATTTCAAGAGGACATGATTAAACAGACTGGTATATAATAATTTGACTCTCCGTATTCACAAACAAGTGCCAAGCGATAGTTTCAGAACCTTTAGGCGTCAACTGAGAGCAATTATGTCATTTGATTTTACGTAAAATTTCCCCAGAAAGTTCTCTCTTTGAGAATCACAAATATTTTTCACATAATGAGTGATAATTGAAAGTCTTAACTAGAGTGGCCTGGACGTACCCTTGTGTTAAATGCCATGATCAGCTTATCTGCGATCCTTTCGTCACCAAAAGCAAACAATCCTTTTTGGTGACGTCCATTCTCGGAATATCACTTGACACAGCGGCCTACAATGTACCCCTTCATTTCAGTTGCAACAGATTCGCAACATTTTAAATGGAATGAGAGAAAAAGTATTTCGGGTTTCACGATTAAATCAAGATTATCTGGTCAGTCAGCAAACCCAGTTAGTTTAGGATGTAATGAGTCATATCATGGGCTTAGGCCGAGTTCTTGATAGTTGTCGCTGGCGTTCAGTTATGTTTTCAACGCTGAAAAAGGAAGAAGCAGACCTACTGTTCGTATGAAATGCTAATGAAAGTGGTTTGAAATCGTCACGTATGAATTTAAAACTGTGGCTCCATGAATAATTTTTCATGACATATATATGTTACTTATCCTAAATAATGGTCTCTATTGGTAAACAAAGTCCTGATATAAGTAGTTCTGTAAGACTTCAACACAGATACTGACCCAGTTAGTTTTACTTTACATATCATAGCTAAAAGCGTCTAGTCATATTTTCGCACCAGATAATCGCTGGTCCTGCTGTCCTCCTTATCACCCACAACAGCTATCCATCTTATCCCAAAAACTTATTGACGGACCGATTATCTAAAACATATTTTCACTCACCTACCTGACTTCTGGTATGACCAGGTTTTGATATTCTCGATTTTAATATTATTGTGGACCACAGCGGTGTAAAGCTGCGAGTTGTTTTTAAGCAAGCATTAACAGCAGTTCATCGCAATATGTTAGTCAAAATATCATTCATTGATAAACGTAGTTACGAGATTATGTCAAACCCCGCCGACTTGTTATGTGGGTTAATAAATATGCCAAAATGGTGTCGAAATACCTGATGGGACACGGTATTCTTCTCGAAGTCACTATTCTTTCCGATAGTTTGAGAATTCTTCACATTCACTTAGCTAGCCAGATAAAAATCATGTTCCAATTACAAGAAAGATCAGTTTGTCATAAACTTCGTAATATATTCTTCACTAAACTAGTTCTTTTCCGATTCAAATTTCCTACATTTTCACCTGTCTTGAGTTTTTTCCCCTCATATGTTTCGA